GTTTGTATGAAACTTTGCCAATTTTAAACCGATCGGGCTGAGACTTTGCATGCATAAAGCTACTATGACGTAGGCATCCCCTAAGAAAGGATTTTGATAAATTCCACCCCTAAGGGTATAAATTAACAAAAGCTAGTTGATATAAACGCGAAAGTTTGTAAGTATGGATGTATGTTTGTTACTGTTTCACGCAAAAACTACTTCGACTTCGATGAAACTTTACAGTAATATAGTTTATACATCAGAATAATATATAGGCTATAAATTTCACGCGGGTCAAACCACGCGCACAGCTAGTTACGATGTAAGTGCGTAAAGATAGTTATAACACACGAGGCGTAATAGAGCCGAGTGTTAAATACGCATGTATATCGTACGATGTTTTTCAACGGTCACGTAGATCTATGAACAGTATCACGTTATCATGTGACGCCCTTGATACCGATCCTGCATTGCCATTCTTGCAGGATCAATATCTGTTTTACTGTAAAAGTGCTACAGTTTTTTTTTTCTCGGTCTACTCTAATGCTGTTGGCCGTAGCTGGCCTTTACAGCTTCACCGGACGTTAGGGGCGAGTGCAGATGGCACTCCAAACCCGCGGAAGGACTTATGGAGCGGCTGAAGGCCAACTCCTGCCTGACGGATACGACGCCAGTCTGAGGACACCACTAGGGGGTTCGAACCTCGGCTCAGGCCGTCGTAATTTCGATCCCCGTTTGAATTGGACGGGGGATCGATCGGAGGGGAAGTGCTACAGTTTACATGACGTCATTATAAAACAATCATGGCTGTTGAGGCAATAGAAACTGCGAAGGTAATATATTATATTATTAGAATATTACCAAAGACAATAGCTGTATGGGTAGAAGTCCTGTTGCCTCTTCCCGAGAAAAAAAATAAACAATAAAAAAGTATTACAGACCAAATTAAAGAGGTTAGTTTCTAAGTGATTGTCTATATATCTTTATAAAATAAATGGCCGCCTAAAAACTATAAAAACATGATAAATTATTGTACTTCTGAAATTAGTCGGGTATTCATACAGGTTATTTGTTATGTGTACAATATTTATACTGTGACATCGTCTTCCTATTCCATAATAAATACAGTGAATTGAGCATGCGCTCTACCGGAGCTCAAGTTGTGGTCACACGAAATATTTCTACAAACCAACTTATAAAACAATTCAGACGACCTCAGTGACCTAATAAGCACTTAAAAGGGTTATCCGTAAATTGTCACATGTTACAGAGATCGGTCGATATACTGTGACATAGTGTGACAAAGGAATAGAACTCCAAATGGTCTAGCGTTATATTTCAAAATTTTCACTAGATTTTGAACTATGTATAACGTAGAAGTAAGCATCTATAAATATGTCACAAGTTAAATAGGGGCGTGGGTCGATATACTGTGACATAGTGTGACAACGCGATAGTACTCCAAATATTCTAGCGTCATATTTCAAAATCTAGTGACGTAATATTAAACTAGTAAGTGTCATACATAACAATATCCGATGTTAAAGAGGGAGTAAGAACTCGACACACTGTGACATTGTGTGACAAAGAAGGGTCCTAAATGACCGAGCGTCATATTTCAAAATCTAATTATATCTACATATTAAAACATGAAATCTGCTATATATATATATACTGCTAGTGCAAAATCGGGGCGAATCTCCAGTTAATTGCAATATAGGTAGTATATGTGTTCAACCAAGAATAGAACCGTGTTTTCACTGAGATCGTCACATTTTTATTATGAATTCCAAACAATAGATATATTTAAATTATTTATTACAAAATTATCAACATATTTGTATTTAATTATTATTTGACAAATTAGTTTTTCAAAATATAATTAAGACATATAAAAGCCAGTGGTGGTTGAAGGAAGCAAGGAGCTACATATTAATGAAATGTTTATTAAAACAACTCTTAATAATTAATGATTTGTTAGCATACTAAACTGTTAACTATAATAAAAAAAACACTAAAAAAATAGTCAAATACTAGATGTAACCTGCGATTTCGTCTGTAAAATGATTCATCCCCTATTTAACCCCCTATCTGGTACGGGATGAAATAAGGGTGGTTTATTTTGAGATAACATATAGGACACGGCAATGCAGGTCGGCCATGATGTTTTATTACAAACAGACACATTTCTCATTTATGATATTAGTATGTGTTATCATTAAAAAAAATTGAATATTTTTTTTATTTTAATAAAATTAAATTTATATACCACTGACTGATATAATGAGACATTTTTTCGACAATAAAAATTGTAAAACATATCACAGAACATGAGTCACACTGTGACATGATTCAGTCACACAGTGTGACAATGTCACTTCTCTCACCAAACCCTGAATCCATGTTTGGTGTGACCACAGCATTGTATAACTGAAGTGTTAAATTAAATAAGTATCATTATACAGGGTCAACCAAACTCATACCTTTGATATACAGTGTGTTCTAAAAAGGAAATGTCAATCAAAGGCATTTTTTTATCTATCTATATACGATACCAAGATAGACTTTATACAAACACATCTACGTATCCTCTGTCTCACTTATTTTAGGCACTAAGCAGCTTGCTTTGTAAGAAGTATTAGAAAGTTATAAAAAGTTTGGTAGAAGGATGAGAAAAGGTAGTGGAATCATGACATTTCAGTCCTCTTGAATGACATCGCCTGATATAGGCGATGATGATCACATGACGATGTCCATGATGCTGTTCATGTATATATCGGCGACGGTTACCATTTACCATCAGTTCATTTTTTACAGTGACATAAAAAGAAACATCATCTGCTTCTTCCTTATCCCTTTTTTTTGGGGTGGCGTAATATTTTTCCGTTTCATTCATCCCTGTTCAGTCATCTCGTTATTTACTTACCTTACCTTACCTTACCCTTTCTTACCATATTTCACACAGTCCATTCCTCTCTGTTTCGCCCTTCCTCTGCCCTTATAACCATCCACATTTATATGTAACACCTTCCTTAAAATATTATCACATTGCATAAAAAAAATCGAATTTATATCGCTTAGACATATATATAGAATCACGATGGTGGATGGTAGGGTTAATAATAATAATAAATATATCACATGTCGACGTCTCTGTACAAAGTCTCACTTAGTATATAAATTATAACAAATTAACACCAAATTGTTAGATTTTTAACTACAGAATTTAACACTCCAGTCAACTACCACCCCAGTTAAATTTAATGATACGGACAGATCATTGTATATTTATTAATGATTTATTAATGATGCCAATCGGTGTATTCATTAATTTATTTTCTATTATTTACAAATTATCATTAAATTGGTGTCAATTTCCAATGCCATTAAATTTAATGGCAAGCGTTATTTTAACGTAGAAATAATACGCGTCGCGTCTAATAATTATTATAGTAATTTATAATCTTTTTTGTTCAACCAAGTTTGAAAAAGAAGTGATTCTGAATTCCACTGTATTTTTGTGTATAATATATAATACAACAACGGCCAGTAGATGCACACTTACTATTTACTCTATATAAAAAATACAACAAATATGAATAACTAATAAAAAAACGTACAAGAAACCACATTATTAGTCCTTCGAGTCGGATTTTTGGTCCTTCGAGCCAGGATTTTACAAAAAAAATAAACTCCATCCTAAATGAATTCCATTTTTCGAGTCGGATGAAGACTTTCATTTCAAATTCCATTCACAATTGGTGAATATATCGAGTAAAATATACATCCTCCACGAGTACTACACCACAGTAGTCGTTCTAGTACCATATAGTCAACAATATCTTTTTGAGGACAAGGCATTTTTAGGTCTGATCCCAAACTAAAAGACATTTTTAAGGTTATATACTGTTTTAAGTTTGACGCGGTCATTATTTATAAGTATAATTAGTAAATCACGGGATCTTACCACGTGAACAAACGAAGACGTGTGAAGGTAGACGAATATGTCTGTCCATAAAAGATTTATTCACCTTCTACCCGCTGCTCTTCTGTTTACCAGTGACCATGGCCGTTGAAACACTGCAGAAATATCGGAAACTCAACAAAAAAATAAGACGTGGTAAGATCCCGTGATTTTCTAATTATACTTATTTTTAAGGTTATTTAATTCTCAGATTAGATAAAATTATTTTAAAAATGCCTTCAATAGAAGATATCCAGCGAAAGTACAAAAGTGCATAAATGTTGGTTAAATAGTTCTACATTGTAAATTAAAACGTACTCCTATTCCTTCTATATACTTATCAAAAATAGTAAATGAGTTATCTAAGTAATAGTTATTTAAACTTTTATGTTTCATATACATTATTTATATTATTAACCGGGTCTTAACACGAAGAGTCAGCTCGTGACCACAGCCAGTGCAACCTAGTCGAAACGTCGAGAGAGGTAAATACGTTCAATTGCCATAAAATGATTCGTGTTAAGATCCGGTTAATAATATAAATAATTGTCTCAGTAATATCTTAGAATCCACTGTTTATTTGGAAGTATGTGTTCATCAGACTCCTTAGATTGAATCTTTTTGCGCGACCCATGTATATAGGGTGCTACCTAATTATGGGCATTTATTCCTGCAAAATCACAGTAGACTTTGATAGGTACTATAATGTACTTCATACTTAAAGTTGCAGTGAGAAGTAATAATAATATTTTTAAGGTTTAATAATTTAATGCTAACTTAAATATGAAATTCCTTTATTATTGTAATATAGGTACTAGCTGACTCGGCAAGCGCTCTTTTGTCGTATAAATGATTAGCACCAACACTGAAATGGCGCGTCATAAAAAAATTAATATATTGTCCAAAATAAAATTTAAATAAATTTTGAAAGGGCCATCATTATCATTTAGGTGTATGAAAAAATCAGTCATGCCGTTTCGAAGGAGTATTGTAAAAAAAGTGCTTCAAGGATTTAAATAAATAATTTTATATTCTTCTTATATATATTGTATTGTAACTTATTCAAAAGTGCTTCAATGTAAGTTTATTTAAATAAATAATTTTATATTCTTCTTATATATATTGTGACACGAGAATTTTGTATATAAAAATGCATATAATTCGATAGCACCTTATATACTATACATAAAAATTAACTTTTACATTTATACATATTACAAAAATATGCGACTATACAACGCGTATACAGCCCGAATGACATCATTAACTTTTTAATGAAAAAGAAACCTTGGCACCAATGTGAATTAAACAAATCATTAATCGCCGAGAAATTATGAGAATAATGATAACGTATTTCGTATCGTTAATGTATAATTATTTACAGATGACTGACTTATCATTAGTTAATGATTATATAGATCTATCGACCGGTGTGTATGTGATAGTACGGCCATTTCGTAATATTACCTGTAAAAATTAAAAATATATAAGTGTAATGTTCCTAAAAAATTATTAATAGCCGAGAAATTATGAAAATAATGATAACGTATTTCGTATCTGTTTGGGAAACTACTCTGCTACCAAAATGTTAGGGAAGCGTCATTCACGTACCTGTATGGTTCTGCGGATTTCTTGGGCTTCAGGGTCTCGAAGATATCTTCGCTAGCTTTTCAGTTTCACAGTAGGTTTAACACAGTTCTAATTTATTTTAATTCACAACACACTGCGCGCGCGCGTCAAGGCCGCTGTACAGTCGGTTCAGTACTAGTTAGGGAGGGGAAGGGAACGCGCGGGAACAGAAAACTAACGGACTCTAATTTAATATAATATCTGTGCTTACGATGATACAGGGTAGATTTTGAACAGTATCATTAATATATAATTATTCACAGATGACTGACTTATCTTTAATTAATAATTATATGTATTTATTGGCTATTTGTGTATGTGGTAGATTGGGGATGTTTTTTAAGCATTTTATACCAGAAATTGGCAAACGTATTGTAGAAAAGTACTCCAGTTATTTTTAAAATAAAAATACCCAATTTATCAATTACGAATATTTAACGGTACATGAATTCAGGACGAATGTACTCGAAGAACTCGGCATTACACAGCGCCTATCAGTAATAACAAAATCGTGCCTTCTTTACGGTCTCACGAAAAAGCGACGCATCCATAGAGTAGCTCATCATACATCTTACATGGATGATCATCCATGTAATGAACCGCCCAAGTCAAAGCAGGGGTAGGTGGTACACTCCACGAGCGTACTAAATCTGCAGCCAGCAGGGATAAACGGCAGCCGTCGTACGGCGGACGACATCCGCCTGATACCTCACATGATGACGCACCGACCGTACCTACGTGGGCCTGCAGGCGGGCGAGTGCGGGTCGCGGTCGGGCCCGCCGGCGAAGCTGATGTTGAGGAGCATGGCCTCGAAGGGGTCGCTGCGCATGCGCTGCTGGTTGGCGCGCGCGGCGGCGGCGGCGTCGTGCACGGCGCGCGGCTCGGGCTGCAGCTCCCCGCGCGGCGACCACAGCCGCACCACGGCCTCGATGCCGCTGGTGGCCAGCAGGCACGTGGCGGGGTGCGGCTGCACGCAGTTCACGATCGACTCGTCGCCGCGCAGGCAGCGCACGATGTTGCCCGACCGCCGGCACCAGATGAACATGCTGCCGTCGTCAGACCTGCCGCGATATCGTCGTCGTCATACTCGAAAACGAGTACCGCTCGTAGGGACCGGTCTGCTCCGATGACTACGACTGATTATCTTATTGTATATTTAATATTCAACCCTAATAAATTTGTGCTAGTTGAAATTAAATTAAATGATATTTAGTAGTTTTTGTATTATTTACTAGTTCTATACACTAGATCAATATATCATAAATATATGTTAACTATCATATAAATATATACCCTGCAAATGTTACTTTGCCTTATAAAATAAAATTGATATTAAAAAATAGGGGTTGATTATAGAAGAGCGAAAATTTTGAGTTATATATATTTTTCTATGCTAAATTATAACAAAATATAATTAATAAATATTAGCGAAAATCTAAAAAAAAAAAATATATTTGATGTGGCCACCCTTAACACTCACAGGTATAAAAAATTGTTATAAACCTATTCTCAGACCTACTGAATATACATATGAAATTTCATCAAAATCGGTTTTTCGGAAGACTATAAACACGAAAATTTTATTTATTAGAGAAGACAGTACAAACTTACCCGGCGGCTACGAAGTTGGCATCGGGCCCGAGGAAGTTGGCCTCCTTGATGTCGGTGGTGGTGTTGCAGTGTCCGAGGAACCTCTGCGAGTAATCAAGCGCGGCGGCCCGCAGCTGTCGCTCCAGCACGCTCGTCAGCTGGTTCTCCTCCGCCTCGCCAGCTGCTGGCGGACCAGACACACACACACCTTACACCGCCACACCTCACATCTAATCTCTTAAACTAGCCATGATATTCAAGAGTCGATGTCGACCCACGCATCCTATCTCTTAAACTAGCCATGATACGCGACAGTCGATGTCGACCCTCGCATCCTATCTCTTAAACTAGCCACTATACCCAACAGTCGATGTCGGCTCTCGCATCCTATCTCTTAAACTAGCCACTATACCCAACAGTCGATATCAACCCTCGCATCCTATCTCTTAAACTAGCCATGATACCCAACAGTCGATGTCGACCCTCGCATCCTATCTCTTAAACTAGCCACGATACCCAACAGTCGATGTCGACCCTCGCATCCTATCTCTTAAACTAGCCACGATACCCAACAGTCGATGTCGACTCTCGCATCCTATCTCTTAAACTAGCCATGATACCCAACAGTCGATGTCGACCCTCGCATCCTATCTCTTAAACTAGCCATGATACCCAACAGTCGATGTCGACCCTCGCATCCTATCTCTTAAACTAGTCACGATACCCAACAGTCGATATCGACCCTCGCATCCTATCTCTTAAACTAGCCACGATACCCAACAGTCGATATCGACCCTCGCATCCTATCTCTTAAACTAGCCACGATACCCAACAGTCGATATCGACCCTCGCATCCTATCTCTTAAACTAGCCACGATACCCAACAGTCGATGTCGACTCTCGCATCCTATCACTTAAACTACCTTTTGCCCGCGGCTTCGCTCGCGTTAATTTATCCCCTTAGGGGTGTAATTTATCAAAATCCTTTCTTAGGGGATGCCTACGTCATAGTAGCTTTATGCATGCAAACTCTCAGCCGGATCGGTTTAAAATTGACAAAGTTTCATACAAACTTTCATCCCCTATTTTATCCCCTTGGGGGTAGAATGAATCAAAATCCTTTCTTAGGGGATGCCTACGTCATAGTAGCTTTATGCAAGCAAACTCTCAGCCGGATCGGTTTAAAATTGACAAAGTTTCATACAAACTTTCATCCCCTATTTTATCCCCTTGGGGGTAGAATGAATCAAAATCCTTTCTTAGCGGATGCCTACGTCATAACATCTACCTGCATGCCAAATTTCAGCCCGATCCGTCCAGTGGTTTGGGCTGTGCGTTGATAACTATGTCAGTCAACTTTGAGTTATATATATTTAGACCAGCCATAATACCCAACAGTCGATGTCGACCCTCGTATCTTATCTCTTAAACTAGCCATGATAGTAAACTCTAAGTAGTGCAGAGAAAAAATAAATTTAATGACAAACAAAATGCTTTACACGTACGTACTCGCAAGTACGTACGTATATATGTACGTACGTACGTATACATACACCCATTTATGCGGAAAAGAGTACGCATGTAAATGTAGACAAAGAGAACGAGAAAAAATGCGCAAGTAAAAACATTGATAATCGTTATTATTAGCCCATAGTAATGAATACATCATTAGGGGCCGTTCAAGTATTACGCAAGCAAATGTATTACAATTATTTACCCCCCCATCTCCCTTATCAGAAAAAGTAAGCAAAGCTCTTACCCCCTCCCCCCCATGCTTACGTAAACATTTTTCAATTAATATATTGTTTTTAGTAAAGATAATGTTAGGGTTACCATTCGTGTTAAAAGTGAATTACTAATGACGTAATCATCATTTAGACTGCCCTACGCCCGATGGCATCCAAAATAAACAAAGTTACTACCCCATCCTCCCTCCCGACCCCCCGACCCCCCATAGCGCTTACGTAAGACTTGAACGGCCCCATAACCATAGAGACGTTATTAAGCTGACGGAATCCATTCCTAATGGGATCATTCAACCATTAATTAACAGGGGGAAAGCGGATAGGTAGTAATGTGGACTGTTGATCGCGTTCCTAGCAAAGTACCATGTTAGAATGACATCCACGCGTTTCCCCTGGAAACCCTCGTGATACATTCTTGGTGAATTTGTCACGATGGGCTAACTGACCTGACCCCATGTTCATTCTATCATCCTCAACTGGCCTTGTCAGCGTAAACCGTTAGCCCACACAGATGCACCATTCCATTGCCATCCACTAAAAATAAACCATTACTAACAGGTGGAAAGAGGATTGTTAATAACGTGGACTGTTGATAGCATTTCTAGCAAAATACTATGTTAGGTTGACCTCCACGCGGTTTCCCTTGGAAAACCTGACTAACTATTGTGATAAATTCCTGGTGAATTTGTCACGATTGACTAACTGACCTAACCAAATGCTAATTTTATTATCCTAGGACTGGTCTGCTCTAATCACAATGACTGATTTCCTCTTATTAATTGTTTAACCAGTTGGTTATATATTCAATATTTTTTCTATTTGAGTATTTAATTGAATTAGTGCTAATTGGTGGTTTGTATTCACACACTTAAACTTAAAAATGTGAAGTAATAATAAAATTATTTAAAAGAGCAACACGCAAGTTTCTTGCTCGTTCTTCTTGTGATGAGACAGCTTTCCGAACGAGTGGTAGATTAAAAAAAATGTAATGACTATTCAAAAGTGCTTCAATGTAAGTTTATTTGAATAAATGACTTCCTATTCTATTCAATTCCCACACTGGTGCCCCGCCAGCGCTGGCGGGATAGGCAGTGTAGGATAATAGAATGAACATGGGGTCAGGTCAGTTAGCCCATCGTGACAAATTCACCAAGAATGTATCACAAGGGTTTCCAGGGGAAACCCTCGTGATACATAGGTTAGCGCAGGCGGGTGCTTCATTCCAGTATCATCAAAAAAAACATTACTAACAACTTCTCCTTTTCCCCTTAACTATATAATTAAATAATATCAAAATAAAATGCCTTCATCGGGCTGCGTCTCCATGGTCTCCAAGGCTACGTTGATGTCCTTCTGCAGGAGGAACACCGCATGGCTGCCGGCGTGGCGCGGGAACTTGTCCTTGAAGTACAGCAGGCACTCGTGGGCTTCCCTGGCCCTCTTCACATCCATCAGACCCTTGGCGAGTCTGAAGTGGGACTTGACGTGTGAGGAGTCAAGCTTGATCGCTCGGTAGCAGTCCTTGATAGCCGCGTATGTATCGCCAGACCTGTGTAAATAGAAAGACACATACAGTGACGACTATTATAAACGAAGATTAATAGAAAAATGTCAAATTAGGACAATATACATAGTGCCATCTAGTGGGACTATGTATATTGTATTGTAAATAAGTACAGTTATGTTATGGGTACTAGACAACTGATATAAATATTTAGACAAACTTTTTATATAATCATATATATCACATATAATATACAACATAGAAACACTTAGAGTGATACAATTAACCATAGTCAGGACTACAAATGTTTGTACCGTGCGAGGAATCGAACCGGCGACCATTGAAAGGAAAACAGTATGTTAGACGGCTATATCACCGAGGGGGACTAAATGAGTGGTAGTGTGGTAGTGTAGTTGAGTGTAGTGTGGTTGTGTGGTATTGAGGTAGTGTGTAGTTAGTATTGTACCATGGTAGTGTGGTATGGTAGTCAGATAGTGTTATAGTGTGATAGTGTTATAGTGTGGAGTGTCATAGCGTGATAATGTGGAGTGTCATAGCGTGATAATCTGGAGTGTCATAGTGTGGTCATATGATAGTGTTGTAGCGTTATAGTTTGGTATTATTGTAGTGTAGTAGTTTAATAACGTGGTAGCGTGGTAGCAAAGTAGTGTAGTAGAATCTCAGTGTGGTAGTATGGTAGTCAGATAATGTAGTAGCGTGATAGTGTGGTAGTGTGATAGTGTGGATTATGATAGGGCTGTATTGTTAGCGTAATAGTGTGGTAGTATTGTAGTGTAGTAGTTTAGTAGCGTGGTATACCGACCATCCCCTGCGCATAAGGGCGGCGGCCCTGTTGGAGTAGAGTATGGCGCAGTCGGGACACTCGCCGATGGCGCTGTTGTACAGCTGCACGGCCGCAGAGTAGTCACCTTTGTTCACGTACTCGTTTGCCTGTACATTATGTTTTATTTACATATAGACATATAGATAACCATTTTATTTTGCACCTTCAGTATACATATATAAGATTCAATTTCTAAGTTTAACTTGATTTTATGATGGATGATTTATTTGTGAGATAGATAAATAAATATAAAATTAAATAACCCTGGACTGAAATTGAATTAATTTGAATAAAAGATTTTTTATTCTATAAAAAAATCTGTAATTTAACAATAGATAATAAATAAACAACAAAGGAATTTTAAATTATTTATTTTAAAATTAAAACAGATTTTACTATATTGAAGAGTTATTAATGAACTAGCTGTACACGTGACTCCGCGTGGAATTTAACTTTATTTTTCTAAAATAAAAGTAGCCTAAGTTACTCCTTATTACATCAGCTACCTGCCAAAGAAAGTCACGTCAAAATCGGCCCAGCCATTTCAGAGATTAGCCGGAACAAACGGACAGACAGACGAAAATTGTAAATGTTATTTTGGTAAGTGTCGTATTTACCATATATTCATATGCATGTAGTAAAACACGGTTATTTCAATATTACAAATAGACACTCCAATTATATTTATATGTATAGATGTATAGATGATAAAACAACAATAATTATATATTCAATATGATAAGTACGTTAGCTAAATTTGGAAATTATTATTATCATCTCTATGAATATTTGGACAGAAGCTGTCTATACAAATACATAGATATTTTTTCCGTAAATTTATACATAGAAAATACCCAGATCGATACAAACAATCATACTCGTGAATACAATTTTTTGTACTGAGCGAGGAATCGAACCCGCGACCATCGGAAGTACGGCGGTGTGCTAAACCACTAGACCACCGAGTCATTGTAAAATACATAAAAGAACGTACACGACACGTTCTGATTAATAGAATATTTTCTATGTATAAATTTACGGAAAAAATATCTATGTATTTGTATCAGTTATCTAGCACCCATAACACAAGCTTTAGCTAGCTTAACTTGGGTCTAGATGTTGCTGTGTAAATTGTCTTAAGATTATTATTATTATTACATGTCATTTTACTCTCTTTAAACTTTAATTTTTTACTAGTAGTGCCCGCGCTTTCACCTGCATTAAAGCATTACATAGTATAAAGTTAAGTCGATCCCCGTGTGAATTGAACGGGGGATCGATCGGAGAAAGAACGTACGTATAAAATCAGCTATTGTTTAGATTTTATTCATTCTTTCATAATTTAAGAGCTACGCTCTTGTCGGTGGAGCTCTTGCCACTTTCCGCGATCTTCCATCATGCTCTTTAATTCTTGATACGACACGACTCCCATTTTGTCCTCAATTTGTTTGATGTAAGCTATTCCTTGGTCTTCCCCTCCCCCTCTTTCCTTCTATTTTCCCCTCAATAATAATTTTCATGAAATCATCGTGCCGTATCAAGTGCCCTAACATTTTTCCTCGTCTATTTTCTATGGTGTTCAATATTTGTCTTTTTTCTTTTACCCTGTGTAATACTTCTTCGTTTCTTACTTTATCCTTCCAGCTAATTCTTTCCATCCTCCTCCAACACCACATTTCAAAAGCCTTCAGTTTGTCTCTTTCCTTTTGATTTAATGTCCACGTCTCACATTAGTTTATAATTTTGCAATTCAATTATTGTTAAAATCAACATAAAATTCAAATTTCATTTATTCATGTAGGACATTTTAGCCGCTTATGAACGTATTTTTTTTATATTATTTTCCTTACCGCCAACAATAGTTATTATTAATTAATACATGGCACATAATATGTAATTATTACATCACGGCATCTTACCACGTTTTATTTTTGAGTTCCCGATATTTGGGCAGTGTTTCAACGGCCATGATCACGGATGAACTGATGAGCAGCGGGTAGAAGGCAAATAAATCGTTTATGGGCAGACATATTCGTCTACCTTCACACGTCTTCGTGTTGCTACTATTGGAACTCAGAACACAATACATTTGTTGTATCTGCATAATCAGATAAGTATTTTTTATTCTAAATTTGCGTTTAAAATTTTCAGTTCCTTTTATACTATACTAGCTACTCGCACTGGATTCGCCCGGGTATACATGTATTACACATATAAACCTTCCTCTTGAATCGCTCTATCTATTAAAAAAAACGTTTCAAAATCTGTTGTGTAGTTTTAAAGATTTAAGCATACATAGGGACGGACAGACAGTGACAGTGACTTTTTTTTATACTATGTAGTGATAATGATATTGACTCACAGTTTCCTTAAGTATTTGCACGTGGTCGGGCAACTGAACTGGAGGGTCCACGGCTGCGTGAGTGCCATTTGTACCATTTTGGGGTCCCTGTTTGCCCTCCCCCTCCCGATAGCCATGGTTGTGCTGAATGATGAAACTCTCCACCAAAACTGGCTGCCGAGCTGAGTTGATATCGAAGAGGTATATCTGTGAACATTCATTGTAACTCACATTAATTTCTTCATTCTTATCATTCACTAGCTGTTACTCGCGACTTCAAGTGATGTTTAACCGATTTTTTTTATAAAAAAAATCTAAAATAAAAGCAGCTTTAATCTTTAAAATATTAGGTATATGCGAATGAAAGGCCCGTCAAAATCGTCGTCCAGCCGTTTCAGAGATTAGTAAGTACTTTATACACTTTCATAAGCATTTAGTGAAAGCATTTAGGTGTTAAGTATTGTTACGTTGTACGTTTGTGTGTTAAAATTTCACAGCTGGAGGAAATACAATTTTTTTCTAATTAAAAGACTTTTTATAATAAATTCGTGTTGGATAGACAAAGAAAATATTGATGGAATATGTGTATGTATAATTACTAACTGACCCGGCAAACATTGTTTTGCCTTAAAATAAAAAAAAAAACATTTAGGGGGATGAAAAATAGATGTTGGCCGATTCTCAGACCTGCTCGATACGCTCACAAAATTTCATGAGAATCGGTCAAGCGATTTCGGAGGAGTATGGGAACGAAAACTGTGACACGAGAATTTTATATATAAGATATGCATAACAGCATTTTTTATGTCACTGGAATGGCAAACAAGCTGACGACTGACTCGATAGTAAGTGTCAACGGTCACCTTAATAATATCACTTTATCATACCGTGATACCACTCATTCGTTGTCATTTGTTCATGTTCATAGGACTAAGATATTATGCCTCCATATTCTGTAATTTAACTGATTTGTCTTCCATCTCCCTTATTCCCATTAATTCGAAGCACACCCTACAAAAGTATACTGCAAAAACACAGATATGACCAGTGGAAGATATATTGCGCCGACCCCAAATAATAGAATGAGGGATGGCTATGATGATATCAATAATGTACATTAAAATTTTACCTCTCCAGAACCATAGACGAACCTGTTCTGAACCAAGGTTGACCAGTAGCTCGTTGCCGTCGTGGCTGAAAGCAACGTACGTCGTCGCCTTCTTGGGGAACGTATGTTCATTTGGTTCCATTGACAAGTGGCCTGCGAAACGAAATGACGATTCTATTAATAATAACTCTTGGACTATTTACATGGCGCCATCTAGTCTCAAACTAAACGGAGCTATTGTCATGGGTCTTGTGTATTGTTTTCTTTCAATTATTATTTAGACTTCGGTGACCCACACACTCCTTTGTGTCATGCCGTTTTAGGTTGACCGGAAGGGATCACTTTTAAAGATAAGTCCTCTTTTACTAACAATATTTATTTATTTATTTATTCTTTTGCACACAAAAATGTATACAAGGCGGACTTAATGCCTGATGGCATGATGAAGGCGGATTAAATGCAATATTTCTAATATTTATTTCAATTTCTTATTTAAAAGTACAATAAATAATATATATATTGATATAATTAAACACATTTTTTTGTATACGTATACATAATATATATAGACAGCACCCAACAAGTCTTATATATAAAATTCTCGTGTCACAGTTTTCGTTTCCATACTCCTCCGAAACAGCTTGACCGATTCTCATGAAATTTTGTGAGCGTATTGAGTAGGTCTGAGAATCGGCCAACATCTATTTTTCATCCCTCTAAATGTTAGGGGTAGTCCACCCCTAAATTTTTTATTTTATTTTAAGGCAAAACGTGTGCCGGGACAGCAGACAGGTATTTATATATAGTAATATATATAAATACCAATAAAACAATCATATTCATTAATACAAATGTTTGTACTTTGCGAGGAGACGAACCCGCAACCATCGATGTGCAAAATTGCTAGAGAACCGAGGCTATAAACAGATAAGTACAAAACCGTCGTAGCTACCGCGACTTTACTATCCCAAAGGTCAAGAGTTCGCATTTTCCGATACCAATAATTTGGACAGTTTGTATTTCTGACTGACTTCTTCGGAGTAAATTCTTCTTCTTTCTCAGAAAGAAAAAGAATTTACTACAACTAGAGATTCGGTTAACAAATCAATCAAAGCTATAATGATATGTATGCTCCGGCGAAAGATATGTCCCGGCTACAAGGAAGTACAATACTGAAACGACGTCCCCGTGTCCCCCCTGTCCCCGGCCCGTACCTGGCGCGAAGTAGTGCACGGCGGCGCGGGGCACGTTGAGGTCGGGGTCCCCGTGACCCGCGCGCGAGCTCCGCACGTGACTCCTCTCCCACATGAGGCGCGACGATGGCGCATTCACCTGTCACAGTGCACAGCTTTATAAAAAATCTAAACAAAATATATTTATTCATGTAGGTCAATTACAGACTCTTATGATATGTCAAATCTACTGTCTAAGTTGAGGGTGGTTTCGAGCTAGGAAGAACTGATAATATATACTTATTCTTATGAAATGGGCATGTACATTAAAAAAAATACATATTCATTTTTCACAATACTGAAAACTGCGGTGTTAGACCACGCCACGCAAATCCACATTGTTTAATCACCTTCCAGCAATGGTATTTTTTTTGTGGATGATAATGGAATGTTGCACCCGCCTGCGCTAACGGTTTACGCTGGCGGGGCACCAGTGGAGGACGGTAAGATGAGTATGAGGTCAGTTCAGTTAGCCCATAATGATAAATTCACCAGGAATTCAACACTATGGTTTCCAGGGGGAACCTCGTGGAGGTCGACCTGACATGGTACATTGCTAGCAATGGGGTTATCAACCATATTACTAATAATCCCCTTCCCCCCCAGCAATGGTATTTCCGAACCGATGCAATATTGAAACTTGCAAGAATAGAACAGAATAGGATAGGATAGGATAGAATAGAACAGAACAGAATAGAATAGAATAGAAAATCATTGAAGGACTGATAGATGTTATTTACTCTTCGATGATTGTTACTCAAAACCTACTGAATTAATTTTAGTGAAACTTTATAATACAGTTTAGACGTCTGAATAACAAATAGGCTATAAATTTAACACAAAGGAAACCGCGGGCACAGCTACTAAAAAGAAAATAATAAAGACTTTACCTGAAGTTTCGCCAACTTGATCATCCTAGTATCGTACAGCCGCACGTAGAAGTCGTTCGCGCCCACCGCGAGCTGGTACGGCCTGCGGGGGTTCACCGCCACGCATTTCGCTTCTGCATACCGCCCGAGATGGTTCAATAGGTTTACCAGTACGTTGGCTGAGTCTGAGTTGCAGCGATGTGATGTTCTCATATCATGTTGTCTGTAATAAGTGAGGGTAAGCTTGAGCTTGATGCAATTACGCCATTATATTGTATTGCGTAAGGTTTTATTTACAACAAACTACCAGAGTCTGTTCTGAATCTGCCTGAAAAAAGATTCAAATATCTATATATATTAAATATTCATAAAACACTTCCTTTGTAAAAAACTGAAGTATTCGTTAGTGATAATAATGTTTTTGTTGAAAAACTTAAAATTAGCGCTGACAATATTATCTGATTGCACTAAGAATGAGTGTAGCGGTTTCTATGTTGATTATCGCATATTCAAAAGAGCAACATACAAGTTTCTTTCTCATTCTTCTTGATGAATCTGCGTTCCGAATGAGTGGTAGAATAAAAATGACCATTCAAACGTGCTTGTATTGAGTTTATTTTAATATGGATTATTTCTATTTCTGTTGGATTTGACGGCGTCATTGATCTAGCGGTTTACCACATCGCTTTACGTCTGATGGGTTCATCACTCACGTTTCCGTGCAACTTCGAGCGTGCTCCTGATCGTGCGGGTAAACACATGCCGTGTAAAGGAAGCTAACTATTGTATCGTAACTATAGTTGCAAAATCGGTTATTAACGATTGTAACTAAACGGATAATCGAAGCGGCAACATCTACATTATCTAAATTATGTACATAATTTGAACCAAGGAGACGTTGTCGCTTTGCAGGTAGGTATTTAATATTAGTTACGTAATTTGTTGACATTTATGTTAAATTACTCATTAAATAACTGGATTATTTATATTTGTCGCATTAAATATAATTTATAAAATCTAAAATGGAATTTATATGCTTCGGTTATCGGATTTTCATTACATCTAAGAGTTGACATACAATAAAAAGAAAATTTTACCCTTTTACTTTGTCGCACGCGGATAATTAACCGTTATTAACTGCATTTTATCGGTAGCTAACCATACATTTGAAATTAAATGAAATATTATTGATCCTAAAAGATTACTGTAGGTACAGTTGGGTTTAAAATGAAATTCATATAAAAATATACAAACATTAAAGAGAGTAGGTATACTGGCCTCTTAGATAGGGTAATCAATAACCTGTTTAGAAGAAATTAGGTTACGGGTTTTGTAAAACTATAAACGTGACACAATATTAGGCCGCCTCCTAAATAGTTTATTAAAGTTTAGGAGAATTATGGTTAAGTAACGGTAGCTAACGGGTTTCCAGGTATAAAGGTGACTCACAGTATGAGGCCGTCCTCGCCGGCGGACCAGATGAGGTTGGGGTTGCCGGGCGCGGTGGCGAGGCGCTTGACGCGTCCGCAGTGGCACGCGCAGTCCAGCAGCGGCGCGCCCCCCGACACCGCCCGCGCCCGCACCGTGCCGTCCGCCGCGCACGTCGCCACGGTGTCCGCCGACAGGAACTGCGGCACGCACCACTCACTACCTCACTACTCAGTACTAACACATGCTCGTACACTGGATCGAACTTCACCAGTTTTCGATATATAAAATTGCTCATAAAATACACGTTATAAATGGAAATAGAGAAGTTGTATTCCATAACACACAACAGTCCGCGTCGTTGGGCCGGCCAGTAAACGGCGCGCTGATTTATAAAAGGGAAAGCGATAGTGTGTATTACAGTTTGTGATTTAGTTTTTTTAAAATCGAGTGCGTTGAAAACGTCGTATGTTATACGTGTGTATTTAACGCACTCGGCTCTATTACGCCCTCGCCTTCAGCTAGGGCAAGGCTTCCGCCTCGGGTGTTATAAGACACTTATATCGTAATATACTATTATTTAATTGATGATAGTCTGTTTAGGTTGCGAAAACTGGTTAGAGTTTTTTTTTTGCAATAGCATATGCTGGTGGTCACTCTATTCATATTTAAATTTTAATGACTGTATTATTGTAGATATGTACAACATTTATTTGAAAAAAATACGAGCTGAGTTTCTTGTCAGTTCTTCTCATCTGGAAATAATTCCAAACTGATAGTAGATCTGACATATCATAAAAGTCTGTAATAGACCTACATGAATAAAGATATTTTGAATTTATAACGGTATAATACACCCACCTGCACTAACGGTTTACACAGGCAGGGCATCAGTAGAGGTTAATAAGATGAGCATGAGGTCAGATCAGTTAGACCGTCATGACAAATTGATCAAGAAATCAGCATGATGGTTTCCAGCAGACAACTTGACAACATTGCTAGCATTGGGATTATCTTTAGTACACATAGTTTACATTACTAAACAACAACCTTGGCCCGACTCTCTGTTTATTACCTTTTATCTATTTATGTATTATCTTTCTATTTTATTAGAATGGCAAAAAGCTAACAGCCTTATTCTAAGCAGTAACCGTCTTCAAAGACAGATGTTTTTACAATCTATATCTGGTAAATAAAGTAATTGTTAGAACTGGTCTGTTCAAGTTACAGCCACTGATTAAATTATTTCCTTTTAAAAAAATACAATAGCACATGCTGGTGATCATAACTCCCTAATTTAATTTAAAAGTTTTGATGAAACTTTGCATTAATATAGCTCATACATCAGACAATACATAGGCTATAATTTAAAAAGATATATAAATTGGATGTGTAATAAATGTCAAGTAAGTATAATGCAGATGAAGCTGCATGGGTCAAATAGTACTAAAAAAATTATGTAGAGATACCTCATCACATCATATATAACACTACAGTGTTGAGGTGATAACCATCACACTACAATCACAACACACAATTATAGTCATTAGTGTAATATAGATAAAGTATGATATAGAGTAGCAAATCATGATAACAATAAGAACATTCTATTTACACTTGTTGTTATCTAACAATCAAATGTTACAAGTCATTTCTTTATCAATATTTGTATTAAATCAAATTTATATATTTGAGCAAAGCCTATCATTTACTACAGGATTACTTAACATCATAATGCAGGGCAATAGTCATTCCATTCACTTCACATTTCAGTTTGTTGCACAGGATTTTCATTTAATAAGACATAGACAATGGATATCTTTGAAGGAGGCCTTTGTTCAGCAGTATAAGCCTTCTGGGCTGAGATGATGATGATGATGATGATGAGACAATGTAAGTAAACTAGCTTTTAAAAAAAATCTGCAGAGTTTCTTGGCTGTTCTTCTCGATTGAATGGGTATACTGAACTTGGTGGTAGGGAAAAAATATGAATACAAAAAAACTTGACTGATGGAAAAACTTCTACAGAATCCTTTTATTATTATAACTATTAAATCCATAGCACTGACAATATTATCTGATTACACTAATAATGAGTGCGTAGTAATTTCTATGTTGATTATCGCATGCCTCTTACTTGCTATACTGTAATTATTTATATAAATAAACATCTATTAAAAAGAGCAACACACAAGTTTCTTGCTCATTCTTCTTGTGATGAATCTACATTCCAATTCATTGGTAGAATCAAAATATGACTATTCAAAAGTGCTTGTAATGAGTTTATTTGCATAAAGATTATTTCTATTTCTATTGATTACTTTACCATCCTTAAATGTTGAAAATAGATTTAAATGAAATTTGATACACACATAGCAAAAATAGCATAGTAACATATATCACATATATATAAGATATTAACTTCAATTCCACACAAAACTATGCTATAAGATTCATTAAATTATTCATTCATAAAAAAAAATTGTAAATAGAAGGATGAATAAGTTACCTTAACAGAAAATATGTTGCCAGTATGATCTGTAGCCATGTTATGAAGTTTCTTATACCGATAGGGGTCCCACAGTATTACGTGAAGATCGTCAGAGGCTGATGCTAGTATACTACGAAAAAATGCATTTGTTTCATTAAATAAAGGGTTCATACACTCAACTGTTGCATTATAGACTTTCAGAGACACTTACGATCCGTCGCTATTCCATTCAAGGCAATTTACGCAGCCTGCGTGACCGTGAAGCTCCTTCTCCAGTCCGAGCCGGTTGATCATGGCTCTCGTCACCATGAGACGACTCTGGAACTGCCTGTCCACATCACCACGCTGACGGGCAGCAGTTAGACCCACTGTGCCCTTTGTCCAAGCGGGATCCTCTCTCCGACCCATATTTGCTAAGTATCACTCAATATGTCTGATCAACCATCCCAATCAGACAAAATTACGAACTAACTGCGGCTGGATCTATTTATAGTATGCAATATTTTACTACTCATCATCGCCTGACAAGGTCAAATTTGTTTGCTACAGCGATGATATTGTTAAAAAATTTAATAAACAAACAATTAGTATTGAATAAAAAGGTTTTTATGAGTAGAAGAAGTATTTCAATGAAAATATGTAATTACTGACTGTCAAATTGTCACAACAGCTGTCAGTGAGTTCTTTTTCTTTTCTTTTACTGGCATGGAAGCATAGAACATGAATAATAGCTCCGGATCTAGTTAACTATTTAGCATGACGTATGTACAATTGTACATATATTACTATTCATTGTATTTGTATTAATAATATCAATGGACAATTCACACAACGTCATCTAGTCTCAAACTAAGCAAAGCTTGTATTATAAGTATATGAGATGAATACAAACAATCCTACTCATGAACACAAATATTTGTATCAAACCCGCGAACATTGCAAGTAAGAAACCACTAGACCACCGATAATGTCACACTAGCTGTCACTGTCACTTACAAGTCTTATTGATCTGTGGTTCTTTTTCATTGTCTGTTTTTGTCTGTCAGTGTAAATAAATATTATATTTTAATTATTTTAATATATTTTATATAAGGTATAATAATTCCTCTTTCATTCACTAAATAATTATTTATAGCTTCTTTTTCTATTTTTCATAATATAAATGTTATTGGATTACAAAAATATTCTTTGATCTAATATATTATTTTTCACTGATACTATTGAAGTTACTTTGTACACAAGCTTCGAATTTAAATTCCAGATAAAACCACAGAATGGGTGAACGGAAAGGTCAAAACCTGTACTATCCCCCCGACTACGACCCTAAAGTTGGGGGGTTGAACAAATTCCTGGGCACCCATGCCTTACGGGAGCGAGCTCGTAAACTCCACATGGGGATCTTGATCATCCGGTTTGAGATGCCATATAACATCTGGTGCGATGGCTGCAACAACCATATAGGCATGGGAGTGAGGTATAATGCTGAGAAGACGAAAATTGGCATGTATTATAGCACACCGGTGTACCAGTTCAGGATGAAGTGCCATCTGTGTGATAATCATTTTGAAATCAAAACAGATCCAGGCGTAAGTATTCTTTTTTTATTATATTTATATTACTGAATAATTTAGAACATTTTTATGTTATAAGTTAAAGTTGCGGGACACAATTGATTATAGTCATGTAGCAGCATACTTTATATATGTGTTTACCTTTAGTTCTTGCAATTTCCTACAATACCTATTGCATGGTACATGTAACATTTGCAATGCATCTGTGTGACCTTCAAGCAGCTCAAATTTTTTTTTTAAGATGCAGTGTTAATCCGTTGCTACCTGCAGCAGTGTGTGTAAGCTACACATGTAACATTGTATGTAAGGCCGAAACATCTCAATAAAAACACTTCTATTCTATCTGTTGTTTCTATCATTTGAAGCTCCCAGGTTCTCAACGAAGTAGGTCATAGACTTAAACCCTAAAAGGATGTGTACACATACCTCCTTGACACCTTTTATTCATAAGTGACTTGTATTTTATTTTTGTTGTGTAAAGTATATCCAATATTTCTTAGTTCTCTACTGGCAAAGGCCTCTAATGTTTACCATTCTGGCCTGTGTATTATGCCAGTTATTAGAAACTTCCAGTACTTGGCAGGTTTGGTTATAATTGAGTATAAATTATTTGGGCCCTCCTGATGTTATATGATCTTAAGATAGTAACAAATATCAATTATTTCTTTACAGAATTTAGACTATGTCATAGTATCAGGAGCTAGACGTCAAGAGAACAGATGGGATCCCACCGAGAATGGTCAGATTGTACCCGAGACGAAGGAGACCCAAAAACGCCTATTCGATGACCCAATGTTCCGACTGGAGCACAAAACTGGTGACGAGCATGATGCTAAACAGGATAAGCCCAGGCTCGGGAAACTAGTGGGAAGAAATGAAACTGTATGGAAAGATGATTATGAGGCTAATTGCTCTTTGAGAAGAAACTTTCGGGTAATCTTATTTCCTTATTTATACTCTGTATTGTACAAAATACAGATATTATTTAAAAAAGTAATTACATATATATCAACAGATACAATTAGTGGTCTTATCGCTAAGCAATTTCGTCCAGACTACCTTTAGGTGGATAGTGAAAGTAAAAACAAGGTGTCCTACATAATTTATTATGTGCATCACCTACCCTTTTCTATCTTTATTTTCTTATTCTTATTTGAGTTTTCATTACACACTTTTAATCATTAAGCAGACAATGCAAATTAAGAAATAAAGTCATCTGCTTGGGTGTCCCACCAAACAGTTTGCTTTATGTGATATGCCTTGTAGTAGAATGTGATTAGTCAATTCAAATACTATTTATTCATGTACTACCTTTTAGCCGTTTATGTATGTCAAGTTTATTGTAATTAATATTTTATTCCCTGCCAATGAAATTACAGCATACAATGGTGACATGATAGTCCTGTAGAAAGCCAATACATCAGAGATATCAATGATCACATGATGTTTTATAATGTTTTTACACTGGTGTACATTGGTTCTTTCCCATATTCTCCAACAATTTAGATTTCTCACCACATGAAGTAACTTAGCAATTATACTAAACATTAATTTCGTCTTATTACAGAAAAAAAGGAAGGAATTTGAAGAGGCATCTGTCAATGACAGCTTACTACTAGCTAAATCATCACTGGACATCAACCTTCTACCAGAGACAGAAGATGATAGGAACATGGCTACACTTTTATCTCTTCGACCTTCACGGAGTATAGAAGAAAAGCAGAGTTTCACCAGAATACAGATACTAAACAGTCCAGCTTTGCCGAGCTCAAGTGGACTGATTACCACTTTTGGAGGCCTCAAAAAAGAAGAATCATTGAGTAAAAATGCTCCATTAACTAGAAATTCTCTAGGAATTACCATTAAGAAGAGTAAAGTAGAAAAAGAAGAAATTGGTATAGAAAAGAATTTAAAACTACATGAAAATGATGAACAATATTCTGAAGGTACAGAGAAACATAATAAATTGAATAATCCGGTAAGTCCTCCATTAACAAGAAATTCCTTGGAAATCTCTTTTAAAGAGAGTAAAGTTGAAAAAGAAGAAATAAGTACAGACAGTAAGGCAAACAAACAAGAAAATGATAAAAAATATTGTAAACAAATAGAAATTGATAATAAAGCAGACAATACTACAAATAATAAGGTTGGAAACAATGTTAACAAAAAAGAGGCAATACAAAATATAACGAATAGTTTATCATTAGTAGGTGATTACAGTTCTAGTGGGGAAAACTCAGATTAAGTGACAATTACTGTTTATAGCTTGAAGACAAGAGGACAGTCTTGAGAAGTTAATGAAAAAGCCTAAGAGGCTACAGCCCAGATGGTGAATCTAGACATACTGGTGAGCGCAGCTGTTCATGTGACGCAAGATAGTGCACAATGGAGAGAGACAATGAGGATAATGGGTCTGAAGTGTAATCTTTAAGAATATACTGGGACCAAATACAGAGAAATTATTAATAAAGTTATCCGTAATATATAGAAGTACCTAACAATTACGCTAAGGCTGGATTTCACCAATTGATGTAACGGAGTTTAGCGTAAACTCGAAAAAAAATATCGAAGTTGATCTCGTTTTTCTTTAAATGGAATTCACCAGCATTATACAGATCATGTTTACCAAAATGAAGTTTTTAGATTTTCATTCGTTCACAGTGTTACAATGTAAAATAAATAAAATAATATGTTGTATTAGATGCAATGGGTAATTTAAGTAAAATAATTTTAAGAAATATTTGAAATTCATTCATGTGATAATAAGGTTAAGTTTTTAATTTAAAAAGTACTGTTAACTACAAAATATATAGCAATAACCTTTTCTAATAAACAATAGTGAATTATTGAACATTATTTTATTGAGGATTCTTTTTTTACACTACTGGCAATTTTGTTTTTCCCGATTATTCCCGATATTGTCAAACATTTTCAAATCACTTCTATTTTAATGATTTCTCGACCCGAGTTTTTGTTTAATATTTTGTAACTCCCGCTTTTGTTCTTGGACCCTTGTGTGTAACGACGACCAATACTTGCTCTAACGGACTGGATTCCTTGTTTCTTTGTGACCCTCGCTATTCTTTTTGGACATTGTGTGTCATTGCCTAAACGTCCGATAAAGCAAACCAGTCGTTTGCTTTATCGGATTTGATCTTGCCCACTTGCCAGCAAAATGACTCCAGCCGGACTTACTTTGAAGCGGAAAAGAGATCCGACATTTCTCGCCAGCGAGAAATCCAATCTAGTGGACTTAGTAAAAAAAATATTAAACTAAAATATTTCAACATCGTCGAATGCAAAGACGATGCTTTAAGTTCACGAAATAAAGTCTTAGGTTAGCAAAAATTAGGGGATGAATTTAATACCCGTTCTCCAATTCATCTTCGAAATGTGCGTATTGAAAAATTTGAATAAAAGCGCCTAAAGTGCACAGTAAGCTATTTACATATATTATTATTATTATTATAACAGGTACATATATTATTATCATAAATTTCCAATAAAAAAATTGTTGATTGGTAGTTACCCACAGTTAACGTTTAACTTTTTTATATTCAAGGTGGTAGGCCATCCCATAAACTCTGCACCGATCTTGCCATTGAAAGGCCTGAAACGTGGGTACTTACAAACTTTCACATTTATAATGCTACGTTTACATTCAGCTGCTTCCCCTGCCACTCGCGCTGCCGAAAATATTGCCGGGCGACAACTGAGCGAGAGGGCTGAATGTAAAAACACGCTGCCACTCGCGCTGCCAGACCTTTGACTCGCGCACGAAAAACCGACAATCGAGGGAGCGCCGGCCAGCGCGAGTGGCAGCGCCAATGGCATGGGAAGTGTTTCCACTCGTGTTTACACTCTCGCGCTGCTCACTTCCCTGCCCACTCGGGCTGAGTGTAAATTAGGCATAACATACTAGCCCGGCTTCGCGCGGGTTTCCTGTATTGTAAATATAAACCTCCCTCTTGAATCACTATTTATTTTAAAAAAATGCTTCAAAATCCGTTGCGTAATTTTAAAGATTTAAGCATACATAGGGACGGACAGATAGCGACAGCGACTTTGTTTTATACTATGTAATGAAGATATTTCAACTTCACGTAACGATGTGCCTATTATGAGCGAGTCGCAAGCATTAGGTACTTAGAGGAATAAGGGAGCACTTTGTCAGTCCTCTAGAAAGAGGACTTTCATGCTGTGTTTTTCTTAGTTAATTTAAATGAGTGTAGGTGCTATATAAATATGCATACATGCCACAGTCACGAATCATTGATATAACATCATATTAATGTAAAAATGGCTTATATTTTTTGTCCTAACTACTCGTCCCGGCTTCGCCTGGGTGTACATGTGTTATATATATATAAACCTTCCTCTTGAATCACTCGTATCTATTAAAAAATATGATTCAAAATCCGTTGCGTAGTTTTAAAGATTGAAGCATACATGATGTTCACACAAATACATCCAGCGCAGCGTGCTCCTGCACCCCACTACGGCAGTGCATTCGAAATCGTCTCACCGATCAGTCATTACTTTTGTATATTTTTTATTAGCTCAATAGCAAATCATTTTTAAGACATGTACTTAGCATTTTTTTTTAAAATGCGAGTAAAAGTAGCATCTAACTGCCCAGACGAAAAGCAACTTTATTTTATACTATGTGATGATCTTGCTGTATTGATATTTAGCGTCTATATTGTTACCGCTATTATTTATGTTTATGTTGTGTTCTTGTAGCAACAGCGGGAAAGAAGGAGGTGAAATGATGAGTCCAGATTGTTGTTATGTACATATTTATAATTACGAAATATTTACAATGAATATATAGGTATGTACAAGAAAGTGATTCGGTCTCGAATGACAGGCCTGTTATTTTATTCTTCTGTCGTAACTAGGCAACGGTGTTGCCGCGCGATTATAATTAATTCGCCACAGATATTTCCATTGCTAATAATATAATGAGATATTAAAGCAATCCAAGAATCAGGGGTGTCACGTATATACCCTTCTTGAAAAACCCCATGCTGTAGTCTCGTGAGAAAACCTCGGGAGGAAGTTCATTCCATAATCTAAGTGTTTATTTTGGTTGTCATTAGAAGTGACAAATTGGCCAGGACTTTATCGTGATGGTTTCCAGAGGGAACCGCGTGACGGTCAAGCTGACATGGTACATTTCTAGCAATATCATCAATCCACATTACACCTTAGTAACGCGGTGGTTATCCTCACCACTGTGGCGTTATATGTATATATTGTGATGAGGTGGCGCTACGTAATATATAATTTATGCGTAGAATTTAACTTCTTTTCTATCTATGTATATTAAAAATGAATCTATATTTATATCAGTTGTCTAGTACCCAAACAGGAGCTCTGCTTAGCTTGAGATTAGATTACGCTGTGTGAGTTATCCTGAAAAATAAAATTGAAACAACTAAACGATTGTTACTAGGCGCCTATGCGCGACAAGTATCTGCAGATTCTGCCAAACTGAAGAGGAAACGCCGCTTCACATCCTATGTGGTTGTAGCCCACTCATGCATAAACGAAATATCTCCTTTGTAAAGTTTACACTCTTTCCCGAGGAGATAAAAACCATCGCTCCTAAGAATATCCTTCAATTCTTGTCCCTGACGTATAGGTAGCGAACTTTGAAAAAGGGCGAGCACAATAGATCTATGTAGGTCGCAGTGCTGCAGGTGCTACAAACATCTGGCAATAGCCCAAACAACCCAATAAAAAAAAACGATTGTTAGTCAAAAGGACGAATCACGTTTTCATTGTGTTATATTAATAAAAGATATATATATTTGAATATAACTTTATTTTTCCTTTTATAAAACATTCATTTACTTTCAATGATTAACATTTTTCGATGTGATAACGTACGGTAAGCAGACATCAAAATCCATTTCTATATCTAACTGTATTTGGTTAATGAGACGACATATAAACATTAATATTTAATCTTATATAATACCTAAGTCTTGTCAGGGGCGGATCATGAATTTGTGGGGCCCTGGGCTAAATCTACTTAGGGGCTTACCTAATTATATTACTCAACTAAAAAAAATATCAAAAACAAGCGACCAGAAATTCCCCGTTCCTTTCGTTCCCGCGCACTTGCATGGGTTGATTGATCTCAGGGTTGCCAACCTTATGATAGGCTTTTTAACATTCTAGATATTTTCTTATATTCTAAATATCGTTTCAGTGGGGACTAGGAGTCATTTGTATCCTCGAGGCCCTGGGCTGCAGCCCAAAAAGCCCTTAGGTAGATCCGCCCCTGAGTATTGTAATCTCAAATGGGGTGATCAAGGTAATGTTTGACCGGAATTTGACTTTGCAACACCAACTTGATTTTCCGGTTCAACAAATTACCGAATTGATTCATATATACGCAAATTTATCCTACTCTGAAATTTAAAATCGAAATTTCGGTCAAACACTAGACATTTATGTAATATATGAATGAAATATTCTGCATACATTTCTCTGTGCATATCCGAATGCAACGTAACGAGGGTGAGCCTATGGTTTAACGGCATTTTCCATAACCAAAGGTTTATAAAAATTGACACAATATTTTGGTATTGCTATTATTATATGATACTGTTTATGGTTTGTTACATAATTTATACGGTATTTTCCCGCCATATTTAACAGTTCCATAGCTATTACATGATACATAATCGCAAACCTTTCACATTAAATATATATAAAAATGTATTGCAACTGTACACTTAATGCGTTCGAAACTTTTTTAATTATACGAATTAGGGCTGTTATATTTTAGTATAATATTCTTAGAAAAACATATTTCTAATTACGTAATATAGGTCATGAACTTAAATCGTAGACAGAGAAAGTTACTCCGTCTACAACACAGATTACAAAGTAGATAGAGAGAGCATCAAGAAATTTAAAAAAATCCAATTTTTTCCTAATATTGCGTTGTGCGTTTAATCAATGAGTACCTTGTAAGTTCTTCAATAATTGAGTAAGTAGTAATTACTTGTCTAAACTGCCACTAACATAAAGCGAAAGCTTAAATTGACTAGAATTGGTCGTTATATTTAAATCATAATGTATTTTAAAAAATATATAAAACACTTAAGCAATACTTATACATTTTTAAATTTTTTTCTTTGCAGACATTATATATAAATGATCTATTTTTTTTTCTTTTTTTTACGATTTTAGCACAACTATTTGTAGTATATAACACTTAATACGTTCAAGTGATTCTTTACCAGAATAACCTAAATGAATTTCTCTAAATTGCAAAACAATTTAATTTTCAAACTCACTAATAAGTACATAGAACACTATTTACTTATAAAATGTATTATTGATACAAGTCCCGTGTATAAATGTAAGTAAGTCATTAATTGTGAATAATGTAGTCGTAATGAGTGGCAGATTGATCATGTTAGAATTGATGACAAGATCTCTTGCTATTTTCAAATATATTTTTAGTGTAAATAAATGGTCATAGGGTCGAGCCTCATTTAATGATAATGACAATAAAGTATATCAACATCCAAAATATTACTTAACCTAAAATTACAAATTGTGGCGTCATTGACACTGTGACGATTGTGATCTAGGTCAACAAATTGTTGTACGTGATTATAAAAATCAGAATAAATTGGTAGGCTAATATTTATTGCCATAGAAAAATCAGGTGATATGTTCTGCCATTTTGTTGTGCACAAAATGGCGGTTGTTGACAATATGGAGGTCAGAGAACCGGTAGCTTAATTTATACTAACACATACATTAAAACTAATATAAATACGTAGAATTTACTAAACATCAATAACAATTAGCTGTCTTACACTTGGCTCTCCTGTAATTTATATATTCTAACATAAATACTGATCTTTCTACCCCATAGTGACTTTAGGTGTATATTCAATTACATTAACTGCTCCTTTTAAATGTAATAGCTGTAAAATAATTTACAGTAATAAAGCATCTACTTGTAAGTACACGATTACGAACAAATTGATAAATATAGGAGAATAGAAAGAGGTTTTTAGAACCTCAAGTGTGGTATATCTCACAAACTTAATAATAAAAGATATTTATAAAAAAACTGAGTTTTGAAATTCAACTTTAAAGTGTAGGTCATAAAGTCGTTTTCCGAATATATTGAGTTTGACTTAGCACATTTTATTATTAAGCTTGTAATATGTGGAAATTGTTGGGAGTACATAATTAGTTTGTTACTGCAATTCACTTTCGCTTCTACCTTCAGTCACTATAACTTCTACCTACTACACTCGTCTTTTGTTTCCTCCCTCCTTTCTCTCTCTTTCCCTTTCACTCGCAGTTCCATTTCATGCAAATATCGTTCCAATTGATTTTACATATATAATAGTTGTAATAAAACAATCGAAATTGAACAAGTTTGGGCTTGTTTGAAGTACCTATTTCAACGATTACTTGCCTGACACATATTAAATAGGGATCCTACATGGAAAATCAACCAGTGGTGTAACTACAGACTATCTATTTATTATCAGATACTTTTCAGGAAGGGTTAAGGTTTCTTAAGTGTCGGCAACGTTCACGTGACATCCCTAATGTTTAAGGCATGCGAAGTCAGTGGATACTATGCATGTTTGTCACCAGTGGTATAAGTCCTTGGGCCTTTTTGTCCTATTTCTTGCGCCTTCTATTTATGTTATCCCGGGATAGTCTAAGATCATTAACGAAAGCTTTTATATTCGACATGTTATAGTTTCTTAAATTAATAATAATAATAATAATCTCAGAACAGTTCACACAGCGCCATCTAGACCCAAGTTAAGCTACCTAAAGCTTGTGTTATGGGTCTTAGATAACTGATAAAAATACATAGATAATTTTTTTTCGTATATACATACATATTATACATAGAAAATACCCAGACCGATACAAACAATCATACTCATGAGTACAAATGTTTGTGCCTATGTATTTAATAAATTATGTAATATTTGAATTTAATGATGAGAGAGATTAGAGATATTTATATCATTATTGTGTCCGCGGATCATTAACCAGGGGACCCCGAGGTCCCGTGGCATTTCAGTCTGCCATTTAATTCTTACGCCACTGACCTAAAGGTATCTTATGATAAGTATAAAATCTTGATACAATAATTAACTAATACGTTAGGGATACATTAGATGATAGGTGTAATCAAAACATGTTACAATTTCACAGTCGACACGTGTCTAAGTATATACGCAACAGATCGACAAAACTGCACTTTTAATTTGGCATTCATTATTAATAATATTATATTTGTAAAGATAACTTTTGTTTGTAACCTATTGCCTTCAATCACTCAACCAAATATAAGATATATAGCGTAATGATAGTACTTGGGATGTAAAAGATGTTAGACTACTTGTATCAGAGCCACAATGATAAAGTCGCGGGAAAAACTAGTATTATAAATTTATACTTGACTCCATCGCAATTCTACAAAAGGGGCCGTTCAAGTTTTACCTAAGCAGTATATTTGATTTGCTTATTTTGGATGACATGGGGGCGGGGGAGTCTAGGTGATGATTATATCATCGGCAGTTATTTACTTTTTTACACGAATGGCAACCCTCACATTGTCTTTGCTAAAAAAAACGATACATAAATTGAAAAATGTTTACGTAAGCATGGGGGGATTTTTAAAAGACTTGCTTACTTTTGCTGACCTCCATCCCCCTTGGATGGGGTGTGAATAATTGTAATAAATCTGCTTACGTAATACTTGAACAACCCCAAATGGAACACCCCCTATTCCCGATTGGAACTTTAATAATTCAATCATCAAATATATGTAAATATTTCAAAAATTCAATACTTCGTCATTTGTTTCCAAATCCGTAAAGAAAACAAAATGGCGTCATTTAATTACTGACAGCTGTTTCGAACACAGCATTACACACTTAACACAATCAACTCGAAGAGAGAGAAAAAACATAGGTCGTTAAATTACAGTCGTATTCTTCTTAGCCTTCATATTCTTCTAGAGGGAGACTTCCAAATTCGTCTGCGACCTCTTTCTTATCTAATTATCTAAGCAGCTTCCTTTATAAGCTGTGTATAGACTATAGACATAACATTGTAGTCTTTAAAAATGGTAATTACGGGCATCACTTGTTAACGATGTCTGTAGTGATTTTCATGTATATATGATATACATATACATTATTATTGTATGTATGTATGTACATACATATATATGTACTTTATAGTTACATATGTGTATTCGAAATATGTAATTTATATGTATATTTATTAACATCACTTCTCACTATATTGTTTATTATTACACCTCGACCAAACTTCGTCCTAAGGTTGCCTGAAAGATTTTCAGCGATAAGGCCATCCACTGTTGCCTCTTTCTCTAGCTCATTGTTGTGTTTATACATATTTATATGTTTACATAATAGTATATATATGTTGTTATTTTTATTTCTGTGAGGATATCAAATAAAGAATTTTCATTTCGTAAGCAACGATTTCCACTTACCATCAGGTGGTATGATAAACAATTTATCATCTACAATTATATCCATTAAACATATAGCTAACTCCATGAGGGTTATCGTAGGCCATTGTTAGTCTCTATATTTATTCCGAGCAACGTTTGTCTTCCAATGCTAGTATGAGCGCACACTCTATCTTTGCCTGCAGCCAACTCAGCACCTCAGGATCGGGAACTTCTATTATCTTCTCGTCTGTTGAGAAGTAGCTCACCATTTCATCCTGAGAATAGAAAACGCTTTATTCAAACTTAATTTAAGCACTTTTCAATAGTCATAGTATATAGTCATACCTGTTAACTGAACACTATTCATAATCTGTGACTTGTAACATAGACTAAGTATGTATTAGTTTATGGTAGATTGTATTTTTAAAAATCTCTCTCTGGTTCCGTTTTGTAGCTTGTTCTGCGTAATTGCCGGGTTTGATTAAGATTATCCCATAAAATTTATTTTTATTTATTTATTTATTTACTTAATACAGAAAACATGTGTACTAATTTACTGAGGAAACGATGATATTCACAGAAGTATAAAACCTAGTATATATTTTATTTTTTGGAATTATATATACTAGGTGGAGGGCGTTGATATTCGCAACACAGTTTTATACTTCTGTATATAATTGCTAAAACGTTCAATATTATAGTCATAGTAATAATTATTAATTTTTTTAATCTACCGCTCATCCGGAAAACTGTCTCATCTCAAGAAGAATGAATAGGAATTTTGCGTGTTGCTCTTTTAAATAATCCTAGTACTTAACTTTACATTTTTAAGTCGAAACGTGTGAATACAAACTGCCAACTAGCACAAATATATTATCATATTATCTATAGTCAAATATTAGTCACTACGACTGATTTAATCTTATTGTGTATTCACAATAAGATTAAATCAGTCGTAGTGATAAGAGCAGACCAGGCCCTACAAACAGCACTCGATCACGAGTATGACGTATGAGCCAGCCATCACTGCGCTCGATTATATTTTAGGGAACCCAATGACCCGGTCCACCACGCCACCACATGTCTGGACATTTTAGTGAGCATGACTACTCATTCCACTCGACCACGTCACAGCTACTTAAAATTACTATATGGTAGTTACAGTATTCGCACTTTACAAGAGGATGCATGCGGTAATAAATACAAAAGCCGCTACGCTATCATATTTTATGGAAGCAATATGAAAAAGAAATTATAATGTTGTCCGCAAATAAACTTATTCTTGATAGATATTGCTGTCATCTATGAATTCATCTATCATATAATATATCTTTTTTACATAACATTTGTTTAATATAAAATTTGAATTGCTTCTCTGTCAGATTTAGAGTAGATTCTGGCAGTTTATTATAAAATCTTACGCAATCTTACGTATATGGCAATCAAAGATGAGAATGTGGAGATACAATTAAAGTCAAAATTATTTAATTATACATACAGCCTCGTTGGTCCAGCAATTTAGTACGCCACGGTACTTCCGATGATCGGATTCGATTCCTCGCACGGTACAAACATTTGTATTAATGAGTATGATTATTCGTATCAGTCTGGATCTTTATTTCCATATTATATATGTATTTACAATAAAATTCCTATTAATTCCAACCACTACGAGATAGAGCATACCGTGTAATATAATTACCGTGTGAAGAATCGAACCTGCGACCAACGGAAATAAAGCGATATGCTACTAGACCACCGGCCTCGGTAGTCTAGTCAAGCTCGTAATTTATTACATAAATGCAATTTTTAAATACCTGTTTAATATTCAGAATGAGTTTATCTTCCCGTATGGCCGGCACGCCGATCAGATCGTCCAGTTTCACCACCCACTCGATGTGCCACGAGCCGTTACTACCAGCTCTCACCATAAACACGTGTCTATACGTAAATATAGCGAAGAAATTTATATATATTATTTAATTTTAAACTTTCGTGTTTAATATACATTATTTAAATTATTAACCGGGTCTTAACACGAATAATGTTATGGTAAATAAAGGTATTTACCTCTCTCGACGTTTCGACTACGCTGCACATCGCTGTTACTCCAGTCAGCTCGTGACCACGGCTAGTGCAACCTAGTCGAAACGTCGAGAGAGGTAAATACCTTTATTTGCCATAAAATTATTCGTGTTAAGACCCGGTTAATAATTTAAATAATTATATATATTATTGTTTTTAATTGATTTTTTTTTAATCTAACTTTATTTTGGAGTTTTTGTTTTCAAATATATCAACCCCATCTTTTTAATGGATGATAATGTAAAGGTACACCCGCCTGCGTTAACAGTATACACTGGCAGAGCACTAGAGGAGGATGATAAGATGAGCATGAGGTCAGGTCAGTCAGCACATTGTAGCAAATTCACCAGGAATTTATCACGATGGTTTCCAGTGGAACCACGTGGATGTCGACTAGACATGGTACATTGCTAGCAATAACCCCATGGTTATTACCATTACTAACAATCCATCTGTTACTGGAGCGGGAACACAACTAATATTTTAATAAAATCCAAATATTAGTGAAAATGTGTATTCTTCCCAAAAGGGCTCACAGCGAGAAGTAACAAAACTATATGGTTAGTCAAAAGTGACGTATAAAAATAGATATAAAAAATATAAAGTTTATAAAAAGATTGGTAGACAAGCTGCCAGTAACACCATCATTCCACCATTCCATTATCATTAATAAAAAATATGATGATAACAAAACACTCACTGCGTGGAAACTAATAGCGTGTAGTGTGAGTGTGGCGCTAGATGCGCGTGCGCAACATAAGCGTCAGTATCGGCGTAGTGTCCGCGGGCCAGCAATCCTAGCAGCGCTGCCCCCAGCGCCGCGTGCACAGAGTACGGCCGCACGCCCTGCCACAGACCAACACTCTACAGAAAACTCCAAGAAAACAGCTTGCTCCTTCTTAAAACGACGGTAAGGCACTTGAAATTTCTTTGTGTTGCAGGTGCTGGTGCTCATGTCGACACAACGTCCATTGGGAACGTGGACTGTAGGTTGATGATAAATATCACAAACAACTTTTCTTCTGGGTAAGCGTACTACATCCTAGGTCTTGCCATCATTTACCATCAGATGAGGTAAGTTCAAGCGCAATCCCATTATTAATTGAAAAAAAAAGACTTATTATATTCAAATTCAAATACTTATAATTAACTAGCTTTTACCCGCGGCTTCGCTTGCATTGAACCCGTTAAATAAGTACCGGATATCAGTATCCTATGTTCATTCTTACATGGCAGGCATACCTCCAAGAACATGTGTACAAAATTTCATTATGTACGGTTCAGTAGTTTTTGCGTGAAAGTAAAGTGGTAGACAAAACCAGAGAGAAAATCAATCAATGGTGCTACCCTGTGGCACTTGTGTATTACCATAGACACAAAATATAAAATAATTTACATTATACTTAGTCTTACTCATAGTAATAACCGATTCCTACGATTTTGTTCAACTAATTGATCCCTTTATTTAGTTAAAGTGAATTGATTGAACTAACCTGAACTGCCAGGGGTGACAATTAAATTTAACAGTTTCCTCTATACTCAGCCCATGAGTAGGCTTAGGAGTAAGTTCATATTATATATTTATTTATTTTATTATTTTTTTCTTCTATTATTTTTATTAAGAATTAGTTTAATTTAAATTTTGGTAACATTAAGATTGTGGAGTGAATATGTCGCTGCACGCGATCGCACCACCACTGGGCTGCTACTGAAAATCAGTGTTTTGCTCGCTGAGCAAATTGTTCACTGAGTAGCTCAACCCTTTCGTATCCCTGTGGCACCTAATATATATTTTAATGTTTATTTTATGTGGAAGTTAAAGTATTATGTGTTGTATTTTTTTATTATAATTATTTACTATTCTTATGTGTTATTTGGATTTTGTTTGTACTATCTTTGTTATCGGGATACGAATAAAGATTTTTATCTATCTATCTATCTATCTTATATATGAAAGTTCATAATATATATTATATTATTATAAGTATGTATTTTCTGTATAACAAAGACTTAATTTCTTCACAACGTCGAGAAATAACAATGCTTCTCACAACTCCATTTCAGGTAACAATCTACAACGTACTAACAAGTCTACAATGTATTTGTATTGTATTTACATAAAAAGCGAATTCACTCTATACATTTAATTTTGCTGTTCCCGCCATTTTACAATACAGACTATAAAATGCATAGAGTAGGTACTTAACCATCAACTTTTTTTTTAGTTCGGTTTTCCCGTTTCTACAAGAGGCGAAAGGACTCAGCCTATACAGTCATTGTCTTCGTATCCATCAACTACAAATATTACAGATAAAGACTAAAGACAATAACGAATATCAATGCTACAATATTAGTGTACATACATCTGCAGGCAGACAATGTCTGGGCAGGCGGGCCCGTGCCACCAGCCTTCCTCCGCTACGCTCCAAGCATGCTTTTAGTGTGCTTTCAGCGTTGCGCAGCCCGAGCTGACGGGAGAGCGACGAGCGAGCCGCGTCTCGACATAGATCTGTAATAATAAAAATATGCCTGGAAAATTCCCACAGCGCCATTTAGTCCCAAGCTAAGCAAATGTTGTGTTATGGGTACTAGACAACTGATCAAAATCAAAGTGATCAAACTCTACCTCGGTACAATATGTTAGTGCTTTGCGCTAGACACAAAGTTCTGCTGTTCTTTTTATCCTTGGCTTTTCCAAAAATCGGTAACTTTTTAATTAAATGAGAATTTAATCGTGTTATTAACTATTTTTGTAAAGGTAACAAATAAAATTATAAAAAACAACATAAGAATTAAAAAGTTGACCTTTGTGTAACGTGCGGGAATAATATAAAAGAAACACAATGCATATATAAGTGGCAAAACTTAGTATTACCTATATTTCCTATTACCTCATACAAATAAACAAGAACAAATATATAACCATACCATGCACAATATTACAAAAATTGAGAATATTAATAATATCAATATGAGATCATGACAGTAATAAATAGTACACATACTATTTATAAAAAAAATAATAAAACAATATAAAATAAATCAATAAAAAAAAACTTGAAGTTGGACAAAGACATCTTAAATAATAGAAGCTTCCATTAGCTTTCCATTTCTGATCAATTGAGTCTATAAACTGAAGTAGACAGAAAAATATTAATACAAAAAGATTGAGTTTCACAAGCGACTAAAGTGTCCTAAATGAATGAATTTTTGTTTTTTTTATATGTTGCCTTTATTTACACTCATTCACGCGAATGGGCTTTCACGGGGGATAGAGTGTACATGTAAATGTTAACAAAATGTTAACGAGAAAGAGCGCATTGTGTCCTTCAATCGAGTTTGCTTTAGCGCCATTTTGTTATACCTAATTATTGCAAAATGGCGGACATATGACTATCGCACAAATAAATACTTATAGTTATTGATAATTAATCTATATTAAAACATGTCTTTACATAATAAAATCTGTGGTAGGTATAAACAATAAAATTTAAAAAGAAAGTGAAATGAGACGAATTATACGAATGAAAGAGTGAACACAAATAATAGTTCAATGCAAAGTGAGTGACTCACAACTGCGCGCGCTGGCTTTCCCGCGCGTGAAAGAATATGTCGCGGCAGCTAATGTCAGTATTGTTTATTCTCTTAAAAACTTAAAATTCATATTATCTGATTGCACAAAGAATGAGTGCGTAACGATTTCTATTTTGATTATCGCTTGCCTCTTACTTGTACTGTGTATTTATTTAAAATAACATTTATCCAAAACAGCAACACGCAAGTTTCTTGCTCATTCTTTTGATGAGTCTGCGTTCCGACTGAGTAGAATAAAAAATGTATAACTATTAAAGTGCTTAAACTGAGTTTATTTGTTTAAAGATTATTGCTATTTCTATTTCTCAATTTTTCTAATACATACATATAAGCAATACTCATATATATATCATGCCATATACTTACTGCGCACAATAATGCAGTCGTCTTCTGTTCACGAGCACGCCAATAGCAAACCAGAAACATGTTAATGAGTACATAAAACATCCATACTACTAATATTATAAATTTTAGTGTCTGTCTGTTTACCTTTTCACGACAAAACGGCTGGACGGATCTTAATGAAATTTGATATTGAAATAAGTAACATTACCTGAAGGGCTATAGCCTATATAAAAAAATAATATACAAGAGGTTGAAATAGGGGATGAAGGGATATGCAGACGATGTCACGAGTTACAGATAGTATCCTATAAATGACTGAAACATGATGTCAGTCAAGTATCAATATAATGATTGATTGTCATTTCCAAGCAAAATTGGCAAAATTTCATTAACCCTACAAAATACGATGTTTTGGAATGATATAGTTTGTTATTTGACTTTTCCACCATGACAAATAATTTGTTATTGTCATAGATACACAAGAGCTTTATGGTTCTCTGTAGTTAGTCTGTGCCAGTGCATAATTATTAATGTTACTCTGTGCCCAATTCTTTTCGCGTATCTTATACTTTATGTCACTCACCACATGTCATTGTGAAATTAATAAAATATTTTATAAATATAGTTGTTTGTTGTCAATTAAGAAGCAACAATACAGTTGTTAATACCAGCTGGAAATATCAATCTTACTAGTATTATAAACGCGAAAGTCTGTGAGTATGGATGGATTTTTTTTATAAAAAAAAATGGATGTATAGACGGATGGATGATTGTTATGCACGTTTACATTCAGCCGCTTCCCTGCCACTCGCGCTGCCAGAAATATTGCCGGGGACAAATGATCGTGAGGGGTGCATGTAAAAACACGCTGCCACTCGCGCTGCCAGTCCTTTGACTCGCGCACGAAAAACCGACAATCGAGGGAGCGCCGGGCAGCGCGAGTGGCAGCGCCAATGGCATGCAACTTCTCTCACTTCCCTGCCCACTCGGGCTGAGTGTAAATTGGGCATTACTCTTTCACGAAAATACTACTGAACGGATTTAGATGAAACTTTACAGTAATATAGCTTATACATCAGAATAAGACAAGCTAAAAATTTCATGGGGGTGAAATCGCGAATAGCTAATATTTATGAATAAGATACTTGAAATAAAAACACATATAAGTAATTACATTATCATAGAGTTCCATAATAACATAAACATGCTAGAAAACATTATGAATACCATCTGAACAATAATATAACAAGAATTGCATATTATCCCAGAAATAGAACAATATCAAACTCCAATTAGTTTTCCTACATGATCCAACCAACAATTCATCAATAAACAATGAAGGTATGAAACAATGCCAATTTAAAACATACGCTACTTAAGACTTAACATTAAATATACTTAATAATTATTTATTTCATTCAATAACAAAGACAGAAGAAGTTAGTTTATATAATAATTAAAATATTAACATGCAAAATTCTCAAGTATGACGATGAATATCTCATATTTTTAATAATAAAGACTGTTTACAAGTAGTCAGTAACTAACGCCAGTTACTAGCACCGAACGTTGGTGAATATAAATTAGCGTTGACCACAGATAAGATAATATTACATAGCGTTGTCGTAACACCTGGTGGATTTACACCGTCCAATTCAAACGGGGATCGAAATTACGACAGTTTAAGCAAAGTTCGAACCCCCGGCGCTCTCAAACTAAAGGGGGTGGGGGGGGGGGGGGGGGGGGGGGGGGGGGGCATTAGACCTTCAGCCGCTCCATAAGTCTCCGCGGATTTGGAGTGTCATCTGCACTCGTTTCTAACGTCCGGTGAAGCTGTAAAGATCAGCTGCGGCCAACAGCATTAGAGTAGTCCGGAAAAAAAACATCTAGTGAAAAGAGCTTGACCTACTTTACAACTTTTCTGTGTAGGTACGTTTCGAACTCTATTCAATGTCTGACGATACCTCGTTCAGAGGTGAAACACGTATCGCAATATGGGTGCAGATTCAATAACGGGCGGAATTCATCACCATTAGTGAAGGTCGTAACGGTAGTCAAGTTTTTTTTTTTATAACACAGGGGACAAACGAGCATGCGGCTCACCTGATGGTAAGTGATTACCGCCGCCCATGAGCACCCGCAACACTAGGGGAATTGCAAGTACGTTGTCGGCCTTTTAAAAAGGAATAAGCTCTTTTCTGGAAGGTTTCAATATCGTATCGGTTCGGAAATACCATTGCTGGAAGGTGATTCCATAATGTGGTTGTGCGAGGCAAAAAGTTTCTAGAAAACCGTACTATGGAAGACCGCCATTCATCCAGATGATCAGGATGGTATTTCAGTTTTTGGCGGGTGGTACGGTGGTGAAACTCAGCAGCTGGTATTAATCCGAACAATTCCTCAGAACACTCCCCGTGATATATGCGGTAGAAAATGCACAGAGATGCAATATCACGCCGCAAAGCCAATGGGTCGAGTCTGTCACATAGACGTTGATTACCTATGATTCTGACTGCTCGGTTCTGAATGCGGTCAAATGGAAGTAGCTGGTATTGTGGTGCTCCCGCCCAGAGGTGAGAACAGTATTCCATGTGCGGCCGGATCTGCGCCTTGTATAATTGCAAGCGATGGGCCGCCGTGAAATACCGTCTCACTCTACTGAGCACACCAACCTTTTTTGAGGCTATTTTAGCCTTGTCCTCCAAATGACCGCAAAACTGAACGTCACTGGATATATCAACGCCAAGGACCTCGAGATTTGCCTTCACATCAAGGAGAGTGTTTTGAAACTGAGGAGATACGATAAATGGATTCTTTTCAGCGGTAAGTTTCCACACTACTTAAATAATGTGGCCTCATACATGCTAATTGTAGCAGAATTAATCAAAATAATATAAATCTATTTAATAGATATTAATAATGAGATTATAGAGACTGCTATTTTAAATTGTCAAGTATCTACATGTTTCATGCAAGAAACGCGAATGAGATAGCAACTGGCGCTAGCGACTGACTATCCACTTGTAACGCTGTCTTTAAACACATTATACTATGTGCCCTGTAGCATGGTGCGGATGACAGTTGCTACATTTAACAGTTGCTAAATTTAATTTATTAATCTTATATATAAAATTCTCGTGTCACAGTTTTCGTTCCCATACTCCTCCGAAACGGCTTGACCGATTCTCATGAATTTTTGTGAGCGTATTGAGTAGGTCTGAGAATCGGCCAACATCTATTTTTCATCCCCTAAATGTTAGGGGTAGTCCACCCCTACATTTTTTTTTATTTTAAGGCAAAACAACGTTTGCCGGGACAGCTAGTGATTTTATATATGAATGTGGTACAGCTGAAATACTAAGTCATAATTTGTAAATCGCGGCAATTTTCAAGAGCGAAACGAAACGTTAATAAAACCGTCAATCGCACCATGCTACAGTGCACATGGTATAATCGATGCTTGTCTAACATTAGACCACTACAACATAAATTTTAGTGCAGATTATATATAAAGTGGAAGGAAACAGTTTATGAGGTACTTACCGAAGCTAGGACGCGCTATGAGACCGGTAAGTGCAAGCGCTACACTCGTAGGGTTTTCGTGGTCGCCCACCACTACTGGCCCAGGCAGATCATTCTTTATTGATTCATCTTCACCTATAAACAGAAGTTAAGTATATATATTACGACGACGGCCTCGGTGGTCTAGTGGTTTAGGACACCGCCTCACTTCCGATTGTCGCGGGTTCGATTCCTCGCACGGCACAAACATTTATATTCATAAGTATGATTGTTTGTATCGGTCAGGGTGTTTTCTTATAGTACATATGTTTTACAAAGAAATATATACCTATCTATTTAGCTTAACTTGGGTCTAGATGGCGCTGTGTAAATTGTCCTGAGATTAAAATAATAGTTACACTAAGTTTTTTAAAAGTTTTACTGTATTTTATGTTTGGTTGCATATTCTATTCAAGGATTGTTTAAAAGAGCAACATGCAAGTTTCTCGTTCTTCTTGTGATGAGAAAGCTTTCCGAATGAGCGGTAGATTAAAAAAACGTTGTTATGACTATTCAAAAGTGCTTAAATTAAGTTTATTTGAATAAATGATTTTCTATTCTATTCTATTACTTTGGTTTAAATAGACAACTATGTATAATTGATCTCGCCTATTGATTCTATGTATAATATACATGTAATACAAAAACACACTAACATTATAAGGGTGGGTATATATATTAATTACCTGGACGCCGTCTGATCTTAGCCCGTGGTACGTCGTCGAACACCGCGCTTGCAGTGTCAGAGCTGGCTCGTTGTCCGAGAAGCGCTGCAGCGCTGTACGCCAATTTGCTTGCAACATCCAGCACTCGGCGACCCATTATAGTACCCTAATTTATCAATATTTACATGAAATTGTAACAGTTCTAGAGATTTCTACACATTAAACTTCTCGAGAGACTACAGCATGGAGTTTTTCAGAAAAGATATATTTGGGTTTCTTAAGAGTCGGTAACGAGCACGTCCCGCTTCTGGTGTTTCATGTGTCCATAGGCTACGGTAAACATCAAATGGTTCGTATGTCGTATGCCATCATCGCAGTATAAAAAATGTTAGGCTAATAAAAAGGAATGCTATAATAATATTAGAAAAAGAAGCATCAGACAGACAGATAGAAAACAGAATACATAAGCTGCTGAATCCATAACAAAACGGTGATTCTTCTGCATTCAATATTTGCTGTACTTACGAAACAGGGCTCGTAATAATTCTTCAATGCTTTGGCGAAGTCTCCCAGATGGCTGTACGGGTTCCCGAGGATATTGAGACCCAGCACCAGTACATAGAACTGTTGCACCAGCTGTGTCCAATAGTGGCGGGAGGCGCTATCCAGTAGCGCAGACATCGTTATTGGAGCGTTACGGACTTCCAAGAAACTCATCCTGTGAATTTAACAACACGGGTCATAGAGGTCCCTTGGTATGGAAATATAATCGTTCCTCAAATAAATTATGAATTTTAATACTTATTTATTTTAGTCTTCCGCCCCTTCAGAATACAGAATGAGCAAGGAATATGCATATTAATCTTTTAAACTCATATTGTTCAAGTCAATAGACAGAATGTCATAATGGCGGACACTTCTGCATGACTTCTTAAGAATGCATACTATAGGGGCACATACATGTATATACTGTTTTACTATGAAATTTACTCGAAAGTTAGTCCTTGAAACTTTGGTCTATTATAGCTTGTATTAGCTACGAAAAAGTTACAGCCAATTTGCTTGACCATTTTTCTAAGTCTAAGTTGCATTGCGTACTTAGTAAGGTCATAAAAAATCTATCAAAGATGCTATAATTAAGTATCCTGGAATAAAGGTTCTTTTTCTATTGTAAAGAACTCAACATCAACAATTCTACTAATATGTGAAATTTTGAATAATAATTCTAAAATTTCTTACTTCATTTCAACATCTTTCATATCACACAGTGAAGATCCCCAGGAGTTGAACAGGTACTCAAGAAGATCGCTATTGAATAACTTAGGCCGATTTTCTTTCTTGTTGCCAAAGCGAGTTCCACTTGGACTATTAGCGTTCTCAGCCAGGTAGCCTCTGGACGACAAGCTCAGCACCAACTTTATCGGAGACAAGTGAACATACTCAAATATTATATTTCTTTGCACATTTGTCTGACTCCTCATAGCTATAATCGGTAAAGGTAAATGAACTAACGCGAGGTCAGCGCGGAGTTTAACTGCAGGTTTTTCTTCAATCTTCCAATGGTTTAATATATCAAAAATATGGTTTACAAAACCTCTGTCCAAATTTATACAATAATCTTGAATGAGAACTTTTAAATACTTATATATGTCTTGGTTAAGAGATGGCCTGTGCTGTTTCAGAGCAACTAGCTCTATACAGGGTTTGAAATCTCTATTGGACCTTAATTCCGCAGGTAACGGTGCAGGGTATAGTACACTGGGAAATACAGCTTCGTTCAGTTGGTTGTCTATCTGCAGCCTCTGTACTTTTAAATAACAGTACGTGTAGGTATCAGACTTGCGGAATTGTAACCATATGCCTGGATTGTACGTCCGTCGTAATTCTGAGAAGAACGGTTTCGTCATTTGCATTTTCTCCAAATCTATATGTATATATTCTTTTAACTGGCATTTCTTTTGTTCCGTCTGGTACTTATCTTCTATCCACGCTGTCAGGTCTGGTGACAGCTGCTTCCACTTGCAGCTCACATGCACTTCCCATCTTGGTAATGAATCTGTTATACTCATGAATGCTAATTCTTTAACGGCGTTGTTTGATTGAACACAAACAGACAAACTGACGCCAGATAAAGACATGTAGACCTCATAATTACTCCTTTCTGCACTTATTCTCATTCTGTACTGAGAAGCTATCCTTTCATCTTGAGCCAATGCGAATACTCTTTGATATCCCTCCATATAAGAGATCCAGTACACTATCACTTTGTCCTTTCTCATTTTTTTAGTCTTTGAGTGAGATTCTGGCATGTCTGAGCTATCCGAGTCATCGCTGCTAGAGGTACAAGGTTCAGGTGACTTGGGAGTCAGGCGTTTAAGTGTTGACGATAGTTTTGATGTTACACTGTTAGTCGCTACGAGAGTCGAATGTTTCACTGAGTGAAAGCTAACCTTTTCTTCTCCGAAACTGAAACAAAATCGATCAATACGTAATAAATTGGTTTGTATAACATAACTTTAGCAGTAAGAGAAGCCCGTACTTTTTACTACGGTTTATAAAGTTCCATATACTCGACTTCTTCTGGAATAAAATACGCTAATACGTTCTTGCGTTTGAGGTCTACCACATAAAGTTCTTTTTAATAAGACCTTCTAAACTGCACATTTTAAAATATATTCAATGAACTACAATCGAATACACTAAGTATTTTATTTATTCATTTATTTCGGATATCCATCCATATTATATTAGTGAACATTTTATAAAGTATAACTAATGTATTGAAATGTGATTATAATTATTAATTTAAATTGATACCCATATGCCACCATAATGCTGGACTACAAGGTAAGGGAATATCCCTATAATAATAGGATTAGCCCAGATTAGCCTACTATTAGCACGCAGATCAAACCCGTAAGTATTGTAGTAGTGTTTAAAATCCTTCTCTGTTCCTCTAATTAGTTCTTAATGAGGACGAAAAGGGATAGACTACATATTTTTTATAACATCACCAAACTTACCCATCCTGGTTGAAATCTGCAACGAATCCCTTTGCTTTATTGTTATAAATGTTCCAAATCAGTTTTCTCTCTTTGGCTGGATCGTCCCAAGTATATAGCATAGACTGGTATGGGCTCAGTAATGCCACTTGGCCTGACTCCTCCTGGTGCAGCTTCAGGAACAGATCATCACACAAGTTGTCAATACGCACTGGTGCGTCTCCGATGGCGTACGGCTTGAATGTAATAGTAAATGGACGGTCTGTCCCTCCAGTCACATCCACGCAGATGGCTGTCTAGAAATCGAAAATTAAAAAATTAATTATCTTTACGACCGTTCAATCTGAATCAATCCCTATTTTTGTTATTTATTTAAACTTTAATGTATATATTAGTACATAATTAACAGTGCTCATAGCAGACCTAACGCCTAGAGGCATTTTCTCCCAGTTAACAGCAGAGATTTTTTTTTATTTTATTTTAAATACAATTTTTCACAGATATATTCGTCCGTGCCTTTTTTAATTTACTTTTGTTTTATTATATTTCTTTAATTTCCACTTTTGTACAACTCCAGAGGAGCCTCCAGCCGAGATGTTACAATTTGCCTAACAGTGGCAGCAAGGCAGACCTTATCTGTCTGGCCCAGAACTATATATAAAATCATTAATTTTTATTCATATTCATATTTATATTTGTTTAGTTATATTACTATCAATCTTTAGATACACGTATATCTATGTGTAAAAAATATATATTTATATTGTATACTGTTTTAGACATTAAAACTTTAATTTTAATAAGTTATTTTACTTTAGTCTTTTCTTAAACTATTATTTTCACTTTTGTGTTCACACGCTGGTTTTGGTTGATGGAAGAGAGATATCTATAAACGATCTCTTCCACCAACAAGTCTAACTTGCTAACAATATTTCTAATATTTAATTGAAGTACTTAAAAGTGGAATAAAGAATATATATCATTTCTTTTCCTAACTCAAGTAGGCCACAATCATTTACATATCGCTGTTATTACTAAACAAACAGCATATTACATAAATAGCATTACATACGTTGACACCTACCGAACGAAAACCATGCGTCCACACTAACTCAATTAGCACCACTTTCCTTACAACTGTTATAAGACTAGAGTAATAATTTCACTTCCTCGCAGTTTCCGATAGACCTCACATTAACTAACAATGGCTATAAAAACTTTTGTAACAACCTTAGTGCTATTTGCAGTGATAGGTACCATTCAGAGTGATTGTGACAATGGTAGGAAGATACCAGAGTATGTTAGAGTTAAACGAGCAAAGTATTATTCAAGTCCACCACAAAGGTTTTATAGAAGGCCTCCTATTACCTATCCAACTAGAGGCATATTCTCGAATACCCCACCGCCTGGATACATGGATGTGGAAGACGGTCCGCCCAATTATAGATCAGTGAAGTTTAGTCAAGGACCTCCTAGCGAAAGTTTAGGTGATGATAACATTAACAACCTGATTAAGTATCTGTCAAAGCAAGATTTGAATAAGATAATTGAATTTGCTGAAAAGGATAAAAATAGAAATTCTCAGAACGTAAAAAATAAAGTTGAAGGATACAACGAACCACAAGAAGAAAATTTCACATATCAAAACAAACAGGAAATTTATTTGGGTAAAAAAGAATTTTTAAATGACCCATACGTAAGCAATAATAACAATATTGAATACAGCAATCTATTCGGAAAAGATACACAACCAAGAATCGTAAACACAAACGCTTTTAGTAATAGCATAGATTTTTCTGCTCATTTAGATCCTGAAGAATCTACGCAGAATGGTCAATTATCTTTCTTAAATGCACATATTCGTAATGAGATAAACGAAGTACCCAATTTAAACAATTATAATCTATACACTGATGGTAAACCAATAAATGAGGAAGATTTACCAAAACCGGTGAATCTTAGAGACGATGCAGATTTTGACGCCTCTTTCACAAATAATGTACCAACAATTACAAAGGCCGAATCCAGTTCATATAAAATTGAGAGCATCGGCGATGTACCGCTGATGGATTATAATTCAAAATTGCACACAGTCAGCTCGTACCATGTTCCGCATTACACTGTAAGTATTAAGTTTATTACATCTTAACATAAATAAGTATAGAGTATAGGCTGTTCGAGATGAATAAAGTTCCAGAGTGTGGGTATGAATTCCCTGTCGATGGCTATTGGTGCCATGGTATAAGGTCATCACGTCGAGCAATTCTTTAGAACACAGTCCGTTGTAAATTCTATACCGATTTCTGAGCAAGATATTGAATATAAATCAACGCACCTAAATAACATAGGCACGTAGATGAGGCCTGAGGAAGGGTCCTCGAATACGTTACGTTACCGTATTTCAATAGGACCAGTATAATCGTGATTGCATTGATATCTTTAAAATATCGATTCTCAGATATTATAAAAACACCGAATAAGTCAGTTTTTAAATTTTTCCGAAAAAATATTCTCCAAAACTGAGATAGAAGATTTATAGTATAGTTATAATATTCTACATGTAATTATAATATTTCCATACTATTTTTTTTATTCTCCTAAAAGAATTCATTCTTTACTTAAATATTAAAACAAAGTAATGGTCATGACATAACAATACAAATGTTATAAAATTATAATACTCATGGATTACTGTATTTTATGATACAGCACAAATCTATAGTAACAATTGCAACCAAGTCAATTCGTATCCATCAAATTTAATTACCATTATTGCAGGTAACTACACCTAAAAGAAATAAACCATCAACATCATCTTCACTTGCATTATCATCGAAAACTCCAGAATTAGAACTCGCACCGCCTAAGTCTGCTGCGAAGGAAAATAGCGACGCCCATCTCAAAGCTATCAAGATTTGGACACACAGGTCCAGAGGTACAGCCTATACGTTACATAGTGACGGTACACTATCACTGGAAAAACCTTCAAGGCCATAAAAGAAACAAATTTATGTACAATAGTAAATGAACTCAGTTTAGTCATTATTTGTAAGTAATTTTAAGTTATGTATACAATAAGAAAACGAAATAATGTAGGTACTATAGGTACCAGACTGACCTAACGAGATCATATAGATCGTATGTTGTTTTATAAAAGAGACTAGAGTCTCCGCAACTAGCATGAAGAGTTAGACATATAAATGATGGAAATTTCAGATAAAAGTTAATGGGATCACTGTCAAGCTCATAAAGGACGTGTTGTATAATTAGATAATTTCCTAAATGTTAAGAAAATTAAAGAATAATATATTTATTAAAATTATTTCATAACTGTGTGTTTTTAATTTAACAGATTTTATCAATCAACCAACTTTTGGAAAATTTTAAAACATTAGAAGTTTGGAGCTATGCTTGCCACTTTCTATCAAGTGGCCCATCAATCAATTAATCAAAATATATTTATTCATCTATCGTCTGTTCGGAGTATTTTGGCACTAAGAAGAACTAACAAGAAATTAAAATCTTATTCTTTTTAAATAAGCTTGTACATGACTACAAAAATACAGATCCAATTTAAAATTGAATTAGGGTAATTTAGGAGTATTTCAACATATTTGTGAAACAATTGAAAAAAACTCAATCAACTTACCCCTTTATCCATTCTCAACACTGTGTAGTGATTCTTTGTAATCGGGAAATGTTGTGATACCACTGTCGAATCTCTATACTTGCAATGCATCGACATAGAATCGGTTTGGGGCCAGAATGGGGTGCACTGTTGGGGTGCTAGGTCGAACCAGAGGTCTGCCGCCTCGTTCTCCTCCATGAACCGTAGGTGCCGTTTCGTGTCGTTATAAACAATGAAGTACGGTAGCAGTGTCACGATCTTTGTCAATTGTGGACATAGCTCTGATAGCGTCACCTGGAACATTCATGCGATATTTCAGTATTATTGTTTTTGCAATGAGAGTATCTTGGCTTAGTACAATTTTTTTTATGTTGGCCATAAACATAAAAAAAATTGTATGTTAATTTATATATCTGACTATCGCGGCTGAAGTAGTTAATATCATCATCCAAATAAAATTAATAAAAAAAAAGTATCTGACTTACACTCCATTGAGGATAACACCAATAAAAAACGAATAATGTGTTATAGGTACTAGACAACTGATATATGTACTTAGATATTTTTTTGTAAATACATTCATATAATATACATATAAAACAGCCGGACCGATACAAACAATCATACTCATGTATACAAATGTTTGCACCGTGCGAGGAATCGAACCAGCGACCATCAGAAGCAAGGCGGTGCCATTGTCATCCAAGTCTTCCGCAGGTCCTGACGGACCGCAGGGTACGGGCCTCGAGCAGAGCTCTGTACCCGAGCGTACTACTGGGGTATGCCACCCCAGCGTCGTTCTTTTACGGAGGCCGGCTACTTTTCAGCATCCGGCTGAGGGCGTCTTATGGTGGGTTTTAACTTTCGCTCGCCTGGCCGGCTTGACGCCGAAGGAAATGTGCTAAACCGCTAGACCGTCGCGATGATAGCTAGCATTGGGGGTAATCAGGAGAGATACTAACATGTAGCAGCAGGCGGTAGAGCGTGCGGCGCTCTGTGTGCGCGCAGACGATGAGGCCGGGCGCGGCGGCGGCGAGCGGCGCGGCACGCGACCACGCCGACTGGTGCGCACGCAGCCGCACGCGCCGCGCCGCGCCCAGCAGCAGCGGCTCCTCCGCCACGGCGTGCCACGTCTCTGCATGCTGGCACTGCACGCACACAAACTCTTATTCCCCGCCATTACACGTACGCTCTTTCATACACGATTAGGCTTTCATACAAGGAAAGAAAACAAAACTTTAAGAGACGCTTACAATAACACATCTGTGAAACCCTCAGTCAAATCAGTTCAGCCGTTACTAAGATTAGCAAGTACAGACATATAGACTAAAACTTTAAGTTCTCATAATCTTCCAAGTTTGACGGCCTCGGTGGTATAGCGACTTTATAAATATGTTGATTTTTTTATATATACACAATATATATAGGAGACACCCAAACCAATACAAACAATCATAGTCATGAATACAAATATTAGTACCGTACGAGAAACTGGACCCGCGACCATCCCAAGTAAAGCGGTGTGCTAAAGTGCTAACCTACCGAAGTCGTCAATATTCCAAAGGAAACTGTTACCATTTTCTATCAGCCAATACGTTTCAGACACAAACGAAACAGTATAATTTAATTCTTCAAGAAATATTATATTAAACATAACTAAAAATTTAAGTAAATTATGTCAAGTTATAAATGACGAAAAGTTTTCTTGCTTTGAATTCAAAGGATTCTCAATTTGCCTTGAAATTTTGTTGGTGTACCTCAAGGCTTAAAACTAGGCCCTTTACACAAGTATAAGATATACCTTCAGCTGCAATGGCAGGCCAGTCTTGTTGATGATCCAGTGCTGCGCATGCACATACAGTTGCCAGCACTCGTTGCGTTCCACGCGCACACACACCAGCACCTGTTTACCATTCTTCCCCTCTGCCTCATACTCGCTGCCCATACTTATGTTCTTCTCAGTCAAATCTAGAGAAATAACCAAATGGTTTGCTAAGCGCAAAACTTTTTGAAGTGAAACTTCTATATAGACGGGGTTTATTAGGATTTTTCGGTCACGAAAAAGCGTTACCGATAGACGATATCTCGCGTTGTGAGAGAAAAAGAAAGGCTGGTGGCGGAGAGAGCACAGCGGCAACTGATAGAAGAGCGGAGGGTCCGCTATTGTATTATGAGACAAAAAGACTTCTCCGTTGAAATTTCACTTGTACTATGTGTCCCAGCCCACATTACTTTTTTTTTCTAGCAGAGACTATCTCTGGGACGCGGTTACCTAGATACTCCTATGTAATTATATCAGCAATATTGCAGTTAATTAAACACAGTAAGACAAACTAAATATTGTCTACTAAGCACTGCACAAATTGTATCACCCCTTACATGTTGCTGTTGTTATTTAGTATATAAGATCAATATTTTAATTTATTTATAATATATATAACTCAAAGGCGACTGACATAGTGTCATCAACGCACAGCCCAAACCACTGGACGGATCGGGCTGAAATTTGGCATGCAGGTAGATGTTATGACGTAGGCATCCGTTAAGAAAGGATTTTGACTAATTCTACCCTCAAGGGGATAAAATAGGCGAGGAAAGTTTGTATGAAACTTTGTCAATTTTAAATCGATCGGTCTGAGACTTTCCATACATAAAGGTACCATGATGTAGACATCCCCTAAGAAAGGTTTTTGATAAATTCCACCCTAAGGGGATAAATTAACGCGAGCGAAGCCGCGGGCAAAAGCTCGTGAACTTATAATATTCCTGTAAAGATTCGGCACCGTTCCATTCGTTTACGTCGTAGTGTATAGTGCACCTCTACCAGGGTCAGGGATGATATCCTTAACAGCACCTTTGATACAGCCATAACGCTCAGCATAGTCTAAGGAACGTAATTTTCTTCTCCATATCTTAGTGTGTGAAAGGAAGTTGCCATCAAACAACTAGCTCATTTGTTATTCCAGTAAAAAAGGGAAGTGATAAACTCACCTGGCGACAACGTGAAACTGCCAGTCCACGGTAGCCCCATGTATTGCATTTCAAGAGTAATACGATGCGTCCGCGTGAGATCGAGCGCGTGCGTGTGCGCGCGTTCGCCTGCTTCCACCCGCGCGCGCCATCCCCCCGCGCTCCCCGTGACGTCACTCCCCGCAGCTCCCGCAGTGCTAAACTGCAGCGCGTGCGGTAGCCGGTTGTATATCGCAAGGGGCGGTACAACGCGGATTAAGTAGTTTGGTATGGTCCTGGCCACTTTGTGCGATTGACAACCTGTATCAATTAACAAATTAATATATTTATAAAACAAAATGTATTCATAGGCTTCGGTGGTGTACCGGTTTAGCACAGCGTTTTATTTACGATAGTCGCTGGTTCGATTCCTCGCACGTTGCAAACATTTGTATTCATGGGTATGATTGTTTGTCGGTCTGGGTGTTTTCTATGAATATTATGTATGTATTTACAAAAATATCTAAATATTTATATTAGTTGTCTAGTACTTATAACACAAGCTCTGCTGAGTTTGGAACTAGATGGAGCTGAGTGGACTGTCCAGGAACATTATTATCTGTTTTTCACAGCTTAAGCTGGTGATTAGTACCGAGGACGGGACATGCCAAGTCTCTCGCTACATTATTATTATTATTATTATTTTATATATTAATATTTATTTTTTTCCCAGCTTTTGCTGGTTTTCTCCACACTTACGGGCCGAAACCAAGTAAGTGCAGAGTGTGTGTATGTGTGTGCGCGAGTATGTATGTGTGAGTGTGTGTGTACTTATTGTGTGCCTGGTGTGACTGGTGTTATATCCTTTTCATTGATTTCGAGAAATTTTCGGACTGTACGACAGGTATTTAAGATGGCAGCCTTCTGAAGGGTGAAGTAAAGTGTTTTTTGTATATCTAATTGTTTCAGGCCATGATGTAGGTGATTGGGTATGATATCTGTAGATGAGAGGACTATGGGTATTGTATAAACTTTTTCCTGTTTCCAAAGTTATTATTATTATTATTATCATCAACAACCTTGTCTATAAATTTACGCACTGCGGATACAACCACTTCTATAAGAGTCATACAAACCTTCAACAGTCAATATCCTCATAGAAAATATTCTATCATCGCCGTCGTCTTTGGCTGGGCAGACCACGTCACGCGCCGTGCCTATATCATTTGCCAACTCCATCCACCAGATACCCTGTGTGGCTGTCTGGTAACTCCTGCAGGCAAAATATAAAAACTCTCATCATCATTAGTCCACTGCAGTCCATTGCTGGGCATAGGCCTTACCCAAGGCACGGCACGGGGCACGTATACGCATAAAATTGTATATTTAGTTAACGTACTATGCAATGAGCATGGTGAATCAAGTGAGTGAGACGGCAATACTCGCGCGCTCCCGCTCGCACCGAGGGTATAAACATAACTAGCGGAGCTCGTATTGCGCTAGCCTCCCTCAAATCGTTCCCGTGTCCAATGTAAAAGGGAATCAAAATTATGACGGCCTAAGCCGAAGTTTGATCCCCTAATAGTGCGTTCAGACTAAAATCGTACCCATCAGGCAGGAGTTGGCTTTCAGCCGTTTCATAAGTCGTTCCGCGGGTTTGGAGCCATCTGCCTCTTGTCGTTGGGTGAAGCTGTACGGCCACTGCGACTAACAGTATTATTAGAGTAGCCCGAAAAAACTGCTGCGTTAGTAGATAACACTCAGCTGTATTGCCCGAAAACATGCGATGCTACAAAGTAGATCATTCAAAGTCAAACATTTAAAATATTAACGTCTAAGGGACGGTAACTCACTCGAAGTTGGAAGGCAGCAAGAACAGTTTGCAATGGTAGGCAATGTAGAGCGGGATGTTATAAGTATCTTGCGGTGCCACCACCGCCAGCCGCATCTTGTCGTCGAATGGATTTATAGCCGCTCCTATCAGGTCAGCACCGACCGCTTGCAAATCCGTCTTCTTGTAGAACAACTCCAACGCGTACGAGGTCTCATTACGCAGCTGTAAATATAATATAATAGAATAGAATAAAAAATCATTGATTCAAATAAACTTATTTAAGCACTTTTGAATAGTCATAACATGTTTTTTAATCTACCGCTCATTCGGAAAGCTGTCTCATCACAAGAAGAACTAGCAAGAGACTTGTGTGTTGCTCTTTTAAATAATCCTTCTAAGTTCATATTTTGGAAGTCGAAACGTGTGATGTATTCACTACCAGCCAGCCAACTAGCACTAAATAGGGTCAAATATAAATACACAAGTTTAAATCAGTCGTAGTGATAAGAGCAGACCAGTCCCTACAAGCAGCATTCGTTGACGAGTATGATGGATGAGCCAGCCATCACTGCGCTCAACCATATTTTAGGGAGCCCAATGACGCCGCCACATGTCTGGACATTTTAGTGAGCATGACTACTCATTCCACTCGACCACGGCATAGCTACTTAAAATTACTATATGATAGTTACAGTATTCGCACTTTACATGAGGATGCATGCGGCAATCAATACAAAAGCCGCTACGCTATCATATATCAAGAAAGCAGTATAAAAAAGAAATTAAAAATATTTATTGTACATTAATAGGTTTATTTGATAGTGTGCTACATAGCTTATTAGTAACGCGTACATACGACGCGGAATTGGGACTTTACACTTAACTTAAATCTTTGTTATCTGGAGAGGTAGGTACTACTGGAAGGGTGTCGAGTGTTGAAAGAAATATTACGAGTGTGGGCACATAATACTTATTAATTATTTATTTTTATTTTATAATGAATATGAATATATTTTTACTATTTTCCTATTATTATATTATATTTTATCGAACTATTAGTATATGACATATAACAATCATAATCTCAGGACAAATTCACACAGTGCCATCTAGACCCATGTTAAGCTAGCTAAAGCTTGTGTTATGGGTACTTTATAACTGATACAAATACATAGATATATTTTTTTCGTAAATACATAATAGAAAACACCCAGACCGATACAGACAATTAGACTCATGAAACAAATGTTTGTGCCGTGCGAGGAATCGAACCCGCGACCGTCTGAAGTAAGGCAGTGTGCTACTCTGCTAGACCGCCGAGGCCGTCAAACGTCATTTAACCATACTATATATATCATATATTAAACGTACCTGTAACGGGGAGCGGACAACAATCTTCTTGTTGTTGTATTTGGAAGTTCTCTCCACTACAATGTAGTAGCGGGTAGAATTCTTGCTCGGGTGCAACACGTGTAACTTGGAGACGTTGCGTTGTGGACACAATATCTGTCAACAATAGAACTCATTCATTATCTCAGCCAGGAAGACGTCCACTTCTGGACAAAGACCTCCACCAAAGATCTCCACAACGATCGTGCGCTGCTCGCATCCATCGCCTTTCAGCGATCTTGACCAGATCATCGGTCCACCTTGCTGGAGGCCTTCCCACGCTGCATCTTCCGGTCCGCGGTCGCCACTTGAGGAATTTATTACCCCAACAACCATCTATCCTACGAGCTATGTACCACATCCATTGGCATAGATAGAACGCATTACATACAACAAAAACAATTTTATAATTTGTGGTTGAAAACCAGCGCTGTATAGGTATGTACATCTTATTGAGGTTTTTTTTTTGTGGATGATAATGGAATGGTGCACCCGCCTGCGCTAACGGTTTACGCTGGCGGGGCACCAGTGGAGGATGATAAGATGAGCATGAGGTCAGGTCAGTTAGCCCATCGTGACTAATTCACCAGGAATTAAACACGATGGTTTTCAGGGGGAACCACGTGGAGGTCGACCTGACAAGGTAGCAATGGGGTTATCAATCCACATTACTAACAATCCCCTTCCCCGCTCTTATTGAGGTTAGCTGAGGCCGCTCCTATTGCCTTTTTTGTGTAGGTATTGTGTATTTTACTGCAATTGGATGAACCTGGATTGGCCCACCCTATAGATATTGTAGGGCAGGCCCATCTCGTTGTTAGGGCGACCTATTTTTCTTAACTTTTAGAAACGTGTGGGTGCACGCTCTCGCCTCTGATACCATTTTAAGTCTGAGAAATCATCTTGATTAATTCCCAGTAGGTTCGCTATGGTAAGCAGACCTGGCCTGACCTTATGCTCATCCTATCATCCTCCACAGCCTTGCCAGCGTATATCGTAAGTAGTGTTGGTTGGACCACTATTTAATTTTTTTATACTATGCTGGTGGCAAACAAACAATCAATTCTTCCATTGAAAATAAATACTTACAGTTAGATGATCGAGATCATGGAGCCGTATGCTGAGAGTAAGATCTGTGACCTTGGTACGGAGATCTTTAGGGGGCGGCGGTGCCTCGGGGGAGTACTCGGGTGGTGGTATTGGAGACATGGCGCCCGCTGGAAACCCGCCTTCGAAGCTGCTATCAAACAAGCGACCAATGATAGTATTTGTATAAGAACTAGACTTTAGAGACTTACAAATACATATAACAAAATTGCACACATCATACATGGCAATTATTGTTCAAAAACGCTTATTTATTCTCGGATTTTAAATATATATTTATACTACGATGGTGGCAAACTAGCATACGGCCCAACTGATGTTAAACGGTACCGTAGCGTATAGACGCCTGTAACACCAGGGTTATCGTGCGCGTTACCGATCATATATATCTTGCAGCGACTGTGATCAAGCGATTCAGCACAGCGCATTACTTATGATGGTTTCGAGTTCGATTCTTCGTACGGTACAAACATTTATATTCATATGTATGATTGTATGTATTAATCTGGGTGTTTTATATGTATATAAAAAAATCTAAATCTATCACTTGTGTAGTAACCATACGAGCTTTGCTTAAGTTGGAAATAGATGACGCTGTGTGAATTGTCTTGAAATATATATAGCTTATTAGCTTATTAAATATACGAGTCAAATTTTAATAACATACATTATTAAAATTTGATCAATAAGTCGATAAAACAAATAATATAATCGCTTACCACTCCCAGTCATCGCTTACGTCGGACGTTTCAATTTTCACTGGCGCCTCATCCAGAATATCAGCCGATGAGGTATCGCAACCTGAACAAACAAATACAACAATTATATCCCTTTTATAGAGACATTTCTAGGCATTAAAGTAATTCTAGAAATAGGAACGGTATGTTTTTATATACTCTTTTAAAGTTGACGCTGTCGTAATTAAGAAAATTCACGAAATGGTGCTGCTTGTGGGGTACGAACACTGATTAGACTATTTATTCACTGATAGAGAAGGTCGATTACCAATACGGTCGGTTAACAATTAAGTTTAAATTACCGCAGTGTCTTAAGACGAAGGTTTACGACCAATGTGTGTTGCCAGTATGAATAAGCTCTGAGTCACTCAGAGGGCAATGGAGAGGGCTATGCTCGAAGTTTCTTTGGGTGATCGAATCAGAAATGAGGAGATCCGCAAAAGAACCTGAGTGACCGACATAGCCCGAAGAATTGCGAAACTGAAGTGGCAATGGCCGTTGGGGCAATAAAATCCTCGAACGGCAACCGTGAACCGGAAGACGCAGCGTGAGAGGTCTTCCCACGCTGCGTCTTCCGGTCCACAGCCATCTGTCCTACGAGTTATGTGCCCTGCCCATCAAGCAAGGTGGACCGATGACCTGGTCAAGATCGCTGGAAAGGGATGGATGAGAGCAGCGCAGGACCGCTCGTCGTGGAGATCTTTGGGGAGCAGTGAACGTCTTCCGGGCTGAGATGATGATGACGATGAGGGAAGATCGTAACCCTACCAGTAGCTGTGGTCAAATTTCCGCACTGAATATTTGTGGTCTCACACATTTTTATTCCAACAATTCTAATGTTGTTGGCTACAGCGGTCTTTTACAGCCTCACCGAACAATGGGGGGTAACTGCAGATGGCACTTCAAACCCGCGAAAGGATTTATGAAACGCCTGAAAGCGCTAAACTCCCGGCTGACGGATACGACTTTAGTCTGAGGGCACTGTTAGGGTTTCGAACCGTAGTTCAGGCCGTCGCAATTTCGATAGTTTGATTTGTACGGGGGATATAAGGGGTCTCTCACACATGCTAATGGTTGTGGAATTAAACAAAATAATGTAAATTCATTGAGTAATGAAATGGTATTTCGCAAATTAACACCTAATTCTATAAAATATAATAATTTACCCGGTGTACTAGGTCTGCTTGTGTCCACATCGTAGTCTGCTATAGCGAGCACACGATCGTTGCCTGCTAGATCTGTTTCGGCACGAGTCTTCAGATGAACCGTCGATCCAGGTCCTGATGATTGCAAATATGGAGATAATTAATAGGTAACTAATATATCTTTATTCATGTAGGTGTTTACAGACTCTTATGATATATCAAATCTACCGTCAGTTCGGAATGAAATCGAGATGAGAAGAACTGACACGAAACTCAGCTCGTATTCTTCATTACATAGTATAAAATAAAGTCGCTGTCGCTGTCTGTCCCTATGTATGTTTAAATCTTTAAAACTACGCAACGGACTTTGAAGCGTTTTTTTTAATCAGAGATTCAAGAGGAAGGTTTATATGTATAATACATGTATGTGCGAATTCGGGGAGAGTAACTAGTTTCAAATAAATGTTGTACATGTTTAAAATAATACAGATTCATTTTTAAATTCAAATTTAGGAGAATAGAGTGACCACCAGCTTATATGCTATGTTCTAACCGATATCATTGACGAGCACGAGTCCCGAGTCTGCGGTGACGATGGCGGTGACAGCAGCGGTGCGGTCGCTGCAGGCGGTGGCCAGCGCCAGCAGCGAGCGCGCGCCCGCCGGAGTCACCGTCACATTGAGGGCGTGCCGGGCCTCCACCATCACGTACGTGCACATGCGCTCTGCGAAACTTTCCGCCTCCAGGCCCGAGTCCACGCTATCTTCACGGACCGGCTCCTGGGATTGAGACCAAATGGACATGAGCTAGAACCTATCATTGTGGAACTATGAGTATCAAGTACATATACGTTCTGCAAAAGTCTTCGCTTCCAGCCCCGAATCCACGCTATCTTCTCGGACCAGCACCAGGGGTTGAAATAAAATGGACATCAGCTAGGACCTACCATTGTGGAACCATCAGTATTAAGAACATACAAATTCTGCGAAACACTCCGCTTCCAGCCCCGAGTCCACGCTATCTTCTCGTACCGGCTCCTGGAGTTGAGACAGAATGGACATTACGTTGCAGAATGAGCTAAGCCATATTATTGAACCATCAGATGGAAATACCATCACTTCACCATTTCATATCTGCGGTATCACTTAGATATTACTGTAAGAATAATAACTCTGTCTCACATAACTCTGCCGATTCGGCTTAAGATACACTGTGTCCTGTGTCCAGGTTTAAATGCATTTGGCAGTTAAATTAAAGGGTAAGGAAATAATAATGTCTCCTTGCGCTTTAATTTAACTGCCGAACTAATCATAGTCCGCAATAAATAGACGGCCTCGTAGTTTAGCGGTTTAGCACGCCACCGTACTGCCGACGGTCGCAGGTTCGAATCGTCGTATAATGCAAACATTTATATACATGAATAGCATTGTTTGATTCTATGTATTATGCGTTTATAAAAAAATCTATATATTTATATCAACAGTCTGGTACCCATAGCACAAGGTCTGCTTAGCTTGGGACTAAATACGCTGTGTAAATTGTCTATCATTATCATTTAAACCGTTTACCGTAACTGCTAGCATGTTCAATTCTACACAAAATACCGATGTAGGTACCTGCAGTGTGACAGTTTTATGTTCAACCTCTTTCTTCCCCTTGTGCCCATCTACATAGGTCTCGATATTGTCATCATCTTCTTGGTCAGTCGCAACCTCAGGCTCACTCTGTTCAGGCGCTGATGAATCTTCATCATTACTCATCTCATCTGCACTCGAATCACTACAAATAAGTGCAACATTCAAAATCAAAGGATCTTTATATACTGTTACTATTAATTTGACGCGGTCGTAATTTATGTGTACAACTAGCAGACCCGGCCACGCGTTGCTGTGGCTAAGGTTCTTGAATAAAATAATATTGCGACTATACATTGAGATATAAGCTATCATCTTTCAAGTTGGATCAAATTACACACAATGTGCAAATCAAATTTGTAATCGATTCAGTAGATCATCGCGAACAAAAAAAACTTACCATTATGAAAAATCACGGGATCTTGCCAAGTTTTATTTATTTCTATTGAGTTCCCGATATTTCGGCAGTGTTTCAACCGCCATGATCATGGGTGAACTGATTGGCGGTTGATCAACTCAATAGAAATGAAACGGGTAAGATCCCGTGATTTTTCCTAATTGTATGTATAAAATATCTTTATTCATGTAGGTCTTTTACAGACTATTATGATATGTCAAATATACCGTCAGTTCGGAGTGCTTTCGAGATAAATAGAACTGACAAGAAACTTAGCTCTTAATAATTTCAAATGAGCTTGTACAATTTACAAAATACAGATTCATTTTTCAATTCTCATTTGGGAGAATGGAATTCAGTTAATTACCATATAGTTGGACCACATTGTTCTTGTAGGGACTGGTCTGCTCTAATCACTACGACTGATTTACTCTTATCAAATTATTCCAGTTGGTTGTGTATTTCATATTTGAACCTAATGAATTAGTGCTAGTTGATAAATTGCATTTACATATTTCAATTTAAAAATGTGAAGTTACAACAATGATCACACAGAAGTTTCTTGCTCGTTCTTCTTGTGATGAGACGGCAACCCGAATGAACGGTAGATTGAAAAAAAGTGTATGATTATACAAAAGTGCTTAAATTTAAGTTTATTTGAATAAAATTTCTATATTACGCTTACTCAGTAAACAGATGTCCAATTGCAGTAGCCAATTTGTCCATCAGCCCGTTCTCATTTTCAGAGTCTGACTCGTCTATATCTAAAGCACCTAAGAACGACATGCTCCCAGCGCTGAGATCAACGTTGTAGTGTTTGTTATCTTTGTTCGGATTCCTGATAAACGTCATTTCGTTGTCGGTGTCGCACTCGTCAGCGGATGTCTCTGATTCAAATTCACTCCTTTTTCTAGACCTTTTCGACCCATCGGGAGAGTGATCGCTCTCAGTTTCTGGTTGGACGGTGTCGAGACGTGATGACATGGGATATGCTTTGGCCTGTTGGAAAATGTATGGTAATTAAAAAAATAACATATTTTAAGAGGTATTTTAACTGTTGTCAAACTGTTTAGAAATTATTATAGTCAATATAAAAATAATATCTATTTTGGTGAGGGTCATTTGAGAACGATCGATTTCATTCAACTTTTTTTATTCTTTTCTATTACTTTTTGAAGGATCTTACGAACAAAGAAACATAAACAAAAGCTCTGGAATTTTTGGGGTGTTAGATAGTGCAATTATCAGGTTAATTAAATTTAGAATTTCTATAAAAAAATATATCTATGCACCTGAAATAGGGTTGCGGTAATCTCCCAGGGTCTGTAGATGTTCTCATCACAGACTACCGGTTCTATGACCGGCTCCCAGGCGTCCACTCGCTCGTTATAGCAGCTCGCGTGGAGCCGCAGCCAAGCTGTGCCTTGCAGCTGCCGGGACCACTCTTGGAGCGACAGTTCACCTGACATCTGGAAGTGTACATATATCGCATCATTATACAATAAATGTGCTACTAAATTACTTTTACATTCCTAATTTAAAATTTAAAAGAGAAAAAATCTGCACGGGCCCATAATGAAAAAAAAATATTATAATTTTTAATTCGGATCAAAACAATCAAAATATGGAATGATAGAAGATCGAGGTATGTGGCAAAAGCTCCATCGACAAGAGCGTGGCTCTTATATTCTGAATAAATTAACAAAACTATACCTATATTTTCGATGAAGGTTTTTTGTGAATGGAATGGTCTACTTAGTGGCGCCAACAGCATACACTAGCGGGATACCAGTGGAGGATGATAGGATAAGATAAAGTCAGGTTACTTGGCTTATCGACGAAGCAGTGTCGCACAAGATGACATGCCATTTGACAATGGTAAACGTTTCATTGATATCATTACAATTATTATTAATGTTTCCATCACAGGAAACTTAGTCCGTAACAGTTTTTTACCAGATTCGATCTTTGGTGTCTACAATGTCGGGAAACAGGCCACAAAGTTTTGAAAACAATTATTGTCTCCATCAAAAATAAAATTTATAAAATCATCTTTGTAAAGAAGAATAGGTATGGAACTCGTGGTAGATAATGAATATCTCTTACCTTCATCATCAATACTGGAACCCTTACGTTATGTTCAATTTCAAATATAACTCTAACATTGGGAACAGACATGAGAAAGCTCTCTGTCGGCTTGATTATGGGGTACTTTGGTGGTGTATAAGTATCATCGTGGGTAAGTAGAACGTAAGGAGTCACTTTCTTGGGAGACCACAGATCATCGTCCGGTTTCTCTGGTTTGGGGTTATATGTTGCAAAGTTGAAGTAATCCTTCTCGTCAGGAACTGTTAATTCTGATGTCACCTCTTCCATTATATCTGAAACATTTTCCTATGGTTCAAGGCCTACATAATTATAGCATAGGGGACAAACGATCTTGCGGCTCACTTGACGGTAAGTGATACCGCCTATGAATATGGAAAATTGCAAGTGCGTTGCCGGCTGGAAGAGAAGGGATAAGCTCTTTTCTTGAAGATTTCAGTATCGGTTCGCAAATATTATTGCTGGAAGTTGATTCCTCCATATGGTCGAGCGTGACAAATAGTCAAAATATCTTTAAAATATTGGAATAATTTTTACGAAATTTTTAATAGATGCTCTGTTGAATGAACACAAATTTTAGTACCATGTGAGGAATCAAAACCGCGACCATTGGAAGTAAAGCAGTGAGCTAAACAGCTATACCATCAAAATTCAAAATTCAAAAATCTAAATATCTTTGTTCATGATGTCTATTACAGACTCTTATGATATGTCAAATCTACGGTCAGTTCGGAATGATTTCGAGGTAAAAAGAATTGACAAGAAACTAAGCTCGTATTTATTTTAAATAAATTTTGTACATGTTTACAATAATACAGATTATAAAAATTCAAATTTGGGAGGATTGAGGCGGTCATCCAGGCAGTAAATTTAGTTTAACCTATAAGTTTATTCAACTCACCCATAATAGTATGGACAGTCGTAGCTGCTATATGAACTTCGATTTCTGATACCGATAACTTTACTTTGACACCTTCCTCCACATTCTTGAAACTCTTGGAGAACTCTACGTCACATGGCTTCAGCACCAGTTGCGGGGGGAGATTCTTCAATTTGGACTGCAGCTTGGACATTATTTGGAGACCAGCTAGAGATACCACTAGATTCTCGCTGTTAGAATGACTGGAGTAGTCGATCAAAAGTTCTGTCCGCAAGAGAAGGGCGTGGCCATCAGATTTACCGAGGTCAGTGAAGAACATTACTTCTGGCTGTCGGAATTGGATTGAGATTGAAAGACCAGGAGCTTCTTCTGATAATGATGTTGCTGTAAGGATATTTTAGATTAAATTCAATAAAATTATTGTCTGTTAGAAAATAACACAACTTATATGTTGTGGATAAGAAATGTATTTTACTTTATTATTTTTATTATTTAGTATTAGTTTTTTATTTGTTTTTTTTTATATAATGATTTCATCTCCAATTTAATGTTTATTTATTTATTAAAGGAAAACCAAGGCTATTCAAGTACATCTTAAATAAAATCAATATATACGTCATAATAAACCACTGACAGGCTTTCACTAATAACAATAGACTAATTCTTAAAAAATTTACTTCACTACGTATAAAGGCATTATAGAGTTAACAGAGAATATGAAATTAATTAACAAGTGTACAGTAACAAATAGTAAATTTATAGAAATATATACATATACATGATTTTCAATAATAGTTAATTGTTATTTAAAGATTGTTGTAATTATGTTTATAATAATTTACATGCTGCTGTCAGCATCGTTATTGTTGTGTTGTAATATGTGATGTAATAAATGTTATTCTATTCTAACATCAGGTGGACCATCAGGGTTTACCCTCCAGTTACATTAAAAATGGTAAACACAAGATTTTTTTCTATTAGGGCAAAAGTACATTCTTAATAAAAAATATTTAGTAAATATTGTAATCAATACAAATGGTGGACTTACTGGCAGAGTAGTATCCGCTGGTGGAGTCGCTAGAGCTGGCTGCACGGTTGTTGTTGGCGCGCGGAGCTCCCAGCTCACCCACGTACCCATGGTTCACCACACCACCATCCATCGTCTTCTCACCTGGACATCCCCAGAAAAAAGGTTCCAACATGAAGCAAGTGTAAGTGTAATGTGGACACAAGTATACAATGAGAAAAAAGGATATCGTATTACATTCACTTTCCGTTGGTCGCGGATTCGATTCCTCGCACGGTATAAATTTTACAAATGTTCAAATGAGTATGATTGTTTGTATCGCTCTGGGTGTTTTCTATGTATATTATGTATGTAGTTACAAATATATGTATCAAAAAATATATATCAGCTTTCCTTTCCTTTTATTATTATCTGTCTGTCCACAGATAAAACAATGTTGTCACCTATGGCGGCAGAACGTTCCCGCCATTTTGTTGGTGCTGCAGCAGGAAAACCATCTAGAGCATCGGAAGTCACGCTGAAGCACACTGTATAGCTGTATGTAGCGAACATCGAGCACGGCCGCGCTGTGTAGCTAAATGTAGCGTACGTACAGCATGGCTGCGCTGTGTAGCTGTATTCAGCGAAAGTACCTGGCACGGCGTCGAGCGCGGTACGCGCCAGCTGCAGCAGGAAGGGCAGCGCGAGGTTGCAGCGCACGCGGTCCACGCGCACGTCCAGCATGGCCGCGCTGTGTCCAGCGCGCCGCGCGCTGAGTTCCAGCAGCGCCGGCCGCCGCACGCGCCACCCGCCCGCTGCGCGCGTCGCGCCTCCACTGCACTGCACCACACTGCACACAACCAACACCATCACCATTATCATCATCATCGCCATCACCATCACCACTGTGGTGATGATGGCCATGATGATAGTGATGATAAGATCCTGCCATTTTGTTACTGATATTTCAAACTATAAACTGTAAACATGTGAAAACGCACACAAATCTTCTAAATATATATAACTCACAGGTGACTGACGTATCAACGCACAGCCCAAACCACTGGACGGATCGGGCTGAAATTTGGTATGCAGGTAGATGTTATGACGTAGGCATCCGCTAAGAAAAGATTTTGATTAATTCTACCCCTAAGGGGATAAAATAAGGGATAAAAGTTTGTATATACGTTTGTATATGTATACTTTGTCATATGACTTCGCATACATAAAGCTACGATGACGTAGGCATCCCCTAAGAAAAAAATTGACAAATTCCACCCCTAAGGGGATAAATTATAACTAGATAAAAATCTGTAATGAACATATTACGACGACCTCGGTGGTCTAACGGTCTAGCACACTGCTTTACGTCCGATGGTCGCGGGTTAGATTCCTCGCACGGCACAAACATTTGTATTCATGAGACTTTGTAATGGTCTGGGTGCTTTCTATGTATAATATGTATGTATTTACGAAAAGACAAAATTATCTATGTATTTGTATTAGTTATCTAGTACCCATAACACAAGCTTTAGCTAGCTTAATTTGGGTCTAGATGGCGCTGTGTGAATTGTCCTGAGATTATTATTATTATATTATTATAAATAAGAAATTCTGATAATTACACTCTCACTAATATTCATATAGTCCTCACCGTTTAATAGCAATAGAAGTGTCTGGCCTTATATCCTCAACCAGCAAACTCTGCAAACTGGACCGCAATTCAGCACTGCCGTCTGAATACCAGTCGAGTTGTAAGGTCGCTTCGCCAGCTGTCAACTTGGCCAGGCCGTGGTTCAAATCACGAACCGGTGAGCTGAGGACCTCGTCCATATCCGAGAACAGTTTTAACTCGACCCCGTCTAAGGTAAACCTGAAAATACAAGATGCTTCTAGTAACAAACTGAGAAGTATTACTCCTGAAGAATCATTTATTCATGTAGGAAGTTTTACCCGCTTATGAATGTCAAGTTTTTGGTATTAATATTTTTTCCCTACCGTCTAGTTCAGTCTGCAGCGTTAATTCCTCTCAATTCTTTTATCTAAACACATGGTTTAGATAAAAGAAGTAATGCAAAGTAAGTTTAGGGTCATAACAAGATAGAAAATACAGAAAATGGGAGAGTAGGGTTAGTCATGTCACTGGACGCTTAATAATTGATATAGATAGAATATCTATTCCTACACCCACAAGATAGAAAAGTAGAGAAAATGGTCGCCATCGTCAGAACATTTATACATTTCACTCATTGTTATCGACAGGGAAAATCTACGTGGTCCAAGACTTGTTTCAGACTGAATGAACTACCGGTCGAGGTTTTTACAAGAGACAATAGCTTGGGATTTTTCAAGAATTAAGGTTTCTTAAGAGTCGGCCTGACGTACGTGACACGTGGATTCCGTTTAATATCTTAGTGGTATAAAAAAAGGACTGTATGGAATAATATCTGGTAGGTATAGGAAAACGAAAAACAATACGAATCAAGAGTAAAAACCGACAAAAGCAAACTTTTAAATTAACAATCTTTAAAGTAAAAGTACTGCTAAGGAATTTACCTTAATACAGCTTCCTTCCTAATAGGTTCTCCTTGGGCGAAAAATGCTTGTAGTTTTTTAACTGACGCGTCTGTGGCCGGTGCCTCAACTGGTGAACTTGGTATTATATTTCCTATAGAACAAAGGCAACAATAATTTACTATGTTAACATATAACAAGTTTCTTACTTAATGAGTAGTATTACTTTGTTTAATTCTTCTACTATTAGAATGTGTGAGAGGACAAACATTCAGTGTAGACTCCTGACCACCGCTATCGAAAGCGTTACGACCTTAACCACTAGTATTCAAACTCCGATTGTTAACGGATCTACACTCATATTGCGGCACGTGTTTCGCCTCTAAACTAGGCATTATCAGGCAATAAACTAGCTCTGATATTGTATAGAAGCCTAGTGTTGACAGTTCGACGAAATATAAAATTATGGATAAACTTAATAAAGGGTCCGGTATAACTATTAGCCTCATAATAATAATAGACCAATTTGTTGCTCGTGCATGAATAAGCGGTAGAATAATAAAAGGTTTTATCAAAAGAGTTTATTGGAATAAATATTAGGCCATTGGACGGTCAGACGAGACATCAGAAACCCAGAGATACTGGTGGATGCAGTCTAGCCGTAGTCAAAAGTCAGCACTCGTACTCTTTATTTATCTAATCATTTTTGACCCCAGCCATTTCTGCTGCACGTAGCATTAGAAGCCTACTATTGATTTCCCGTGCTCACAGATTAAAAGCTGGGAAACGATATCCTTTAAATAGAATAGAACAGAAAATCATTTATACAAATAAACTTACATTGAAACAATTTTGAATAGTCATCACATTCTTTTCAATCTACCGTCCATTCGGAAAGCTGTCTCACCACAAGAAGAACGAGCAAGGAACTTGCGTGTTGCTCTTTTACATGATGTTGTTGTTACTTTACATTTTTAAGTTGAAATATGTGAATACACTCTACCAACTAGCATTAATTTTTTAGAGTCAAAATATGAAATACAGAACCAACTGTTTGAATAACTTGATAAGAGTAAATCAGTCGTAGTGATTAGAGCAGACCAGTCCTTATAAGAATTAGCGATTTGGTCACACACTTCAACTTAAGAATGTAAAATAACATTTTTAATTGAAATGTGTGAATACAAACCACTACCTTTGAATACAACATAATCTACAATTTACCAATACAGGGTTCGTTGCTGAGGTTATCAGCCCAGACTGCAAGGATGGTGGCGAGGTCCTTCTGTCCCAGGTTCACGAGGACCGTGTCCATCACCACATCTGCTTCTAGTGCCGTCTCCCGGCGCAGGGCACGCTGAATATCACATCGAACCGATACTGGTTCTAGGATCGGTTCCTATATGAGTAAAGAATATACAGATATGTAATTGGTATTAATGAAGGCAAATGATGGAATGTAGCTGAAACTGTTTTTTATATGTGGCATGATGAGTATGACAATACCTTCTGATTCCCTGTAGCCTATACTTATAACATTATTTGTTTTTTTATAGCACAGTAGACAAACGAGCTTTCGGCTCATCTGATGGTAAGTGACTGCCGTTAAACAAGTGTGTTGCCGGCCTTTTAAGAAGGAATAAGCTCTTTTCTGAAGGTTTAGATATCACATCGGTTCGGAAATACCATTGCGGGAAGGTGATTCCACAATGTGGTTGTGCGCGCAGCGTTTCTAGAAAACCGCACTGTTTTGACTATTACTGTACAATCAAAACTACTATGTCTACAAAGCTCTAATATATAACTATGGGATACAGTCACCTAGATATATCAAAATAATAATTGCATTTAATAATGCCTAGTAAGACAAATTCAATATCGTCTACTAAGCACTGCTGTGTCTAAACTGTGTCACCCCACCTAACATTTTCCTATTGTCATTTAGTATATATGTAAGATCAATATTTTTATGTACATATTGTCGGTCTATTATCATCTATAATATACATCGTCTCGACCAACAACATCGTATCATTTACCCGCAACAGAACCTAGTTGGAAGTTACAATGCAATAAAGAAAATATAACGACACCAAGCTTACAAAACTGACATCATTTAGTTTTAGATATGAATAAAATAAACTCACTTGCATTTCCAATGTTCCGGCCAGTGTCATCACAGCTCTGGACAACGTGATGTTTACCAGTTTCATCAGTATATTGTCTATGATTGGATTCTGCATCGGACTTGTCGCCTCTTGACTCGCGTTTGCTTGCTTGAAGAAGTTCTCTATTAGAAGGTCTCCTGGAAACGTTAATTTTATTTTATATAATGGCAACATTGAACTGTTCCGGGCAACTTTGTATGTGTCATATTTTCCCAGTTTTTGCAACATTTTTATTGCTGCTCTGTTCCTATAGGTCGTGGCGTGATTTTATATACTCTATACTTTTCTGCGATAAATGAGTTATTGAGCAAATTTTTTTTTTAAATAGTTTCTGAGTTTAGTGCGTTCAACCAAATAAACATTCTTGATCTTTGTATATTAGATTTTTATATATTATACTAACTACTCGCCTCGGCTTCGCACGGGTGTCCTATATGTATGTGTATTATATATATAAACCTTCTTTTTAAATCACTCTATCTATTAAAAAACCGCTTCAAAACCCGTTGCGTAGTTTTAAAGATTTAAGCATACATAGGGACAGACAGCGACAGCGACTTTGTTTTATACTATGTAATGATATAGATACTGGACACTTGAATACAAGTTTATGATAAACATATTCTCATAGTTTCTGTACTGTGGTTTCGATAAAATATTATTTTGATATCAATCAATATGGTAAATTTCTAATGTGTCAGTAATCGATGAAGAAAAGTTTTCGTGTAATAAGGGTGTATAACATTAGCGCAGGCGTGTACAGTACTTTATATCTATATATATAAGTCAAAGGTGACTGACATAGTGATCTATCAACGTACAGCCCAAACCACTGGACGGATCGGGCTGAAATTTGGCATGCAGGTAGATGTTATGACGTAGGCATCCGCTAAAAAAGGATTTTGATTAATTCTACCCCCAAGGGAATAAAATAGCCTATGAAAGTTTGTATGAAACTTTGTCAGTTATAAACCGATCGGGTTGAGACTTTGCATGCATAAATCTACTATGACGTAGGCATCCCCTAAGAAAGTATTTTGATAAATTCCATCCCTAAGGGGATAAACGCGAGGGAAGCCGCGGGCAAAAGCTAGTTTGTCCTCAAAGAAACAGTGTAGAATGTGAAACGTGTTGGTTTAAACCAGTAAAAAATATTGAATTATTGGCTTACCCATATTGATCACCAGGAGGTTGGGCGACGAAGGCTTTTGGGGTAATAGCAATATTGGTGCATGGATCTATGAAATGAGAAAATATAGATAATCTTAGTAATATAAACGGTAATGTGAGTATGGATGACTAGTTGGATGGATGGATGCTTGTTACTTAGTGCTGAATGGATTTTAATGAAACTTTACAATAATATAGCTTAGATTAGCACATCTTATTAATATTATAAATGTGAAAGTTTGTGAGTATGGATGACTTGTTGGATGGATGGATGCTTGTTACTCTTTCACGCAAAAACTGCTGAACAGAATTTAATGAAACTTTACAATAATATAGCTTAGATTAGCACATCTTATTAATATTATAAATTAGTAATATTATAAACGCTAAACTAAGTGTGGATGAATAGTTGGATGGATGGATGCTTGTTACTCTTTCACGCAAAAACTGCTGAATGGATTTTAATGAAACTTTACAATAATATAGAGATTCGCACATCTTATTAATATTATAAATGTGAAAGTTTGTGAATGATGACTTGTTGGATGGATAGATGCTTGTACAAAAAACTAATGGATTTTAATGAAACTTTACAATAATATAGATTAGATTAGCACATCTTATTAATATTATAAATTAGTAATATTATAAACGCTAAAGTGAGTATGGATGACTAGTTGGATGGATGGATGCTTGTTACTCTTTCACGCAAAAACTGCTGAATGGATTTTAATGAAACTTTACAATAATATAGGATGGAACTGAGTGTGGATGAATAGTTGGATGGATGGATGCTTGTTACTCTTTCACGCAAAAACTGCTGAATGGATTTCAATAAAACTTTACAATAATATAGCTTAGATTAGCACATCTTATTAATATTATAAACACGAAAGTTTGTGAGTATGGATGAATCGAAAGATGGATGTTTTTTGCTCTTTCTCTTACTACTGTATGAATTTTAATGAAACTTTACAATAATATAGCTTAGATTAGCACATCTTATTAATATTATAAATTAGTAATATTATAAACGCTAAACTAAGTGTGGATGAATAGTTGGATGGATGGATGCTTGTTACTCTTTCACGCAAAAACTGCTGAATGGATTTCAATGAAACTTTACAATAATATAGCTTAGATTAGCACATCTTATTAATATTATAAATGTGAAAGTTTGTGAGTATGGATGAATGTTTGTGACTCTTTCACGCAAAAACTACTGAATGGATTTTGATATATAACTTATACATCAGAATAACATATAGACTATAAATGTCACGCGGTTGAAATTGCGAGCACAGCGAGAATTTAGGTATATCTGTTTCCCAACAATTAGCGAATCAAGGATTAGTTTCCAAGAAAGTCTTTTTTATGTTATTGAAGTGACAAAAAAGCTGCCCCGATGGTATGCAGTGACCCACGTTTATATACATGAACAGCGCTATGTTCATCACGTTATCATGTATCATCCACAACTTTCTTCGCTTTGGGAGTTGAATTAAAATTATAATTAAAAAAGGTACACAATTTCCGCGGTTTTTTAATATAAATTAATTTGAATTTGAGATCAATTTGATTCTGTCTAACGTCTATACTCAACGCCCGTAAAGGGAGTCACTGAGTATATGTCTATCTGTTACCTGTCACTACGTAGAAAGTGATTCCGAAGGTAAATAAATTATTTTTTCTAATTATCTTATATTCTATCTTAGTAGCCATCTAGTTCAAACAAGTAACAAATCTATTGTTACTATGCTTCTTTGTACTAGATGGCGCGATTAATACATTTTATAACCTATCTATACAGACCAGTCTTTATGGTCCTTCGAGCTGGATAGACGTTCCGCTCTATCCAGCTCGAAGGACCATAAATAATATACAGACGTTATGTTACAATATAATATGCTATGTTGAAGGAGATATGTGCGCAGTGATGTTTGAATGTGAACTGAAAGAAATTAACTTGTGTTTACCTGAATGGCAAGACTGAGACGTGTGGTAGCGCGACGTAGCTCCATCGCTCGTTGTTCAGCCGCGCGCTCCGCAGCCCCTACTGCTGTGGCTGCGCTGCTCGGCATCAGTGGCTCCACGAATTGCTACCACCATCAATATAGACAACCGTCATTATACGTTAAAAACATCTTATGGAACTTTATGATTTCGCAATGGATGCTAATCCGTCATAATCGTGAACGGAAGTTAACGTGCTACTAGTGGGGACTGGTCTGTTCGTGTTTATTTTTTTATTTTTATTGGGTTGTTTGGGCTATTGTCAGATGTGTAGCACCTGCAGCACTGCGACCTGCATAGATCTATTGTGCTCGCCCTTTTCAGAGTTCGCTACCTAGACCCGTCAGGGACAAGAATTGAAGGATATTCTTAGGAGCGATCGTTTTTATCTCCTCGGGAAAGAGTGTAAACTTTCCAAAGGAGATATTTCGTTTATGTATGAGTGGGCTACAACCACATAGGATGTGAAGCGGCGTTTCCTCTTCAGTTTGGCAGAATCTGCAGATATCTGTTCGTGTTACGACCACTGCTTGTATTATTTCCTTTTGACCAAAGGCAATAGCATATGCTCATGATTACCAAATGTTCCCTAATTAAATTTAAAAACGAATATGTGTATAGAAATAATCACACAATAACAAGTAGAAACCGGTACGCACTCATTCTTCGTACAGTCAGGCAATATTATCAGGGCTATGAATTTCAAGTTTTTCTGCAAAAAACAATATTATATTAATAATATTGTAAACGCAAAAGTTTTTAGGTATGTATGTTTGTTACCTTTTCACGCAAAAACTACTGAACGGATTAATTAAATAGCTTATACATCAGAATAACATATAGGCTATAGGTTTCTCGCTGGTGATAACGTGGACACAGCTAGTCATTTATAAATTAATAAGAGGGATATATAAGAAGAAGTGTTAACATGTATACATGTATAATAAGCACTGACCTGCAGATGATGTAGAACCGAGTAGAACAACACCACGTGTAATCGGCCGAGGTACACACGTAGTTCCCCATGAGCCTTCAACTGGGGCGCAGTCCCGTAGTACCGCGGCGCTGCGCGCACGTACTTCACTTCCAGTACCTTATCTTCATCAGGCCATACCAGCTGTCAAAAGGACGAAAAACTTTTAATACTAGCTGTTTAACGTGACTTCCTCAGCGTGGAAGTAAAATGAATAGAAATTTTAAAATAAAAGTAGCTTAAGTTAATCTTTATAATATTAGATATGTGCGAGAGAAAGCCCCTCAAAAAACTATTGATCCGTTTCGCAGAATGATAAACGGACAGATATTTTTTTTATATAAATTTTTGCTATTAATTGGAAATTACAAACAGACATTTAAATTATATATATATACATTATTTATATAAGTACAACCACGTTGGCAAAAGGCCCATATAATGGCAAACTTATCCTATAGATGCCTGAAACACTATAGGTCTTGCTGACCCTTAAGAAACCTTATTATACCCTTCTTGAAAACTCTCTAACTGTAGTCTCTCCAAAAAACCTCGGCAGGTACATTCCACTATCTAAGAATTACACTTAGAATTTATTATTATTAAATGTATACCAATTTAATCAAAGTATAATTGTTTTACACACCTTAGGGTATAGAGTTGCTTCAGATAAATCATCGAGATGCAACGAGCTGAGGTACAGCTTAAAGATCATGCGGTCGTTGGCCCGGAACACGCAGTCGCTCTCGAGGCCCGCCAGCCGGATCTCCACCAGCGAGCAGTCCAGATGACACAGCCTCATAGATACAGAGGTGACCCTGCAAGGAAATATGATGGAAAAATGAGACACTTTGTTGGCTGTAGTTGTGTTCGAGCCTCGGCTCAGGCCGTCGTAATTTCGATCCCCGTTTGAATTGGACGAGGGGTCGATTCGGACGATGTAAGTGAGTGCAGATGGCACTCCAAACCAAGGAAGGACTTATGGAGCGGCTGAAGGTCAACTCTCGCCTCACTCACTCGGGGAGCAGATCCAACATCCGCTGCATTTTGCGAGCGGCAGCATGGGCTCGGCGAGACGACGTGAGAAATGCACTGTCGTCGGCGAATAGAGCGAGGACGACATCTCTCTCTCCCTTTCGGAGCTCATCCCTCAAGGTGGGGACGGATATGACTTTAGTCTGAGGGCACCGCTAGGCTTTCGAAGATACAGTGCGTTACTTTATATCAATTTTAACAAACCTGACGGAATAGCTGAACTTAGTTGCTCCTGAGGGCACGGGCGGATCTTCCTCTGGTTTCATGAGGTACTCCCATAACGACTTGGTCTTCGGCACAACTATCTTCTTCAAGTTTAATGCGTGTCGGGTTTGAATCCTGTAAGCGTTTATACATATAAAAAATATTGGAATGTCTGTTTGTAATATTGAAATAACAGTTTTTTACTACATGTATACGAATATAAATACGGTACATACACCAAAATACCATTTTTTACAATTTTTGTCTGTCTGTCTATTTATCCCGGCTAATCTCTGAAATGGCTGGGCCGATTTTGACGACGATACTCCTCATTACATCAGCTACCTGCCAATAAAAGTCCCGTCAAAATCGGTCCAGCCATTTCAGAGATTAGCCGGAATAAATAGACAGACAGACAAAAATTGTAAAAAATATTATTTTATTTATATATACATATATATAGATAATTATAATAGATAGATAAGAATCTATAATAATAGTTTTCTACAAACGTACTTGTCACAAATATACTGGGTGTACTTCATGAGGGTGCGAAGGGCATCGGCGTGCAGCAGCAGCGCCAGCTGGCCAGCATCAGCCACCAGCGACTGTTCCACGCTGTGGAAATGTGAGCGGAACTCCGGACAATCCGCACGCACCTAGAAGACGTATTGAATTACAGGTTTTTTATTTTTTTGGAAAGTTTCTATCATATTATATGTTACTAGCTGTCCCGGCAAACGTTGTTTTGCCTTAAAATAAAAAAAAAATAGGGGTGGACTACCCCTACTATTTAGGGGGATGAAAAATAGATGTTGGCCGATTCTCAGACCTACTCAATACGCTCACAAAATTTCATGAGAATCGGTCAAGCCCTTTCCGAGGAGTATGGGAACGAAAACTGTGACACGAGAATTTTATATATATGATAAGCTACTCGCCCCGGCTTCACACGGGTGTATATGTATTATATATATAATATATAAACCTTCCTCTTGAATCACTCTATCTATTAAAAAAACCTCTTCAAAATCCGTTGCGCAGTTTTAAAGATTTAAGCATACATAGGGACAGACAGCGACAGCGACTTTGTTTATACTATGTAATAAAGATAATGATTTAGCAATATGGTCCATTGTTATCTTTGTACATTAATGAATTGTTTTTTTTTAATCGTGATTTCGAGCGCTATCTTTCTCGCGCTAATACGTCCGCGCTACTGATTGCGCAAAGGCTGCCTTTACACGTACGCACTTTCACGCATTTACACGCACATTCTTTCCTGTGTATGCCACACAGGAAAGAGTGTGCGTGTAAATGTAGACAAAGAGAACGAGACAGACTGCGCGCCGCCAACTCGCGTATCTCCTCGTTCTTCAATTGTGAGTCTTTTAACGTCTTTTCTTAATAATTAATTAATTATAGAGTTATTGATAATTTATAAATCTTAAATGTCTCGGGAAAATAAAATCTGTGTTATAAAAAAATATTTAAAAAAAATGTGAAGTGAATCATACGCGCGAAAGAGAGAACAAAAAAATAGTTAAATGCAATCCCTCACAACGGCGGATCCGGGGGGGTCATGGGGGTCATGACCCCCCTGAGCCCAAGACTTAGGTGGACCACTAATTGAACATAATGATTTCATTTATATACATATATATATTTTTAAGTCAGTAGTGAAGTGTATAATATGAATGTGGATGGATGCAAAGGGAGGGGACGCCCTAAGAAAAGATTGGATTGTGTGAAAGATGATATGAATAAAAGAAGAGTATGTTTAGATATGACGATTGATAGAGATCAAATTTTATTAATATTGATTTTTAAATACAGTAGTACATTAATAATGTTCCTACTTTTTACTTGTATCTATTGTTATCAAAATTAAATTATAAGTTCTTGACTTGACCACGACTATGTGATTCCTGGCGTGAAAGCTGGATCCGCCCTTGATCTCTCAGCATTGTGCGAGCTGGCTTCCTCGTGTTAAAAGGCGCGTGAATGAATGTCGTGTAAAAACAGTTAATTGTCTTTAGTTCCACAATAATAATGTACAGACAGTAAACTTATTTTTAATACTGTTCAAAATCTACCCTGTACCATCGTAAGCACAGATTATTATATTAGAGTCCGTTAGTTTTCTGTTCCCGCGCCTTTGCGCCCCTCCCTTATCTAGTACGGAACTGACTGTACGGCGGCGATGACGCGCGCGCGCATTGTGTTGTGAATTAAAATAAATTAGAACTGTGAAACCTACTGTGAAACTGGAAAGCTAGCGAAGATATCTTCGAGACCCTAAAGCCCAAGAAATCCGCAGAACCATACAGGTACGTGACTGACGTTTCCCTAACATTTTGGTAGTAGAGTAGTTTCCCAATCAAATACATTTACAAATTTATGGACATGTTATAGTAGATACCTAGCAAGTATTATGACACATCCTCAACGGCGATCGGATCGGACCAAGTATGACGCAAGAAGGTGCGCTACCGAGAAAACCACCTGCGTCGAATCAGCATTTTAATCCCCACAGCAATAATTTCTCTGATTTTTAATTTTATATAATTGCACTTACGGATCACACATCGATCCGAAGACACCTATATAATTGTAATAATTAATTTTTAGAATTAAATTTCAGTTACTTATAAAAATTGTTTTTTTTTTATCTTCCGCCAGCGACTTCAATAACTGACACTTCAAAATCTGTGAATACCTAGTAAAAAAACTTTACAGTTCTAAAAAAAGATTTTTACCTTTCGGTACAGCAAATTGAAGAGTTCACCAGAGCTGGTGAGGAGTTCGAGGTACTGTCCGGTGCTGCTGTGGTGCTGCTTGTCAGTTAGAAGCGCCTGTCCAATGGACAGCTGGACGGCTGGACCGTATTCCATGAGTGCCACGTCCAGGCAGACCTTCGTGATGCTTAACATGATGTACGGCTTCTCCGTTTGGTCAGTAGAACGGGACAGGTTTATGACTATCTCACCTGATAAAGAATAGATTATAAGATCCTTTATTCAAATAAATTTAATTTAAGCACTTTTGAATAGTCATAACAACTTTTTTTCTCTACCGCTCGTTCGGAAAGCTGTCTCATCACAAGAAGAACGAGCAAGAAATTTGTGTGTTGCTCTTTTAAATAATCCTTGTATGTTTACATTTTTCAAGTCGGAACGTGTGAATACAAATTATCAACTAGCACTAATTTATTAGGGTCAAATATAAATCTATACGATATAAATAAAATTGAAGTGTCTGTTTGTAATATGAAAATAACCGTTTTTTACTACATGCATATGAATGTAAATACTGTACATATACCAAAATAACATTTTTCAATTTTTGTCTGTCTGTCTGTTTGTTCCGGCTAATCTCTGAAATGGCTGGAGCGATTTTGACGGGACTTTTATTGGCAGGTAGCTAATGTAAGAAGGAGTAACTTAGAATACTTTGATTTTAGAAAAATAATGTTAAATTCCATGCTGACGAAGTCGCGGGTGCAGCTAGTAATAAGATTAAATCTGTCGTAGTGATAAAAGCAGACCAGTCCCCAAATGTCCAGTGCAGACAAGCAGCATTCGTTCACGAGTATGAAACAATACTTTCCGTCATATATCTGGTATAGCCACAAATAAGAACTTCTTATCTACCTGCTCTAATGGCAGTCCTTCCATGAATAGACCACCAAGATCAAACTAATACAATGACATACCTATAACGAACCGAAGCAGAACCCCTATGGTGTTATTAGGCGACACATTATCATCAAAGCCAGGCAAGTCCACAGAACGGGCGTAGAGTTCCAACTCCTCGTCAGTGTGCTCCGTGGAGGAGAAAGCTGGTTCGGCTGCGAGGCTGCCTAGAGGCGCACGAGAGGTTTCATCTTGGGTTTCGGCTCTGTAATGTTAACACTGTTTCAGTTGACTCATGACCAGGATATCTGCATCATCACCAGCATCGAAATAGCGAGTACTCTTAATAATAATGCGATCATGCCAAATAATGTCTAATCTGACGGCCTCAGTAGTCTTGCGATTTAACACATCGCTTTATTTCTGATAGCCCCAGGTTCAATTCCTCACTCAGCTCAAACATTTTTATTCACGAGTATGATTGTTTGTATCGATCTGGGTATTTCCTATGTATAATATGTATAAATACATACAAAAAAATCTATGTATTTAAATAACTAGTCTAGTACTCATAATACAAGCTCTGCCTAGTTTAATACTAGATGGCGTTGTGAATTGTCAAAAAATTTGTTTAAAAAAATTGCTCGTCTGTCTTTCTATCTGTTTGTACTTGCTAATCTCTGTAATGGTTGGTCCAATTTTGGCGGGACTTTCATTCACAGATATATAGATATTATAAGGAGTAACTTAGTCTCCTTTTAGTTAAGATTATTTATTTTAATAAACAGAAATACCACGTAGGCCAATGCGCAGGTAACATCTAGTGTTATATATAATTAAAAATACAAATCCACACTCACTTGTTCCTACTCAGACAAGTAGCGACAATTTTTTGTCGCAATCGTATTAACTCATTATATCCCGGATCTCCCGTCACCAGATCCTGCTGCATCGTCTCCGCGAGCTCAGGGTCGTCCTCCTCGTGATCTCCCGAGTCCAGGAACGATACCGGCACTGTATTCGGCACCGGTACCGGGAGATTGTCGACGAAGTCCATCATCAGACCAATGATGCGGTCAGAAAGGTTCAACTTGAAGCTCGACAGGGATAGATTGAGTTTGTACCTAAAATGATGTAGTTTTATTTTATTTTTTGTTTAGGTAAAAGGAAAATATTTGGTATATTGAGAAAATACTTCTCTATTTATATTTATAGTTCTTTTATTTATATTTATATTACATTCTTGTTTTGATACTTCTTTTTCTTCTTCTGTTACGTCAATACTAGATATTCGGATAGTATTGACGTAACAGAAGAAGAAAAAGAAGTATCAAAACAAGAATGTAATATAAATATAAATAAAAGAACTATAAATATAAATACAAATTTAGAATATAAAATATATATCTGACTAGCCAGTTACAAAATAAAATATTGCAAATACATTAAACATAACATCTGCGCCATCCACGACCTTCTGTCTTTTCTCCTCTACCCAAAGGTTGTTTGGAAGAGATCGCTTAAGCAATTAGACTGCCTTTTGTACCCATATACTGTACATATTGTTTTCCTTTATATTTTTTTTTGTTAAAAATAATAAATAAATAACTTCATTACTATCATCCTAGATGGTGCATCTAGAGGCTTTGTTAATTTAATTCTAATTAATAAATTTTGACAGCCTCGGTGGTCTAGTGGTTTAGCACACCGCTTTACTATCCGACGGTCGTGGGTTCGATTCCTCGCACGGTACAAACATTTGTATTCATGAATGACAAAAAAAAAGGTATCCATGTATTTATATCAGTTGTCTAGTACCCGTAACACAAGCTCTGCTTAGCTTGGGACTAGATGGCGCTGTGTCAATTGTCCTGAGACATTACATTATTATAATTCCATTAGCACGTGTAAGACCACAAACAATTGGTGCAGACATCTGAACGGTACTGGAAGTGTTACGACCTTCTCTATTGGTGATGAAATTCCGACCGTTATTGAGTCTACAACCATATTGCGACATGTGTTTCGCCTCTGAACGAGGCATCATCAGGCAATGAATATAGTTCTGATATAGCTTGGAAGCCTAGTGTTAACTGTTCAACGATAGAACTGCGACTTTGTTAAATTTTGACATCATGGTCTTAGTTGGCGAAGCTACCGCCGGTTCTAGGATTTGTTTAGATCAGGCCAATTAGCTGATCGTGACGAATTCACCAGGACCTCGTGTAACTCTTTTAAGACAGCATGCTGCCTACTCACCAGTATGCAGCATGCTGATTAGTTGGAGTAATGCTGTTGGCGGCAGCTGGCCTTTACAGCTTCACCGGACGATAGGGGGCGAGTGCAGATGGCACTCCAAACCAGCGGTAGGACTTATGGAGCAGCTGAAGGCCAACTCCCGCCTGACGGATACGACTTTAGTCTGAAAGCACCTCTAGGGATTCGAACCTCGGCTCAGGCCGCCGTAATATCGATCCACGTTTGAATTGGATGGGGGATCGATCGGAGAGGAGCAAATAGTGCAGTTATGGAATATAAATTCACTATTTTCGTTTACAATGCATGCGCAGATCTACTTTATGAGCAAGTGTTGAACAAATATAAATATTGAGAGCTTGGGTACGGAAGAAATAAAAATTGGTCGTGACCGTTACCTGGGTAGTAGTTTGTATTCCTTTTTGATGCTGTTGGAGAAGACCAGAAGTGCTCGTATCTTGGGTATGAGATGCAATTCCGAATCTGAGTGTTTCCGCATCTCACGCCAAGGTTCATTCCACTCGCAAAACAAGAGCTGTGGTGATAAGATAAATGATTTAGCTTAAGATTACAGCATCAATACTTATTTATGTATAATTGTCTATACAAATAAATGGAATTGAAATGTGTTTATGTAACAAATCAAATCAAATTAACAGCTTTCCACTAAATGCATATAAAATATATATGGTACTTAATCAAAATATTATATTGAAAAAAATGTCTGTCTGTTGGTTCTTGATAATCTCTGAAATGGCTGGTCCGATTTCAACAAGACTTCTACTGACATATATCTATACAACTATACATATAAATAAAATTGGAGTGTCTGTTTGTAATATTGAAATAACTGTTTTTTACATATTGCATATGAATATAAATACGGTACATACACCAAAATAACATTTTTTACTATTTTTGTCTGTCTATCTGTCTGTTTACTCCAACTAATCTCTGAAATGCCTGGAAGATTTTGACGGGACTTTTTTTGGCAGGTAGCTGATGTCATAAGGAGTAACTAAGGCTACCTTTATTTTAGAAAAATAAAAGAAAATCCACGCGGACGAAGTCGCGTGTACAGCTAGTAAGAAATATAAAGCCGGCACTGATATATACGAGAATATCAATCAGATACCTGACAGGAACATTCAGCATGAAGTCGATCGTAGAGACGCTCCTCCAGTTCCATGCACGTGGCATCCTCAAGAGCCAAGTTGGGCGGCTGCAGGTCAGACTTTATGATGATGCGGCTGATGTCCAATACCATCATCCGACCGGACCTGTATAAAATATAATGCAATTAAATGAATGAATGAAAAACTATATTTCCTCTCACAGAAAGAAATAACAATTACATAAATAAATATGTACATTTAATTTTTATTTGTTTCTAATTCTTTATTGCGCCAATATTAAAAGCAGGTACATAAATATATATATAACAATACACAAAAAAAAAGAAGGTACAGAAGGCGGTCTTATCGCTAACGCAATCTCTTACAGACAACCTTAGGAAAGAAAGTTATACTAAAAATAAAGTAGGCGGGATATGACTGAAAATAAGATTGTTCAGTCATATACTAGTTTTTTGTAAATAGTCACGTTTTTGTAATAACTTTTTTAGTAAATTGTTTTATTATTTGTTAAGACATTTGAAAAGAATAAGAACTGAGTTTCTTATCAGTTCTTCTTGACTCGAAAGCACTCCGAACTGCCGATATATTTGACATATCATAAGAGTCTGTAATAGACCTACATGAATAAATGTATGAAATGAAATAAAAACTCTTAATTGTTCTCGTCACAGAATAAAAAAAACATGTACATACACTATTATGTATAAATATATAAATGTGAAAAAGATATATAAGAGAATGTGAAAAAGATATATATGAGAAAGAGGCAACGGCAATTAATATATGTAGGCAACCTTAGAATGGATAGAAGCGATTAGACTTGAGTATGTTTTGATTGAGTGATATTTCGATCTGATTTTGATCTAATTAAGCCCTAATAATCTCTGAACAAAATATCGGTACACCGTCTGAATAGTTAAAGTGCTTTTTTATTTATTTATTATTTGTTTAAAACAGAAAAAATATATTCCAATCACTGGAGAAACAATAAACGGTACACCGTCTTTTTACTTTATTTTGATTTGATATGCTCTATTTTCTGTAAACGCCAAAAAAAATCGGTATAACATCTAAATAGTCAAAGGATAATATTTTAAGAAAGGTATATATGAATGTGGATGGTTAAAAGGGCAGAGGAAGGCCGAAAAAGAGATGGATGGACTGTGTGAAAGATGATATGGTAAGAAAGGAAGTAAATAACGCGATGACTGCGAACAGGGATGAATGGAAGCGAAAAACATATTACGCCGACCCCAAATAAATGGGATAAGGAAGAAGCAGACGATGATGATCTAAATAGTCAAAGTATTGCCAGATATTAGAACTAACTTGTGGACACATCCATGTTCAGGTATAACGATGCAGGGTCCTTTGATGTCCACATTGATCTGGAACAGCTTGCGTCGGCTGACTGCGTACGCTAGCACTGATTTGCTGACGCCAGCAGCCTGCTTCGCAGCACCCGCCACTTCCTCCGCCAACTCTTCTGACGTCATCGAGTGGGTTTGGAAGAAGTTTATCAGTTCCGTGAAGGTGTGCTGTTGAGATAATAACATCGTGTATATGAAACTGCTTTTGAAATGTTGTGTTGGTGGAGAAGGATGGAAAGAAAAAATTAGCTGCAAAGAGGATATAAGAAATGAAGAAGTGTTAAAGAAAATAGACAGATCATAAATATTGTTGAGAATAGGCGGGGGAAAATGTTGGGGCACTTGACACAGCACGACGAACTTATGAATTTAAGGAAAATAGAAGAAAATAGGAGAAGGAAAAGGCCTACAACACAGATTATTTATTAGATTATTTTATTTTGTTTTCTCTGTTTATTTTGTTCAATTTTATGTATATAAAAACATAGCAGATCAATTATCTGCTATGTTTTTATAAAATCAAACTAAAATATCTTAATTCGTCTGATATGTCAAATCTACTCTATTCACTGATCTGTGATAGTTAACATCTGGTAATTCTTTTGTGGACTCCCGCAGTACAGTTTAGCCTAATGTATAATCAACTTTATAATATTTATGTTTGTAAATAAATAAATGAAATGGAAAAAGTCGTGTCGCATCAACAACTATTTTCAGTTGTTGAAGTACCTCTGAAAACGCACAGTCCGAGAGGTACCAACGTGGGGGGATGAATTTCCTGTCGATGGCGACCGGTGCAATGGTAAAAGGTAGTTATGGTCATCATGTCGGTGCTGCCTGAGAGATTAAAGACTAACCTCGATGTACAGCACTTCCAATGGCTCCAGGGTGAAGGAGAGCCCGTAGTCTGCAGCACTGGTGCTCGGGTTACGTTCGAGGTCGAGAGCCAGCAGGTTGCTAGCAATTGGGGCGCCTATCTCGATATTCAGCAGCGGCACCAAATCGCCGTCTGCTGTAGCTCCTTCTATCACTGCACTTTCTGCACGAGCTGACAACTGAAGAAGATATTTTTTTTCTTAATTTATTTTTCTAATACTATTTAATGAATTTATATTATTTTGTTTAATTCCGCTACAATTAGTTAGCATGTATGTTCGGCGACCAAACCGCGACTCAGCGTTTTGGACAAACAGTTAACACTAGGCTTCCAAGCTATATCCGATCTCTATTCAATGCCTGATGATGCCTCGTTCGTGTAGACTCAATAAGGGTCGGAATTGGATCGCCATTAGAGAAGGTCGTAACAGTTCTCTAATGTTGCAGGTGCTCATGGGCGGCGACAATCACTTACTATCAGGTGAGCTCATCAATCATTTGCACCCCTATATGCTAAAAATAATTGTATACCTTAAACGCTTTAGCGGATGGTCGTGTCTCCAACGACGCCAGAAACTGCGTCAATGTTACAACTAGCACTTCCTTGCTTCTATTCATCAGTGTCAGAGAGCAATTCGCTAATGTCAAATTTAGTTTATGCTCTGAAATACAAAACATTGGTAACATTATTATTTGAACTATATAATTTGATACGGTTAATAATAACAATAATATACCTAAACAATTTCCAGAGCGCCATCTAGTCCTAAACTAAGCAGGCTATAGGTCCTAGATAACTGATGGAAATGTGTAGATATATTTTCATACATAGTATACACAGAAAACACACAAACCTATACAAATAACCATACACATGAATACAAATATTTGCACCATGCTAGGAATCGAACCCGCGGCATTAAAGCGGTGTGCTAAACTACTAGACCACTAACGGAATAGTATAAAATTTACTATGAACTAACCAATATATTGTTTAGATTTGTCCGGTTTCTGTTCGCCTTCTACATATCCAATGAGCTCACACACTCGTTTCTTTTCAGGACTAGACAAGTGACTCCATAATGATTTGCTTCTTTCTGACTTGACGCAAAACTCTACCCGTTTATTTTCTTCTGAATCACTTTCCTCTTCGGAACCAGGCAGCCACCAATCGATTTCAGTTTCCACTACTTCTATACGATCTGGTTCTTGAGATAGCAACTGAAAGACAAAAGTTCTTTCTAATTTTAGCATTTAAAGCAGTTAATTAGTCTTATTAGATTTTATCATGAGCTTACTCGATTTCTAACAAACCGCGGTTTTAACAGCATGAAATTAACCTATACGTTATTCTGATGTATAAGCTAACTGTACTCCTAACTTGAAAACAATTTTATAACAGTGATCTTTTTGCTCGTTATATCTGCCTTGTGTAAGATAGCCAAGAGTCTCTAGTTGCTATTGGTACGTATATTAGGCTTAAGTTATCAGCTATTATGTATAGATTGATATTAATCCAATGAGCCTTTTATTTATCGTGTCGCAAATTCTTCAAAAGACTGTCCCCTTACCAGAAATGTGACGAGGGGATGTGTGGGATTCCTATCCACTAAAAAATTACACGGTACCTACAAGCGCTAATGCCGGAGTCGCAAGGTCGGATTAGTATTCTACCACGACTAATTCTATGAGTCTAATAATTTCACTTACTTCGAACTTCGCTTGTTCCCTCGCAATGACCACTGAAATAATCGGCAGGCTATCTTCGCACTTCTGCAAGTCTAACTTCAGCTCTGTATCATTTGGACTCCTCAGCGTGCTCTTGTATGTTTGTTTGTATTCGTTGTAGTTCTCTCGGTGCTTCTTTATCGCTGCCCACGTGTAAGGTCGGACCCGTTGTTCGACCACCACATTGTATGCGTAACGCCACCATTTCTTAATGTCTTTTGTTAAGGGTACGCCCGGGTGGAGATGGCGGTGTTTTCTAGAATGTTAAATAATTTATTACTATATAGAACATTCGAAGATATTTTTTTCAGTTTGGTATCTAGATCATCCCAAAGTCAAATTTCGACTGAACTCCTTAAACTAAGATGATTATGCCCATTGACGGAATGCGTGTACGGCTGGATCAATTTCGGTAATTATTTTTTTGTTGTCTTTTTCATTGTCAGGAAGTTCTTATGAAAGAAAAATTAAGAAAGTTGTGCGGATTTTTTTCTATTAATTATACCAATTTAATATTCATAGTTAAGAAAGGACAACGTCTGTCGGACCATCTAGATATATATAGATTCTTACCTATTAAGTTTAATCCTGGCAAACGAGGACAAAAGATTGTCAATAGACAAGTACTGTCTTCGCGACAGCTGCAGGGCGCTGTCTTGTAGCACTGCGTCTAAGAGTAACCTTGGGACTCGAGCTTCTCCGGACCTATTTATCAAAACCTTCACCTTGCACGTCACGGGCCTTAGTACTGTATAAAAAAAATAAGAATTATTTACATTTATAATAATACTTATTATAGATAGATTCCCCATAGTGTTAGTAACAATTTCTTCAAATCTAACGTTAGTAAGACCAACACTTCTCCGGGTGGAGATCTATACTCACAGAACTCAAAGTCTTCATGATGCATCGAGAACTTATTCAGGCCTGTAAGCATATAATGCTTCCAATTGTAATACTGCATCGGCGTGATATGAGCTGTCTCGTTATCATCCAGCGCCGTTGCAGTAGGGTTCCAGTACAATGATAATGACTCAATCTTCATCATTTGGTAGACTGTAGTCGCGTTCGCTGGCGTCACTGTTGGCTTCCATTTACTAGAAACAAAGGCGGTAATCTAAACTAACAATGTTAAAAGGAAAGTGAGATGGCAGAGTCCGCATACTAACACTGTCACCGTTGGGCGTATAGCTATAGCTACAAGAGAATATCCTTAACAATCATATTATGAATGTTTCCTTCTCCTGATACTTGTATTTTGCTGTTTTCTCGGTCCCTTGTTCTTAGAGAGAGCAACCAAATAATACAATCATGTTAGAGTTAGTGTAGTGTGTCTACCATCTGGTGGACGGTCAGCTTTTTAACTCTAGATTTATCTAAAACTAGCTGTACCCGCGTCTTCATCCGCGTGAAATTTAACTTTATTTATCTAAAATAAAAGATTTTTTTGGAAAATAAAAGTAGCCTAAGTTACTCCTTATTACATCAGCTACCTGCCGAAAAACGGTCCAGCTATTTCAGAGATTAGCCGAAACAAACAGACAGACAGACAGACATAAAATTTAAAAAAATGTTAATTTGGTGTATGTACCGTATTTATGTTCATATGCATGTAGTAAAAAAGGGTTATCACAGACACTTCAATTTTATTTCTATGTAGAGATTGGATGATCCCTCGTACTCTTTATAAGGAGGTTGTCATAAGCCCTGGTAGTTCGCTATTACTACATCGCTTTACTTTCGATAATCTCGGGTTCGATTTCTCTCATAGTGCAAACATTTATAAGAATGATTGTATCGGTCTGGCTACCTAATTTGGGTCTAGATGGCGCTGTGTGAATTGTCCTAAGATATTATTATTATTACAGTAATAAAGTCGTACCTATTAGTCGTCTCAATGGAAAGACTCTGAAGACAAAGACCACAGGCCAGCGGCCCGTCTTTCGAACTGATAGAATCTTCATATCTCACATGTACATTCCTCACGTAAATCTGTAGATTATTCACAATGGCCGTAAATAAATGCTCGAAGAAGTTCTGCGGCCCTTTCAGAATCTCGCTTTCAGCTTCAAGATCCTGCAGTATCTTCCTCTTGGCCGCTCTAGTCAGTCTCTTCTCCCTTTCTGGGTCGAAGTAGCTGTTGGAGATTGCTGGTCCAACTAGGATTAATACGTCTTCAATTTGGACAACAACGGGTTGGGTATACAATCCTGCCCATGGTATTTGCAAGTTGATACTACCGATCGTGCCAATTTTCACATCGATAGGCAAGTCTAATTCATACTGAAAAAAATTAGATAAGCAGCTATAGAAATTACCAAGATATATGGAGTCTTTACGAAAGTACTATAACAATATATGATCGCGAGTCACCAGAAAAAAACTATATGAAGAGACTAAAGTCATATAAATAGCCAATCGTAACCCACCCGAGATGATAGCGTAGAGAAACTTATCAAAATATAGTACATTGTAGACCTATTCCTTATTAGGTCAATCGCGTGGACTGGACCTACCCCAGGGTGTAGATTTAAGAGGGCGTTTGCCGACACACACAACACTCAACTTCAACGTGTTTCTCTTCCTGACCAGCCAAAATTGGTATGAATTAGTGCAGCTTTAGATGCACGTATAGAACTTACTGCAGTTCTGGACAGGTTAAGATCTTTTAGAGAGATTTTGCTGGTATAGCTCTCGCTCCCACTTCGACAGCATATAAACCACACCATAACCACATAACCATTTTTAATTAATTTTTTTTATACCACGTAGGTGGCATAAGTATACGGCCCATGATGGTAAACAGTTACCGTAGCATATGGACGCCTGAAACACTAGGGGTATCACGTGCAAATTGCCGACCCTTAAGAAACCTTAATATATCCTTCTTGAAAAACTCCACGCTGTAGTCTATATTAGTTCGTAGGATTAATTTGTGTGATTATAGCAAAAAAAGGAGGATGGTTTCCTTTACTTACCAGCGCCTCTGGCTTAAGTTTGAGATCCGAGAGGCTGACTTTACCAGAGATTATGCCCACATTGAGGTTCTCTGTGTCCAAATCTTGAACGTACTTCCCGAGGAGGCGGTTCAGAATGCCCGCCACCGCACCCTCAAACATCTTGATGGTGTACTCAGTTCAGGGATTACTGGAATGTAACGAAAAATGAGGTACTTAGCATCTATGTGTATAGAAATAAGTGTTGAACATTGCAACAGAATGCAAGTTTGCAGATTCGTCTTACTAAATTCATTCTACAACATATTTAGCTAAGTTTAAAAACAAGAAGGTAAAATTAATTTATTTAAAAAAGGGCTTAAAGAACTACTGACAGAAAAAGCTTACTATACAGTAAAAGAATGTTTAACAGACGTACTATAGGAGCTAACTGGACACTACAACAGATCTAAATTTTAAATTTTGTTTTGGGAATGGGTCATCTACGAAATTGCCATACTCTTTAAACATAGTCCATGTGTATTGTTAATTTATCATATGTAAATTTATGTATATGCATGTGCAATTATAAATAAATAAATAAATAAATTTACACTGTTTTTTTTTGTTTAATGGTTGATAATGGAATGATGCACCATCCTGCGCTAGCGGTTTACGCTGATTGGGCACCAGTGGAGGATGATAAGGTGAATATGAGGTGAGGTCAGTTAGCCCATCGTAATTCACCAAGAATTTTTCACGATGGTTTCCAGGGAGAACCGCGTGGACGTCAACCTGACATGGTATATTGCTAGCAATAGGGTCCACATTACTAACAAGTCCCTTTCCCCTCTGATTTACACTGTTAGCACATTTATTTTATTATACTTATTTTTTACTTGATGTATTATATTATGTCAAAGGGCTATGGAGAGAAGTATGATCGGAGTACGAAGATTTTTTTTTTTTTCCCAGGATCTTCTGTAATCCTGTTGTTTTGGGAAGACTTGGGATACAATGCACAGCGGTGTATATATATGATGGAAGATTTTGATTGATATATTTGATTTTTGTTTGAATGTTAGTTTGTAATATTTGTTATTTATTTTGTATTTGCATTATTTATTTATTATATGTATTTTGTTCTTATTTTATTTATGTATTTATTATTATTATTTTTGTTTTTATGATTGATTTTTGTTTGAAATAAAAATTTTTTTTTTTTAATTGTAATATTTATTATTTATTTTCTTCTTTTTTCCTTTCTCCTTCATCTTTTCTTCTTGGTTTTTTTTTTGTTTTATTAAGTAAGACTGGAAAAATAGTGATCTTAGGTTGAGGACGAAAGTAACAAATATATTATCAAAAATAGACCAGCAGAAGTGGCGATGGACTGGCCACACGATGCGAGGTACTAGGGAAAAATGGAGTAGAAAAATAACAGAGTGGTATACTAGAGAATGAAAGAGAAAGAGGGGAAGGCAGACGATGAAATGGTAAGATGAGTTGAAGTCAACTGTGGACACAAAATGGAGAAGAGTTGCACAGGATAGGAGTCAATGGAAGTCGCTGAAGGAGGCCTATGCCAAAAGGCACACTGAAATTAGAGAAATATTATAAAAAAAATTAAAAAAAATTGTATATTACAGTTAAAAATATTTGTAAATTTCAGAATAAATGGCTTTATTATTATATTATATTATGTGATAAATCTATATGCCAGCATCAGTGCTTTAGCGGGTTTACCGCACTCTTAGATTCAGATAATTGTGGGTACCTATAACTAGTGTTGATAACCTATGACTACCTCATCTGGGGTAACAGTTATAATAATAATATTAAAACTCTTTATTGTGCATAAAAAACCAAATAATTACAAAAAAGAACAAGTAGTAGTAGGTGGCCTTATCGCTCAAAACTTTTTAATATGTTTTTTATAGTTATGACAATATGTTTTTTCATGCCATGATGATGGTTAAAGATGTCATGTCATCAATAGAAACAAAAGAACAAAGAGAGGGAAATTCTGATAAAATAAAAATTCTGATAAAATAAAATAATATTCGAACAAATATTGTTACTAACGTCAACAGCACGTGTCTGTATACAATAGATAATCCATTACATCCACTGGAAGGCACGTTGGCATGATCTAACAATGGAAATGGGATTTACGATGAATCTATCTATTCTTTGAAACATTTCCTTAATAATAACAATTTCTATTGAAGATTGTATTCTTTATTTATAAAAATTACTGCCTGCGGTTTCATCAGCGTTTAATTTATGTTATTCTGATGCATAAGCTATATTACGGTAAAGTTTCATCAAAATCCTTTCAGTACTTTTTGCGTGAAAGAGTAACAAACATCCATACTATACATACATACATACGCTTGGTTTATTCCATAGTATTGAATAATAATTATGATATATATATATATAATTTTAATGTGAATATTAATAGATATTAAAATTTAAGTACATTTTAATTTATTCTATCTTTTCTTATACTAAACTTATCAAATTCTATTTCATGACGATACACCAATAGATTTTTTTATTATCTATTAACTTTTTAATTTATACGTGATTATGTTTATTAAGTATTTATTGATTCCAGTAAAAGAAAATACGTAATATTTATATAAATGGGTATTGAAAGCCTGGGTGCTCTAGCGGCTTAGCAGACCGCCTTACTTCCGACGGTCGCGGGTTCGATTCCTCGCACGGTACAAACATTTGTATTCATGAGTATGATTGTTTGTATCGGTCTGGGTATTTTCTATGTATAATGTGTATATATTTATGAAAAAAATCTATGTATTTGTATCAGTACTCTAATATCTATAACAAGCTTTAGTTAGCTTATATATTGATCTAGATGGCGCTGTGTGAATTGTCCTGAGATATATTTTTTTTAAATAAGGCGTTACAAAGTTATAATGGCAGAGGAAGGCCGAAAAAGAGATGGAAATGGATGTGACAGATGATACGGTAAGAACGGGAGTAAATAACGAGATAACTGCGAACAGAGACGAATGGAAAAGAAAAACATATTACGCCGACCCTAAATAAATGGGATAAGGAAGAAGCAGATAATGATGATTGTAATTATGAGAACAAGGATGAATGGAGAAAACCATATTACGCCGACCCTAAATAAATGGGATACGGAAGAAGCAGATGATGATGATATTATTATGCGAACAAGGATGAATGGAGAAAACATATTACGCCGACCACAAATAAATGGGATAAGGAAGAAGCAGATAGTAATGATTATTATTATAAACTTACTTACATATTTAAAATAGATTAAGCTATGAATAAACAAGGTACTTACATAGTTAAAATCAATCATTATGACATACGAAAATGAGTTTTAAAGTAAAACACTGTAAGGTACCTTATCAATATATACAAAAAGTTACACTAATATTAATAACAATGTAAAATTCGTCACACCACTCATTAATATCCTATGCATAGTAAACAAATGTAACAATACACACATACAGACGAGTATGGGCGTTATTAAAATATTATCATCGCGCTATCTCAGTGATAGCCGGTTATCATTGTTTTATTGTATCTACATCTATTCGATTTGTGTATACAATATACATCACACTAATTTGTGCCATTTCATAATCGATACGTGTCGAATCGAGGTAAGTGTTACTAGGTAGGGTGCGTTTGACGACCTCGGTGGTCTAGCGGTCTAGCACACCGCTTTACGTCCGATGATCGCGGGTTCGATTCCTCGCACGGCACAAACATTTGTATTTATGAGTATGATTGTTTATATGTATTTGCGAAAAAAAATATCTATGTACTTGTATCAGGTATCTAGTACCCGTAACACAAGCTTTACATAGCTTAACTTGGGACTAGATGGCGCTGTGTGAATTGTCTAAAGATTATTATTATTATTGTTTTCTCTCAGATTCTTTGCAGCTTCAAATTAGACTTTAAAGAAAACGATTTTGACATAAAATTGTTTGTGTGTAAATATCTATCTCTCTTTAATTATTTGTGTTTGAGTTTTTTATGGTTGAGAGCAATGATGGCAGGCTCATCCGTCATGCTCGTGAGCGGGTGCTGCTGTGGGGACTGGTCTGTTCAGGTTGCGAACACTGATTAAACTTTTTGATTTTGCAATAGCATTTGCTGGTGGTCACTCTATTCTCCCAAATTTGAATTTAAATGACTCTGTATTATTGTAAACATGTACAAAAATCTGAAAAGAATACGAGCTGAGTTTCTTGTCAGTTCTTCTCATCTCGAAATCATTCCGAACTGACGGTAGATTCGACATATTATAAGAGTCTGTAATAGACTCACTTGAATAAAAATATTTGGAATTTTGAAATTCAAATATTTAATTTGAATTTCTCTTGTTTTAAACAGCTTCGGATTAGACCTTAAATAAAATAATATCGATATAAAAAATCTTTGTGTGTTTATATTTTTATCTCTTTCATTATAAAATGGAAATACCGATAAATGAATAAATAACCCTGGACAATTAACACAGCGCCATATATACCCACGGTGAGCAGAACTATTGTTATAATAGATAGATAAGAAACAAAATGACTCCAAGTGTGGCAATTTATTGTTTTAACCGAGTCTCTGGTGATGGATAACACCTCTGTAGGTGTTATGTATAACACCTACAGAGGTGTTGTACCAGAGACTTGGTTGTTGTCTTGTCTTGTAGGTTTACCTCCTGCATTCAAATATAGGTACGCAGTGAGACGTGGACATGTTAAGTGTTGCTTTCTGCACGATATTATTGAAATGCATCTGAGTAGCCTATACCAGTGCCAGATACCGAAAGGTCGTCTGTTCGAACCTAATCAACACTCCAAGAAAAGTATTCGCTGCTCCGCTAGACCGTCATGGACAAGAATTGAAGAATATTCTTAGGAGCGATGGTTTTTATCTCCTCAGAGTGTAAACTTTCCAAAGGATATTTTGTTTATGCATGAGTGAGCTATAACCACATAGGATGTGTAGTGTCGTTTTCTGTTCAGCTTGACAAAATCTGCAGATTAGCGTGTTATGTTACAGAACAAGCCGAGAAATTAAAAAATTTGTATCTTATATATAAAATTCTCGTGTCACAGTTTTCGTTCCCATACTCCTCCGAAACGGCTTGACCGATTCTCATGAAATTTTGTGAGCGTATTGAGTAGGTCTGAGAATCGGCCAGTATATATTTTTCATCCCCCTAAATGTTAGGGGTAGTCCACCCCTAAATTTTTTTTTATTTTTTAGAAAAATGTTTAGTTTCTACTTTTTTATGATACAACATACAAAAATACATACAATCCTAAATTTTCATCCTTCTATCATCAACCCCTATTTTTTTATAGCGTTATTAATTTATATGGCAAAACAACGTTTGCCGGGACAGCTAGTTATAAAGATAAAAATTGATTAGACAGTAAATTATATCTTATTAATATTATAAATGTGCAATTTTGTGAGTATGAATGAATGTTTGTTACTCTTTCACGCAAAAACTGAACGGAATTTAATGAAAGTTTATAATAACATATCTTATACATCAGAATAACACGTAGACTATGAATTTCACGCGAGTGAAATCGCGGGCACTGGTAATCTATACATCTATACATATAAATAAAATTGGAGTGTCTGTTTGTAATATTGAAATAACCGTTTTTTACTACATCCATATGAATATAAATACGGTACATACACCAAAATAACATTTTTTACAATTTTTGTCTGTCTGTCTGTTTGTTCCGGCTAATGAAATGGCTGGACCGATTTTGACGGGACTTTTTTTGGCAGGTAGCTAATGTAATAAGGAGTAACTGAGGCTACTTTTATTTTAGAAAAACAAAGTTAAATTCCACACGGACGAAGTCGCGGGCACAGCTAGTATATAATATTATATCATGTAGTATTTTATATGAAATTCTACTTCATCAGTTTGTCGCCAAGGTCAAAATTGTCATGTTACCATCCTACTAAATACGCTGGAGTCTAATCGATTTACAATACGAACAATTCCGCTTCAGAATTGGCAACATTGCGTGATACACACTCATATTAAGAAATGTATACTTATAGAGGGTGTTCTATAAAAAAACTCAAGTCGATCGTGGTGGAATTATTAATACACTGCCGAGCTTGACGGCAGCATGTCGTACCGACTTTATATTGCTTATAGTTGCTTAAGGTTGTATGAAGGTGACACCAGTATTGGAGAAGTTAAAGAGTAATCGTCTGTCGTGGTATGGGCATGTAACGCGTAGGAATGAAGATCATATCTTAAGGAGGTTGTTATATATGTATGTGGTTGGTTATAAGGGCAGAGGAAGACCGAAAAAGAGATGTGTGAGAGATGATATGGTGAGAAAGGGAGTAATAACGAGATGGCTGCGAATAGGGATGAATGGAAGAGAAAAACATATTACGACGACCACAAATGAATGGGATAAGGAAGAAGCAGATGATGATAGTTTCTTAAGGTTCTATTATATAATAATAATAATCATCTCAGGACAATTCACACAGAGCTATCTAGACCCAAGTTAAGGTAGCTAAAGCTTGTATTATGGGTACTAGATAATTGATCCAAATAATCACAATGAATACAAATGTTTGTGCTGCGCGAGAAGTCGTAAAGCGGTGTGCTAGACCGCTAGACCAGGTCTAGGTCTAGCGGTCTATAGACCACCGAGGTCATCGGTGGACTGGAATGGTCGTGGTCGTGGTCGTGGTCGGAATTTTTAACAATAATGAGATGACTGCGAACAGCACCTCTGTTCGCAGTCGCAGTTCGCTTGGGAGAGAACAACGCCCCTCAAAATTAATATGATAAGGAAGAAGCAGATTGAAGGATACTCATTAAATTGAAATTTATACCAGTAATATATAGTAGACCAGCTACTCGCCCCGGCTTCGCACGGGTGTACATGTATTATACATATAAACCTTCCTATTGAATCACTCTATCTATTAAAAAAACCTCTTCAAAATCCGTTGCTTAGTTTTAAAGATTTAAGCATACATGGGGACAGACAGCGACAGCGACTTTGTTTTATACTATGTAACTAGCTACTCGCCCCGGCTTCGCACGGGGCATTATTATACATTATTACACATTTATTATACATATAAACCTTCCTCTTGAATCACTATTAAAAAAACCGCTTCAAAATTCGTTGCGTACTTTTAAAGATTCAGTCATAAATAGGTACGGACAGAGCGACTTTGTTATATACTATGATGATCATGAAGATTGATCAAATTATTTTCTAATAGTAAAAAATAGCCTTAAACTCACGGACGTAAGAAAATAATAAGAAAGGTCATGACGTGCAAAACATAAATACTTAATTGATAATTCACGAATCGTAAGTCTATTATAAATAGAATACAGTGGAAATCAAGGCCAACATACCCTCAAACGAACAGAAGCCATGACAGTTTTCAATAAACAATGATATCATATTATAAATAAACTTAAAAAAAAATATATAATATGATGACTAAAATATATTATTAAAAGGGGTCCCTTTAGGCAACGTTCCGAAGATACTGGCAGCGTTCCCTCTTTGAATGGCTAGACTAATTCTTTGTCCAAGGTAGCTGCCAGCTCTTCGGTCTTCTGTGATGTCGACTAACCTTTTCGTTATTTCTTTGAAAAGTCTTATAGCGCTATTTATTAATATATATAACCCGCGAGGTCTAGTTCAGATAGATTTCTTTCAATGGTAAACTCGAAAAAAATCTATCATAATAAAAATTTTATTTAAATCAATCAAACATATTCTATACCGCCCTGTTATATATGTATACACGGGTTTATTAATTAGATGTATTGTTAATAAATAAAATTATATAATTACCTAATAATTCACATGGTATTTCCACCACAAATGCAGTCGGATTTTCCACTGGTTTGATTCTTATGACGTCAAAGGAGACGAAGATACTGGCTGTTTTTGACAGATGTCAAGTACTACGCCGGCGCGGATTTCGCGCATGCGTGTGTGTTTAGAGATTGCTAGGAAATCGTAAGTATAATTGTGTTATGCGGGAAATACGTGGGAGTACCGCTCGATAACTTAAAGGCAGGATATGGCTGCTCTGTTGAGGAACTTAGTAAAGGGGACAAAGGGAAAACGTATAGTTGCGAAGTAGTTATTAACGTTGAATGCAACCGTTTCGTAATTGAATATAGGTAGTATTTTAGTTATTATGTATTACATAGTCTTATTATTAACTAGCTGCACACGCGACTATGTCCACGTGGAATTGAAAAGTAGCCTAAGTCAATTTTTATTACATCAGCTATCTACCAAAAAAAATCACGGCAAAATCGGTCCAGCCATTTCAGATATTAGCCGGAACAAACAGACAGACAGACAACGATTGAATTTCGAGATGTGGAGGCCTAACATCGTAGTCTCATCATTACATAGTATAAAACAAAGTCGCTATCGCTATCTGTCTGTCCCTATGTATGCTTAAATCTTTAAAACTACGCAACGGATTTTGAAGTAACAGTTACAGTAAGTAATAGTTTTCTTAATAGATAGAGTGATTCAAGAGGAAGTTTTATATATATAAAACATGTACACCCGAGTATCTACTACTCTATAAAGAAATACATATAATGAAATTATAGATTTATTAAATAAATGAAAACCACAATAATATATGTAATAGCTTTAATTATGTTTGTAGGTACTTCATCGTTCGTATCTTCTGTTCCCAGACTCCTACAAAGGGAACTAAGATTTTCGACTGGGCTGCAAATAGCAGGCGTTGCAAGACCCTATGGGAATTGCGGCTGCGAAGCAGGTGTTGGGACATAGAGGGCACGCCTCTACCACCTGCTTAGTGATGCTGCATTCAGCACTATTGGACCACTGTGAGGCTGGGGTGTTCTGCAAAGACCATATTTATTTCTATATGTCACTAGCTATGCCCACGACTTCGTACTTCCATTCTAGCTTCCAAAATGAAGAATTTCCATACAAACTTTCATTCCCCATTGATTTTAGTGGTAAAATTTTTACAAACTCCGAATATTTATATTTAATCAACAGCCTAAAAAATAAGTTTCAAGCTTCTAGCTTATAAATGATGATACTTCAATACAACTTTTCAACTCCCCTTTAACTCCTCACAGCAATTTTTTCGCATTAAAAAATAATTTCTGAAATTCTTGTCTCCAATAGAAATATGGATATTTTCCATTCAACGCTGGTCCAGTTCCGGAGACAATTAAATTTCCACCGTAAAGAGACAAATTATATTTAACATTGTACCAATTTTCTTTATTTTAATATAAATAAAATTCTGTTAACATGATAATTCATTGCATTACGTAGTTATATATCATTTTCTATTTAGTTTACTTTTTATTATATAACCTTATCTAGCGTATATTGAATGCCTCTATATAATTTAGCTCTTAGGCATACATAGTGTTGGATTACAATCCAGTTTTGTACCGAACTACACGCTCCTAGTTATATTATTATATTGACTGTAATCTGTTTTGTATGCTAATAAATAAATAAATAAATAAATTTATGTCCTTTCTCAGTGACCAGACTGTCTGTATACCTACCAAATTTAATTTAAATCTGTTCAGTAGTTTTGGCGTGAACTTGCGACAGACAGACAGAGTTACTTTCGCCTTTATAATAATAGTAAGTTTAGGTAGGTAGGAATATTATACCTTCTTTATGCCCCTCCGATCGATCCCCCGTCCAATTCAAACGGGGATGAAATTACGACGGCCTGAGCCGAGGTTCGAACCCCTAGTAGTGCCCTTAGACTAAAATCTACAAGTACCCAAATAAAATTTACACGTGCCCAAACCCAAACAAAATTTACACGTACCGAAACCTAAAAATAATAATAATAATCTCAGGACAATTCACACAGCGCCATCTAGACCCAAATTAAACTACCTAAAGCTTGTGTTATGGGTACTAGATAACTGATACAAATACATAGATATGTTTTTTTTTCGTAAATACATATATATTATACATAGAAAATACCCAGACCGATACAAACAATCATACTCATGAATACAAATGTTTGTGTCGTGCGAGGAATCGAACCCGCGACCATCGGAAGTAAGGCGGTGTGCTAAACCGCTAGACCACCGAGGTCGTCAAAAAATTTACACGTACCCAAACGAAATTTTTCAAAATACAGTGCAGTACATCATAAGCGGCGCAGTTCAAGTACGACCCTTGTGTTTGAAGATCTGACCCCAGACAATCGGTCTTCAACGCTTGAACAGCGGTAGACCAGATCGCATGGTCTTTTGCGTACTTGTCGAAATAGTCTGAAATCTTCTGCTTGTTCAATTTAAATTTGCCTTCAGTGGCATCATCTTCTAGCCAACCCTGATTTCTGAATACGCAGACAGTCGAGTCGCACTGAAAGAATAAAAAAAATATCTAAATATATGTATATAAATCAAAGGTGACTGACATAGTGATCTATTAACGCACAGCCCGAACCACTGGACGGATCGGGCTGAAATTTGGCATGCAGGTAGATGTTATGACGTAGGCATCCGCTAAGAAAGGATTTTGATAAATTCCACCCCTAAGGGGGTAAATTAACGCGAGCGAAGCCGCGGGTATAAGCTAATATACATATATATATATATATATATATATATATATATATATATATATATATATATATATAATATATCCCCTTGGGCACTTCGTGGCTCAGACGTGCCGTATAGGTAGTTTTTTGTTGATCCTTTTTCACTTGTTGATCCGGAGGCCTTTTGTTGATCTAATGCCAGATGACCATATATAAATGTTGATCTGTTTTGAGCCACAACTGTCACGACGAGTAATAATAATAATTAAGCGATTTATACACGATTTTATACAAATCCACCTTTTTGGCATACGAGCAGTTCTTGATCCAATTCAAACGGGCCAATCAGGGTGCAGCATTTGCCAAGGGCTTCCTCATTGGCACGTTTGGGCTACTACATTATGGCTACAGTAACTTAATAATGTCTAGCTAGTATTTCAAAAATAATAGTCTACCTAATCTAAATATTTATAGAAATCAGTCTGGAGTAACGTGACTCCAGATCAAACCTCAATACTTGTTATTTTTTGGATGGGAATCTTTTCTTTTGTAACAACGTTACTGAGCGAATAAAAAGAAGACGCAACGGCGGATCCAGGGGGGAGCGTCATGGAGGTCATGGGAGTCATGGGGGCGTCATGACTCTCCCCCCCCTTAGCCCAGAACTTAGGTAGACCACTAATTGAACTAAAAAATAATGAAACAGCAAATTTTTTTGCACGATCGGAGTGTTGGTGCAGTAGTATTAATTATAATTAAACATTGTTACTTAAAACATAACAGTTAAAGTACTATAACACTAAAAGCAAAATAGGTATTTTCAAAATACTTTTTCAAAATAAATTACCCTTTGAGTTTTTGTTCAAACCTCAGATATTATATTTATTTTAGGTATATCAATCAATACATAGTATAGCATAGTACAGTCTGTCTGTCTGTCTGTTTGTTCCGGCTAATCTCTGAAATAGCTGGACCGATTTTGACGGGACTTTTTTTGGCAAGTAGCTGATGTAATAAGGAGTAACTTACGCTACTGTTATTTTAGAAAAATAAAATAAGCTGGGGCCAGCTAGTCTATAGATATACCGAGATTTAATGTTTAAGTTGCTATTATGTTATTGACAAAATTTTACTGTAATGTTACTATTACGTTATCCTACACAATTTGTATTATTTTGGATGAATAAATAAATAAATAAATAAATAATAATCTATACATCTATACATTTAATAAAAATTGGAGTGTCTGTTTGTAATATTGAAAAAACCGTTTTTTACTACATGCATATGAATATATATAAGGTACATATACCAAAATAACTATTTTTATAATTTTAGTCTGTCTGTCTGTCTGTCTGTTTGTTCCGGCTAATCTCTGAAATGGCTGGACCGATTTTGACGGTACTTTTTTTTGGCAGGTAGCTGATTTATAAGGAGTAACTTAGGTTACTTTTATTTTAGAAAAATAAAGTTAAATTCCACGCGGACGAAGTCGCGGGAACACCTTGTTTTTAATAAAAACATCTTTTTTGTGGTACTTGAGAATGTTGAAGCCTGTTGTTTGTAATATTGAAATAACCGTTTTTTACTACTTGCATATGAATATAAATACGGTACATACACCAAAATAACATATTTTACAATTTTTGTCTGTCTGTCTGTTTGTTCCGGCTAATCTCTGAAATGGCTGGACCGATTTTGACGGGACTTTTTTTGGCAGGTAGCTGATGTAATAAGGAGTAACTTAGGCTACTTTTATTTTAGAAAAATAAAGTTAAAAACCACGTGGACGAAGTCGCGGGAACAGCTAGTGTATAATATATTAGAGATACCTACGTGTTTTTTTATTGATGACTAGCTGTACACGGGATTTCGTCCGTGTTGAATTTAACTTTATTTTTCTAAAATATAAGAAGTTAAATTCCACGCGGACGAAGTCGGGTGTACAGCTAGTTGTCGGTAGTCTAGCGATTTAGCTAGCACACTGCTTTGATTCCTGCTTGGTGGTCGAGGGTTCGATTCCTCGCACGCTGCAAACATTTGTATTCATGAGTATGATTGTTTGTAACGGTCTGGGTGTTTTCTATGTATAGATAATATATATGTATTTACGAAAAAAAATCTTTGTATTTATATCAGTACCCATAACATAATCTTCAGCTAGCTTAACTTGGGTCTAGATGAAGCTGTGTGAATTGTCCTGAGATTACTATTATTACTATAATAAATCTTTTCAAATCAGCCGATGTTTATTTTTGCCATAATACGTGCTGTTACCATGTGATAATATTACGTACGTACTTATTAAACTATTAACTTATTATTAAATTATTAACTATTTATACTGTTTTAAATGTGATGCGTTCATTATTTATATTTCCTTTGAATTAAAGACAAATGTATATATATATATATATTTATATACACTTGCACACTTAGTTGATCCAGCCACGATCCGTAGATATTGCTGATCCACTGTCTCTCTCTTTCTATCACTATCTTTGTATTCTAATATGCGATGTTGCCGTTCCGGCCGAGACCATGCGTTGTTGCCAAATGTATTCGTCGATAGTAGTAGATACTTATACTCGATATATATTTTTTCAACAATTTCCTGCAATAGTGAATCCGTATCGGCATTTTTTTTAAATGCACAAAGATTTTTTGGCTCTGAATATATTTAAAAATCATTTACTTGTGTGTTGATGAATTTATATACTAGTACATGAAGTATCTAATACTTGTTTTGATTTGAATAGGTAGCGATATTATGAATTTATTATACGTAATCTAAAGATTTTGACGAAATAAAAGTAATTAGTTATCTGTTAACCTTGACTTCATGCTGGCACCAGTATTATCAGATGATGAACATACTCTTCGAAAACTTACAGCAGAAATATCGTGTTTGGACTCATTAGATAGGTCTCGATGAATAGAGTTTAAAAAACTTAAAATAAATGGTACATTAGAAATAATGTATAAAAACCCCTTACGTAAAATTCAACCACTTTAAACTTAATAATAATAATAATTAGGAAAAGAGAAAAGCTATACATGCACTGAAAGTAATTGATGCCTTCCACACAATATTTTCAGTATTAAACAACTCTGTTTGTTCAGTAAAAGTGTAAATACACTGGTAACCTTTAATCATATTTTATATGCAAACATTACATATACAAACACTAAAGTTTTATTTCAGAATAGCCAGTAGTTTTCAAGAAATAAGTCTTTGAAATTGTACGTGTAACTTATATATATACCTACTAGTTTTTTCACCATAACAAACAACACCAATATGGCCTAGTTAGTAGTTTACCTGTGTACCAATTAATAATAATAGTAATCTCAGGACAATTCATACAGCTTCATCTAGACCCAAGTTAAGCTAGCTGAAGATTATGTTATGGGTACTGATATAAATACAAAGATTTTTTTCGTAAATACATATATATTATCTATACATAGAAAACACCCAGACCGTTACAAACAATTTAATAATAAGTTAATAGTTTAATAAGTACGTACGTAATATTATCACATGGTAACAGCACGTATTATGGCAAAAATAAACATCGGCTGATTTGAAAAGATTTATTATAGTAATAATAGTAATCTCAGGACAATTCACACAGCTTCATCTAGACCCAAGTTAAGCTAGCTGAAGATTATGTTATGGGTACTGATATAAATACAAAGATTTTTTTTCGTAAATACATATATATTATCTATACATAGAAAACACCCAGACCGTTACAAACAATCATACTCATGAATACAAATGTTTGCAGCGTGCGAGGAATCGAACCCTCGACCACCAAGCAGGAATCAAAGCAGTGTGCTAGCTAAATCGCTAGACTACCGACAACTAGCTGTACACCCGACTTCGTCCGCGTGGAATTTAACTTCTTATATTTTAGAAAAATAAAGTTAAATTCAACACGGACGAAATCCCGTGTACAGCTAGTCATCAATAAAAAAACACGTAGGTATCTCTAATATATTATACACTAGCTGTTCCCGCGACTTCGTCCACGTGGTTTTTAACTTTATTTTTCTAAAATAAAAGTAGCCTAAGTTACTCCTTATTACATCAGCTACCTGCCAAAAAAAGTCCCGTCAAAATCGGTCCAGCCATTTCAGAGATTAGCCGGAACAAACAGACAGACAGACAAAAATTGTAAAATATGTCATTTTGGTGTATGTACCGTATTTATATTCATATGCAAGTAGTAAAAAACGGTTATTTCAATATTACAAACAACAGGCTTCAACATTCTCAAGTACCACAAAAAAGATGTTTTTATTAAAAACAAGCTGTCCCCGCGACTTCGTCCGCGTGGAATTAAATTTATTTTTCTAAAATAAAAGTAGCCTAAGTTACTCCTTATAAATCAGCTATCTGCCAAAAAAAGTACCGTCAAAATCGGTCCAGCCATTTCAGAGATTAGCCGGAACAAACAGACCGACAGACAGACAGACAAAAATTATAAAAATTGTTATTTTGGTATATGTACCTTATATATATTCATATGCATGTAGTAAAAAACGGTTATTTCAATATTACAAACAGACACTCCAATTTTATTTATATGTATTTAGATGTATAGATTATTATTTATTTATTTATTTATTCATCCAAAATAATACAAATTGTGTAGGATAACGTAATAGTAACATTACAGTAAAATTTTGTCAACAACATAATAGTAACTTAAACATTAACGGTCTTATTCATAAAAAAACTTATTGAAGGTTTATAGAGCTCATTAGTTAAAACATTCATTAGCGCTATTGAAGGTTTATAGAAGTGCGTTATTCATAAACCTATTATAAAGCCTCGCTAACTAATAGAGGTTTATAGGACTGTTTTTATCATTATGTTGCAATCTTGACGTTGGACTGTTTTACCATATACGCAGGTGACGTAATCAGTGTTGCTATTTTAGTTGCTTCACCACTAAATCTAGCAGAATTAACTCCTCCAGTATTGAACAAATTATGTAAATTAATACATTTTTATACATTTTCCTATTGAATATATATAAAATTGTATTTTTTTATTGTAATTGTATTTCTATTTAATAAAGTTAAGGGAAGATAGAAGTATTTCTACATAGTTTTTAAATATTACAATGATTTTTGGTTTAAATATGCATGTATTTTTATGCAAATTTTTAATATAATGGTTTCAAGTAGTTTTATTAATTCATTAATATTGATTTAAATATTTTGTAAAACTCGAGGTTTCTTTGCTATATAGTGGATTCAATAAAACATCGTTGGCAACACTGGTTCTGTCAAAACGATTGTTTTATTTAAAATTGCATGTTATAATTTACGATTGGTTTAATATAGTTACGTTAGAATTAGAATTAACGGATTGATTACATATTACGGATTTCATTGTCTAGTAAATTTTAAAATGGATAAACAAAAGAGAGCACGAAGCGAAAATTGGTTGGAAGACGACAAGGTAAGATTGTGTTTACTTATCAATATTTGTTAATTTGTCCAGTTTTGGATCAAGTAAATTATTTTTTATGTACGACTTTGAATTTCACTTGTTTTAACTTTTTATTACATTCATTTAATGCATACCTTATTTTTGATAGAATTTATTGTTGGAATTGATCCGCGAACGTGTCGCCGTACTAGAAAATAAGAATACGGATACGAATACCAACAACTGTAAAAAGAAAGGATGGCTGGAAGTTATGGATAGGTTATTTATTATTTGTAGAAGCTAGCCCGTAGATTAGAGTAACTTGCATGCTTAGTATAATTTTATATGTGAATTGTTATTGCTCATGTACTTACACTTCAATATATTTTTCAGTTTTAATGCAATGTGCAAAGGTAGCAGACGCACATTGCAACAAATAAAATCTCAGTGGGGAGTCATCAAAATATGTAAAAAGAAAAATTTAGCAGACCAGAGGCGATCTCTGAATAAAACTGGTGGAGGACCACCTACTGTGACTGTTCCAGTGGACAGTACAGACATATTGGCATGGTTACCGCAGGAGTTTTACGTGGACACCAATCTATATGACTCTGACGCTAAAACAGGAATTCCAGATGATCATGTAACCTATTTTGTATTTTTTCATTACATATAATATAAAAAGTAAAGGTAGTAAGTGTAGGTTCATTAATCATTGTGTTCATATTTCAGATAAATGAAATAGATGTACCTGTAAGCGCTGTACAAGTAATATATAATATGTAGTATCTATTATATCATGACATCAATGAACTCAGCATAATGTATATTATATAACATATATATATTATTTTTATAAATGTACATGTTGTAATTAAAAGATTCCAGACAAACCTAGAGAACCAAAACTGAATGAAAAAGCACCGGAGATGCCAGAAATTATTTTGGATCTTGATGAAATTATTGAAAATGTAAGTAATATAGAACTTTTAAATATATTTTGTGTGCTAAATGACTGGGACCAAAGATTATAAAGAGATGTTTGATATGATTTATTAAATTGGTTGGTATAATATGGTGTTTAATATATATAAATGTTGTTATTTCTTTTGTAGTCTCAAAGTGGCAGCACCAAAGAATATATTTCAAATGAAGGAAAGAAATGTAATAAAAAAAGAAAGGTACCCAAATAAATTTATACACAATAAAATACAAATATTTTTTATAATTAAATAATTGTTTTTTTTTTTATTATACAGCTCACAAATACAAACAATTATATACAAAAAATAGCTGATACAGAGATCAAGAACAAAAATGAATTACATAATATACAAATGGATAATGAAAGAAAGAAAGCAAGAAATTTAGACTTGGAGTATGAAATTCTACAACAAAAATTGATATTTTATAGAAAGAAAAACAATCCAAGTATGTAGACAACTTGTAACAAGTTAAATATAAAATATAGTAAACAAAGTAAATTAACATAATTTATTTTATTAAAAATTATTTTGTATAAATGTATCCAAAATATATCGAGAGTGTCTTCTTACAGCACCATTGCCCATTCCTTCATCAATTTGATGTTGTGATTGAATGGTAACCTCTTCAAGATTCTCATATTCTGAAATTAATAATATTATTACTTTACAGGCCCATAATTTATTGAAAAATATAATGTATTGCTACTTATCAAAACACAGCTTAAACAACAAGGATTAGAAACATGTCTGTATAACTATATTCAATGGATGACTGTGACTGCATCATATATCAGAAGATATAAATAACAACAATGTATAAACTACATTAAAACTTTGTCCTTTACACATAATCTGGATAAATAGTTTGAAAGTTACATATTCATAGCAGACCTGTGAGGCTTCAAAAATAATTAATTCTGGAAGATTTTTACAAAAATACATTTTCATATGAAGTCACAGGCAACCGCTAGTTGTAATAATTGTGTAACAGTGCAAATTATGAATGCACTGAAGTTGATAATCATTTCATAGTAAACAAATTAGTGTTTGTACAGAAACTTGTATAGTAAATTTTTTGTAAAAATTGTGTTTATTAAATAATATTGAAAAAATAAAGTAGTGTTTCATTAAAAGAATTACCTAATATATCGTCATTCCTACTAATAGCGATATTGTGGAGCACAGCTAAAGCCACTATAACTGCCTTTCCATTTTCCAGCGATACACTTAATCCATGTAGTAAACATTGGAATCTCTGTTTCCACACTCCAAAACATCTTTCCACACTATTCCGTGTTTTGATATGGGCAGAGTTATACCTTTCTTCCTTTCTACATACAGGATGCAAAATTGGTGTAAAAAGGTAGGGCAGAAGTGGATACCCTGAGTCACCGAGTAAACGTCCTCTAAAGTGACCATTATTAAACCTTTCTTTTATAATTGACTCAGTAAATATTCTACTGTCATGAGTACTGCCCCTCCATCTTGCTACAACATCTCTTATTACAAGTTTTGCATCACAGACAACCTAAAATCAAAATAATTAAGTACTTTATACATTACTAGTACATATATATATATATAAACCTTCCTCTTGAATCTATTATCACCCCCCTTCAACATGCATTGTATAGTTTTAATGTGACTTTGTTTTATACTATGTAATGATAATTAGTTAATCAAACAATATAGATATGTTTTACACATAATACATAATTTTATCACCTGCACATTCAAAGAATAATATCCTTTTCTATTTATGTAATATTGGGCTGCATCACCACCTGTTTTTTTAATTTTAATATGGGTACAGTCTATAGCCCCTGTAACCCCTGGAAAACCAGCCAGACTTTCAAAATTTGTCATACAAGACCGTTCCTCTGTGACAGTTTCTGGCATTTTTATAAAAGTGGAAGCAAGCTGAGCAATTGCCTTTGCCACCCTACTACATATCCTACTAACTGTGGGTTGACTGAGTCCATGAAGATCAGCACAATCATCCTGAACCTATGAAATGAAAGATATCAAGATTAATTATGAGTTTGAATTGTATGAAAACTTACATTATCCTATATATTTATATATATATAAATATATGATTGATGAATGTATTGTAAAAAAACTTACCTCTCTTCGTCCCCAACACCTCAAAGCAGTTAATACTTGCAACTCTGGAGAAACGGCACCACCTCTGGGATCTTGTTTTAGTTGATCGTACACCAAGGAAATTATATATCGAGCAGTACTTTTATTGAATCGGTATTTATATTTAAAGCACTTATCTGGTAAAAGAAATGGATTGACTTTTTTTTTAAATGTTTTTTTTTGACGATTTCTTGACATATCAATTAAATTAATTGTAGAAATAGTCGTAATTGCTTCCATTTTATTAATTAACGGAATAATTATTTCACAATTTTTAGGTTAAAATGCCGCTAAAGTAGGGAGTTGGCTCTGTTAACTTTATAGGCTCGCTATTTGACGTTTTAACTTTATCGGACCGCTATAGAGCGTTTATGAATAACGTTTTTCACTATCAGAGGTTTATCATAGGTTTATAGAGGGTTTATAGAACTGATTGCTAATGAACAGTTATAAGAGCTTTATAGAGCGTTTATAAATAGAGATTTTTATAAAGCCTTTATAGCTCTGTTATAGTGGGCTTATAAAGGCTTCTTAAGTTTTATGAATAACACCGTAAATCTCGGTATATCTATAGACTAGCTGGCCCCAGCGACTTCGTCCGCGTGAAATTTTATTTTATTTTTCTAAAATAACAGTAGCGTAAGTTACTCCTTATTACATCAGCTACTTGCCAAAAAAAGTCCCGTCAAAATCGGTCCAGCTATTTCAGAGATTAGCCGGAACAAACAGACAGACAGACAGACAAAACTTGTAAAATATGTTATTTTGGTGTATGTACCGTATTTATATTCATATGCAAGTAGTAAAAAACGGTTATTTCAATATTACAAACAGACACTCCAATTTTATTTACATGTATAGATTAAAAAAAAAGTAACAGTCATAAGGCTAGTCGTATGCCTAATATATATAATAATGTAATAAATTCATTTAAACAGAAATTGCGGGAACATTATTTAAATTTGTAACTTTTTTACTGTCCTTCTCCTTTTTTCACATCTTTCTGTTATATCCATATAGTTCTCTCTATATTTTCTGATTTTCTTACTTTCAATTTGAGACTGTACTTATAATTTGATTATCGGATCATTATGTATTTACTTATATATAATATTTATACATTTATGGGTTATATTTAGATATATATTTATGTATGTATATTGTTATTTTTTTATAGAAATGTATATTTTGCTTATCTTTATAAATCTTTTTTTGACATTTCTTATTTATATTAGTGCACCGCCAATAATCTTTCGCTGCACCACTCATGGTTGCCTGGTAAATAACGCGGCAAAATATTAAGTCCGCCACATGTACAAATTTTTTTGTGCATTAAAGTTAAAGAAATAAAAAAATACAATACTGTTTAATGAAAATGCGTGTTGTCTAGTGCTTTGAGATGTATCAAAATAAGGTCAACAAAAAAGTCCGTGATGGTATATGTCTATCTCTTAAGGATAACCAACAATAACCATTTTTTATCTTTTACATTTTACGGGATTTTTTTTTATCGTATGTTTCCCTTAAAATCATGTAAACTATGTTATTATGTCATAATCTAAAGAAATAATAATATTTTATAGTGACATATCCACTATAAAATACCAAAAAGTAGCAATGTAATTCGTTACGCGCGAATCAGATGTTATAAGGTCAAAGGTCGGTGCACCCCGCGTATTTGATAAATAGTGCTTCTCTGGATGTCTTTAAGAGAAAATGGCAGTATGTACGTGTATATGTACAAGTCCTTAAGTGTTAAGTTTTTCAAATGTACATACAGTAAAGAATAAATATTTTTAAGTACAGTACTTACGTACATTAATATAATACCTACTTTTTACTTGTATCTATTGTTATCAAAATTAAATTATAAGTTCTTAACTTGACCACGACTATGTGACCCTCTCTTGGCGCCAAAACGAGTGAAAAAATGAACAGCATACGACGACGACGCAGTACCTATAGAGTGGAGCAACTGCTTATTCAGTTTTATTCAACTATTTAGTCCCTCCACCGTGACAATGAATGGAGGCGGATATTACAATGTACGTAGCATTGCGAATATAAAATATCTAGATTAGGTATAATAAATTCATAATTGATAGGCCGTTACGGTATCAGAGCCAAAGTCTTCTTTCTTTGTTTATGTACTGTTAGATGCGACAGCGACTTTGTTTTTATATTACTATGTAATGATTGATATACCTAAAATAAATAAAATATCTGAGGTTTGGACAAAAATTCAAAAGGTACTTAATTTTTAAAAAGTATTTTGAAAATACCTATTTTGCATTTAGTATTTGAAATACAAAACACAAAACTATTTTTGTTTTTAGAGTGACATTTCTATGAATTCACTGTCGATAGCGAGCGGTGCGATGGAAAAAGATAACCGTTTATAAAAATATAATCAATAACCCTGGACAATTAACACAGACTGATACTGAACTGATATAAATAGATATTTTTATTTTGTAAATACATATATAATATACATATAAAACACCCAGACCGATGAAAACAATCGATGACCGATGAGTACAAATGTTTGCATCGTGCGAGAAATCGAACCCGCGACCATCGGATGTAAAGCGGTGTGACCACCGAGGCAGTCGAAATATATAAATAATCTTATGAATTTAATTTATTCTAATTTGTTTATGTGCGCGGGGTGCAGTGTACGGTGCTCCCCCCTGCCTCCACCGTTGCTGGAGCTTGCATGTATGGAGCATTGCGAATATAAAATATCTAGATTAGTAAATTCATAATTGATAGACCGTTACGGTATCTATATATATTCGGATTAAAATAAGTATCGCAGTAAGGACCAGTATATAAAGTGATCAACACAATTAACTGATTTTTGAAATATATATACAGAGCCAAAAAGTCTTTGTGTATTCAAAAAATATCTAATTTGTTTGTGTGCGCGGGGTGCGGTGTACGGTGCAGGGGGGACCCTGCCTCCACCGTTGCTGGAGCTTGCATGTATGGAGCATTGCGAATATAAAATATCTACATTAGTAAATTAATAAAGTCATAATTGATAGACCGTTACGGTATCTATATATATTCGGATGAAAGTAAGTATCGCAGTAAGGACGAGTATATAAAGTGATCAACATAATTAATTGATTTTTGGAATATATTCAGAGCCAAAAAGTCTTTGTGTATACCAAAAATTTAGCCGTTCGGAGCCATTCAGTCACGAATTATTAGTAAAAAAAGTGTCGAGTATATCGTACTATCGACGAATATATATGGCCGCATCGCAAAATAGAATGCGACGTTGCCATACCGCCTGAGATATACGCGATAGAGGTCAAGTTATTCAGTGCAAAAGGTGGAATCAGCAAGTGTTTAGGTTGTGGCGTGATCAACAAAGTGCCCAAAGAGGTGTTTATATATATATATATATATATATATATGAGCACTTTGAATAGTTTTTTTTCTTCTACAAACATTAATTAGCTAAATGAAAAAAAATATCTTACTTCATTGTCCGCCAGGCTGCAATTTGTTGTATGGCTCCTGCCTACAATATGTGGCTCACCTATGCACGATAGGAGCTGAAAAACAAAACTAGATTAAACAAGGGATGGTGGGTATGACATATGACGAGTTTGCCATGACATTTAAATTCCTATAAGTACTAAATCAGTAGATATAATATAACCGTGAGTGAAAAAATGTAAAGATAGATAGATATAATCCATCCATTATAATGAAACTGAGTTACTTGTGCATCATTATCATTACTTTAGCAGTAATGATACAAGATAACAAGTATGTGTGTGTGTGTAAGATTTCACACACACACATATGCACACGCACACATTCATTCTCATTTGAAGTCGCGCATATTCTCAGTCATACCATCCTATAACGTATGTATTTAAAATTGAATTATATATATAAAGAAAATACAGTATAAAATAGTATAAAATAAAACTATACATATAAATAAAATTGGAGTCTTTTTGTAATATTGAAATAACGGTTTTTTACAACACGCGTATGTATATAAATACGGTAAATACACTAAAATATCATTTTTTTACAATTTGTATCTGTCTGTCTGTCTGTCTGTTTGTTCCGATTAATCTCTGAAATGGCTGGACAGATTTTGACGGGACTTTTTTTGGCAGGTAGCTGATGTAATAAGGAGTAACTTAGACTACTTTTATTTTAGAAAAATAAAAGTTAATTCCTCGCGGTCGAAATCGCGGGAATACCTAGTTATAAATATTTTTCAAAACTTGACTCTATAAGCTATGGAACAGTGGAGCCTCATGGCCAGGCATTTCTAGTCTTAAAAGGAAGGTTTCAACAACGGCACAGAATTTTTTATATATTGTTTTACCTAAATAAAGAAAAACTTCTGAACAGATATTTTTTAATCTGGTTGACCTCCAAGCGATTACCCCTTTTTTTTTTTGACTTGGAGAAAATCCCTCATGGAGACCCGCCGGCCCCGGGGGAAGCCCGCGGGTACTGTGAGACTCCTAGTCACTAAAAACTCCAAGATGTCCCTCACCCAACACCTATGCCGGAGTCGCGGGATCGATGACAGTCAACCGCAACTCCGGCGGCGGTGGCCCACTCTAGTAGCAGGCCCCATCTCTGCGGGTGGGGGGAGATGTCAGATCGACCTCCACGCGGTTCCCCCTGGAAACCATCGTGATACATTCCCGGTGAATTTGTCACGTTGGGCTAACTGATCTGACTTCATGCTCATCCTATCATGCTCCACTGATGCCCCGCCAGCGTAAACCGATAGCGCAGGCGGGTGCACCATTCCATTATCATCCTTTAAAAAAAAAAAAATCTCTGCGGGTTCCCTAAAGGAACCCACTACTTCCCCTCCTCTTCCATGGGGAAGGCGCGCGGGGACATGCGCGCGACTTCTTCGGGCCTAGTTCGGTGGGGTGGGACCGCCCCCGCGGTCGTCACCCCGGCCCGAAGCGATTACCCCTAGAAATCATAGCGATAAATTCTTGGTGAATTTGCCACGATGAGCTAACTGACTTCACCTCATCCCATCCTGTCGTCATCCACTGGTGCCCCGACTGCATACACCATTCGCGTAGGCGATTGCGCCATTCCATCAACATCCATTTTAGGAATATATTAGTAAAAACAGCATTTCAATCCGTTAAGTCGTTTCGGGATTACCACGCAATGCCACAGACAAATATAGTAGATAAATTGAGAAATATTTTACAGGTCTTATTTTGGGTTCCATCTTGGGTGATACCTTCCAAGTATAGACACCGATTTTTCAAAAGCTTTAGTTAGCTCAACTTGAGACTAGATGGCGCTGTGAGATTATTATTAATACTTATATATCATCATCATCATCTGCTTCTTCCTTATCCCATTTATTTGGGGTCGGCGTAATATGTTTTTCGCTTCCATTCATCCCTGTTCGCAGTCATCGCGTTATTTACTTCCTTTCTTACCATATCATCTTTCACACAGTCCATCCATCTCTTTTTCGGCCTTCCTCTGCCCTTATAAACATCCACATTCATATGTAACACCTTTCTTAAAATATTATCCTCGTTCCTACGCATTACATGTTTATACCATGATAGACGATTACTCTTCAACCTCTCTGACACCGGCGCCACTTTCATACTTCCTCTAATGTATTCATTCTTTATCTTATCCATTCTTGTCACACCACACATCAATACTTATATATATATATATATATGTTTTATATGCCTCCCTTTTTACGGGGGTAATACATTCAAACACGCGGGCGTTAGCCCTTATTATTGGGGGGAGGGGATTGTTAGTAATGTGGATTGATAACCCCATTGCTAGCAATGTACCATGTCAGGTCGACCTCCACGCGGTTCCCCCTGGAAACCATCGTGTTAAATTCCTGGTGAAATTGTCACGATGGGCTAACTGACCTGACTTCATGCTCATCTTATCGTCCTCCACTGGTGCCCCTCCAGCGTAAACCGTTAGCGCAGGCGGGTGCACCATTCCACTATCATCCACAAAAAAAAAAGCCCTTATTATTATTACTGAAATAATTAAAATAAGTATATCAATTATTTATTGTTAACATTGAAAATGTATATTCTTGTGTAATCAACATTTTTTTTATATAACTAACATATAGAACACTGTTTACTCGATTTATTAATAGACGTTTTACAACACATTTGATTGCAAATAAACTCAACCATAAAACTGATCCACAATAGCTTTCCCGCCGTTTTACTTTTTTTAAATCAGCGCATTGCCTAGAGCCTGGCGCCGAGCGGCGACGGTTATATAGAAATAAAAAAAAAGAAAAACAAAATAAAATAGCAAATCGTGCGTTATGGAATATAAAATAACTTACATTTTTCGGAATTAAACCACAAGAGATTTGCCGCGAAAGAGCACCTCCTCGGCACGCCTGCAAAAGGTAAGGGTTGTATTTCGTTATACAAAAATTATAATATATAGAATATACTTTTTAATTGTATTACAGAGAAAAAAGACACATCAATACCTTTGCATAAAAACAATAAAGCAGCTTTATTGTAAAAAGTAATTTTTACATAAGAAATTTATAATGAAAAAATTTGGTGTTTATGTCGATTGAAGAAAAATGTAACACCATTTTTGTGTAGTTCTATTTTAAACATATTTAATATAGAGATGCCACTCTCTAATTACCTATGGCATTGTATTAAATACTAGCTACTCACCCCGGCTGTACATATAAATCTTCCTCTTGATTCCCTCTATCTATTATAAAAACCGCATCAAAATCCGTTGCGTAGTTTTAAAGATTGCGATTATTACTCTAAGATTTAAGCATATGTACATAGAGACGGACCGCACACTTAGCGACAGCGACTTTGTTTTATACTATACTAGTTACCCACCCGAGCTTCCCACAGGTATACATGTGTCAAACATATAAACCTTCCTCTTGAATCACTCTATATATTAAAAAACCGCTTCAAAATCCGTTGCTTTTCCGTCCGTTGATTTTGATTTAAGCATACATAGAGACGGACCGGACACTTAGTGTTTTATACTATACTAGTTACCCACCCCAGCTTCGCACAGGTATACATGTGTCACACTTTTTTTGGCAGATAGCTGATGGAATAAGGAGTAACTTAGGCTATTTTTATTTTAGAAAATGAAATAAAATACCACGCGGGCGAAGTCGCGTGAACAGCTAGTTAAAAAATAAAATTAATACCTCACAGACAACTCCCATCATATTAAAATCTTGTCAACCATTTTTCATTGTAATAAAACATAGATAAGTTATGTATGTAGACAAATACACTTACCACAATTGTGACAGCCAATAAAATAGCAATTTTAAACATTTTACCAATTTAGAGCAGCAGTTTTAGACCAGTATTTATTTACTATCTCATATATAACCACAGAGTGAAGTAGCTTTAGTTGTTTATGATACAGATGATGTCATCGTACAGAGGTCGGGTAGTATCAACACAATCTTGACCTTATTGATGCGTGGGAGATCTTTTTAACCGACTTAGGAAATGAGAATATATTTCTTTTCGATTGTATTATGTTGTATGTATTTTTCGACGGCCTCGATGGTCTAGCGGTTTAGCACACCGCCGTACTTCCAATGATTGCGGGTTCGATTCCTCGCACGGCACAAACATATGAATCACTAAGATACAGCAATTGGTCTCGATGTTTTCTATGTACAAATTGTATGTATTTACGAAAATATATATATCTATGTTTGTATCAGTTGTTTAGTAGTACCCATAACACAAGCTTTAACTAGCTTAACTTGTGTCTAGATGGCGCTGTGTGAATTGTCCTGAGTTTTTTTTTTTAATATGTTCTCTAATAAGTATGTCGCGTAATTGTTTAATAACATTAAGGCAAAACCTTGTACACCTATTTACAAAAATTGTACGAACGGAGTATGAAATTTCCCACTTATAGTTTAACTAGCTACTCACCCCGGCTTCGCACCGGTGTACATATATTATACATATAAACCTTCCTCTTGATTCACTCTATCTATTTAAAAAAACCACTTTAAAATCCGTTATGTAGTTTTAAAGATTCAAGCATACATAAGGACTGACAGCCACATCACACGTCAAGTTAATCTAGATAGACATAACCTTAAAATAATGATAGGGACAATAACGGGCCATTGTTCCTTAAACAAACACCTATACACAATTGATGCTACAGACAGTCCCCTTTGTCGGGGCTGCTATAAAGCTGAGGAAACGGCGGCTCATGTAATCCTGGAGTGCACGGCAGTGGCCCAACAACAAAAACAAATCCTCGGAACAGTGAGGTCGCTCCGTGAAGCCTGTGAAGACACCAGGAGTCTTCTGCGCTTGGGGAGGAGCTTGGCTGGCTACTTTAGTAGTCTGGCTCTGCACGCACAACGGCCCGAATGAGAGGCTAATTGCGGAGACAGGAGTCCAACATACATACAAGGACTGACAGCGACAGTGACTTTATTTTATACTATATAATGAAGAAAAGTGGTAATATAAATAAAACAATTACAGCAGTTGTATAACTATATATAATATATCACATAATTATATACATTACTATACTTAAAAAATAGAATGAATTTTCTATGCCCATGACATAACAATAGTTGCAAAGTAATGTGAAATATGTACTGTGTGGGAGGTACACAGTACACGGTAGATCGCTCCCGCGTTATAGGAATAGGTGTTGTAGGAATATAACGCACTTTTATGAACCCGTATAACGCGTGACTTATAAATTATTCACGTTTAATTTTTCTGGCTAAATGGTATTTACCTCTCTCGACGTTTCGACTAGGCAGGTTTCGAGAGAGGTAAATACTTTTATTTGCCATAAAATTATTCGTGTTAAGAACCGGTTAATAATTTAAATAATTGTTGCTATGGTTTTGTTATACATTATTGCTCTTGCCTTTTGCTACCAAACATTTTTTTTTACCATACATAGTTCGTTATGATTTTTTTTTATAATATACTATTATATATTTATATTGCGTATTTAATTACCATCATCGTTACCTGAACCGACTGCAGCGCCCTACACACAGTCCCACACAGGAGTGATTGCTGTAGAAAGATAAGTGTCAAGTAAGTGTGATTCAGACGAAGTTGCGCTTGTCAACTAGTTTACACAATTGTATGAAATGAATATAGTAATATAAAGTGTGTAGTGAATAATAATAGAAAACTTATTGAGCACTAAAAACGTATAGACTTGTACACTTTGAGAAAGTGCTTAACAAAATGATATCTTAACACGTTGAAGACCGCATTAAAAATCTTATTTCTATACATATATATATTATTTTTCAAATATATTATTAGTGTACAATCATTTAACGTAGACATTATTTAACACCTAAATTTATTTTAATTGAAGTGCCCACGGGTGATCACCCGATCCCAACGTGTAAATTAACTTTCGTTGCGGAGTGACCCACCGGTGGGAATACGATCTTTAACATGTTAATAATACAGCAAGCAATCTCAAACAGTTCATCTACAAATCTCGTTAGAACATTAAAACTTAATTCAACCTGACAATCAGTCTTCAATATCCATTTGATAATAAATCACAGAAACCATGAAACTACGATTCATAAATATATTTTAGCTAATTTTGGTGTTTAACTCCAAAATATGTACATAAACCCGCAGAAACCGAGTTTCTTCCGAATCTTTAGTTTTTTTCGGACTACTCTAATGCTTTTGGCCGCAGCTGGCCTTTACAGCTTTACCAGACGATAGGGGGCGAGTACAGATGGCTCTCCAAACTGCGGAAGGACTTATGGAGCGGCTGAAGGCCAACTTCCGCCTGACGGATACGACTTTAGTCAGAGGACACCGCTAGGAGTTCGAACCTCGGTTTAGGCCGTCATAATTTCGATCCCCGTTTGAATTGGACGGGGGATCGATTGGAAGGGCCGAATTTATCATATCAGTTGTCGAGTATCTATATCACAAGTGATAGCTTGGGCCTAGATGACATTGTGTGAAATGTAGTAGTTGCTGCTCCAGTGACTATGAAATCAGTTTTCAGTAATTTAAATCTGAAACCTTTATATTAAAAAAATCATTTTTTAACACTGGGACCGACTCATCATATTTGATGTTAGACGGGAGGGAGTTATCAAAGTGCGGATATACAGGGTGCCACCTATCCAACACTAGTATATTAACAAATATGAAACGTTGTCAGTAGTTTAAATCTGAATCTTTTATAGTAAAAAAATCATTCTTTAATACTGGCACTGACTCATCATCCTTGATGTTAGACGGGAGGGTGTTATCAAAGTGCGGATATACAGGGTGCCACCTATCCAACACTAGTATATTAACAAATATGAAACGTTGTCAGTAGTTTAAATCTGAATCTTTTATAGTAAAAAAATCATTCTTTAATACTGGCACTGACTCATCATCCTTGATGTTAGACGGGAGGGTGTTATCAAAGTGCGGATATACAGGGTGCCACCAATCCAACACTAGTATATTAACAACAGTATCCAGAACAACTGTGCACTCAGGTAGGATTTTTTTAGAGATGTAGCAGCCGGTGTTGAAGCCCAGGTGGAGACGATGATGTCGGAACCCTTGTGATAACACCACGCTCACTGATGATAGGGTCATCCCCATCAATGGTGGTACTTCGTAGAAATTACGGCAGGTGACCTGCAAGTTTTAACATTTATCGTTTAATAATAATAATAATAATCTCAAGACAATTCACACAGCGCCATCTAGACCCAAGTTAAGCTAACTAAAGCTTGTGTTATGGGTACTAGATAACTGATACAAATACATAGTTTTTTTTTTTCAAAAATACATATATACATACAGAAAATAGCCAGACTGATACAAACAATCATACTCATGAATACAAATGTTAGTGCGGTGCGAGGAATCGAACTTGTGACCATCGGAAGTATGGCAGTGTGTTAAACCGCTAGACCACCGAGGCCATCAATGCGTAATAATTTTAATATTCACCTGTAACACTTGAGAATCCTCCTCTGGATTCGCGTCTACTCTCCCTAGTTCCTCCAGGAAATCAACACCAGTCTGCAACCTCTGCATCGGACTAGGCTTCTTAAATTTGAAATATACGGACCAATGAGATGTTCCCTTACAAAACCATACATTTACACATCTACGTTTCACCAACAAGTGCGGTCTGCTGTCCTGTGTCGCTTCCTGAGCAACTTTCTTCACAAACACATGGTATGTATGATAAAGAGCTCTTATGACTCTCTGACGTAACCCATAAACCTTATAGCTATTTTCTATCCGTAATCGTTGAGGTAGTTTGGGATGATTTTCACAGTAGCGTTTGTATAATGCTCGCCAGAACGATTCTCGTTTCGTGATAGCATATGTGGCTTTATTAATGCCTGCGAAATTACCAACATCTTCTGGTTTTATATACCATGATATGAAATACCAAACAATTTCTGGATAAACAATACCAGGACGATCTTCAACATCTTCGCTTTCGGACTTGCAAGTGTTCCGTTTTTTCTTGTAGACAAAATTCTTTGTACCGTCAGAGTTCGTTTGCTCGATTATATCGAAGTCATCGTCCTGGATCTGGTCCCAGGATAAGTCAGGTGCTGATGTTTGGTCTGCGGATGCGGATTTCTTGACTCGACTTACAGGTTTCAATGCATTTGCACTGTAGTTTATAGTTACATCTGTAAGTTAAAAAAACTGTATATAGAATAAAGTTGACACAATATTTACTTCAATAAATATAACTATAAACACTTGAATAGGTAATTCAGGTAATAATTTTTTATTTAACTACCACATTGGGAATGTAGTTTCAGTTTTAAACTATACACTTATAAATAAAATTGGAGTGTCTGTTTGGAATACTGAAATAACCATTTTTACCACAAGCATATGAATGTAAATACACCAGAATAACATTTTTTACAATTTTTGTCTGTCTGTCTGTTTGTTCCTGCTAATCTCTGAAATGGCTGGACCGATTTTGACGGGACTTATTTTGGCAGGTAGCTGATGTAATAACTGTAAATGTGTAACTTAGGCTACTTTTGCTTTAGAAAACTCTTTAATTTTAGAAAAATAAAATGAAATCCACACGGATGAAGTCGCGTGTACAGCCAGTATACTCTATAATTGTGATGAACCAATTTACAGAGTATAAATTTTTACACATGCAAACAAAATATTTTTATTTTTTTGTACTACATAAGTACGTCTCTAAGTTTAAAATACATCAGTGAAGTCACTATTTACCTTGAGGAATATTCTTCTTTTGGCCTTTTTTCTTCGGCATTTAGTAATTTTAATGATATTGCAGGGAAAATCACAAATATTGAGAATATGCATTCGAAATGTTGAGGTTTAATCTATTGCTGGTAAATCATATTTATAGTAATAGCTGTTAACAGTAAATATTTTTTTGGTTCTGACTTTATAATAAATTTCACTATTTTAATGTATATAATACATACGAAAAAATAAATTTGAGAAATGATAACAAAATGATAACAAAACAGAGTATTACAGAGATTTAAATCCACCTACTCTGTGAACATTGACAACTCTTGTTGTCATTCAGCCCTTGTGACTTGTGTGACAGCCAGGCAGGGCATCCGTGACTTGTCTCTTATTTTTTTTTAATTGGTTTGAAATTTAATGTAATCATATTTATTTAAATTTTATTAAAAAATACTTAAAAAAGGACTTAAGTATTTCATATACTATGACATTATTTCAAAAAAATAAAAGTATAAAAAGTTTGGGCACTAAATTCTATTTTCATATGTGACTTTCTCTCATAACAAGCTTCGTAAAATTCATTCACAAACCATACCCGGCGACCTCTTTTGATAATAAATGAAAATATTACCATAGATTAATTTTTACAGATGGTACTAATTATACTCATCCGACATAAGTATCTCGATTAGGGTTCATGATTTCTCGAGCTTTTCAATTTCTCGGGTCTCGAGAATTCTCGAGGTCAATTTCTCGGGTCTTCTCGGGTTGTCGAGAAATTTACATTTACGTACGTTTTCTCATATTATTTGGTTCCAATAACGTCAATGAAATTCAGTGGTTTTCCTCTCAAATAAAAGTATCAAATTAAACTTTTATTGAGTATATTTAAAATAATTAATATTATGAATATTTTTTTTTAATAGAGAAATATTATTAGGTCCATATGAAATTGGCGTTTTGTCGTACTGGCCACTTTGATCTCAAATATCTCCTATTTGGTTAGGAATGCCATTTCCAAATTTATACAGCTATTCACTTTGGGTCACTCACAGCATACAAAAAGAAAAACTTAAAATATCGCGTTAATTACGAGTACGAGTTCCGCTATGGCACCAGTGCTACACGGTGCTAAACGGTTCGAAGTATTAATGATGTGTATGGCAGTGGTCTCGCAAAAGAAAACACGTGCATTTTTAGTTCCAACGTTTTCGTTCTGGAAATTTCGACCTGCAAAGCAATCTCTGTGGGCGGCCGGAATCCAAGATTGATAATGAAGAATTGAAGACTATTGTGGAAGCGGATCCATCGCAAACCCGTCCGAGTTAGCAGCAGGCTGCGGTGTTAGGGGCCGTTCAAGTATTACGAAAGCACTATAGGGGGGCGGGGGGTCTTTTCTTTGCTTATTTTGGATGACATGGGGGTGGGGGAGTCTGTATGATGTATTGATGATATTACGTCATCGGTCGTAATTTACTTTTTTACACGAATGGCAACCCTCACATTGTCTTTGCTAAAAAAAACAATACATTAATTGAGAGATGTTTACGTAAGCATGGGTGGAGGGGGTAAGAGCTTTGCTTACTTTTGCTGACAACGGGGGATGGGGGATAAATAATTGTGATAAATCTGCTTACGTAATACTTGAACAGCCCCTTAGTGACAAAACTGTTTTAATCCTTTAGCAAATTGGGAAGGTGAAAAAGCTTGAAAAGTGGGTCCCTCATGAATTCAATGGAGTAAATCGACAAACGCGCGTAGCCTGCTGCGTTACATTAATCAACCGGCATAATAATGAAGGGATTTTAAATCAAATCATCTCCTGTGGTGGAAAGTGGATCTTGTACGATAATCGGAAACGCTCATTGCAATGGCTAAACCCTGGCGAACCAACCAAATCCTGCCCCAAGCGAAATATGGCTAAAAAAATGTTACTTGTGAACGTTTGGTGGACTATTTCCGGTGTTGTTCACTTCAGCTTTCTTAAATCTGGCCAGACGATTACGGCAAATGTGTATTGTCAGCAATTGAGAAACCATGATGGAAAAGCTAGCTGCTAAACAACCGAGGCTGGTCAATCGCCAAGAGCGCTTGACCACATACTGCACAACAGACAGTTACCAAATTAGAAGAGGTTCAATTGGAAAAATTACCATTTTTTCGAAATTTGGATAACTTCTTCCAAGGGAAAAAATTTAACTCCGATGGGGCAGTCCAAAGTGCAAAAACAAAAGGCAAAAGTGCATAAATAGGAATGGTAGATACTTTGATTAAATAAATATATTATATTTTGAAAATAAATACTTCAGGTTATTCCCTTACAAAACGCCAATTTAAATTTTTTAGGACCTAATTATTCAGACTTATATTTATAATGACAGCACCATTTTTGGCTGTTTTTTTACAAAATAAAAAAATAACACGAAAGAAAACAAAAAAGTTAATATCTTAAATTATTGCGCCGCCACGCAACAAAACAAAGGGCAATTTAATTTCTATATAGGTACATGATTTCTCGAGTTCTCGAGCTTGATTTCCCGGGAACAAAACCCATGAATTTCCCGGGAATTCTCGAACCGAGAATTCCCGGGAATGAACCCTAGTGTTAATCCATCGTTCAAACTTAATGTCGGTAAGTTTGTGTAGATTTTCTCTGTACAATAGCCACTCATTTAACAGGTGTGTAGGTAATTCATCATCCCAGTTTATACCAGAAAGCCATAATTTTTGAATAAATATTTTTGCTCTGATAACCACTGGAGCTAACCATCCAAGTGGATCAAAAATACGAGAGATGTCAGATATAACATTTCTTTTGGTTACTGGTATCTTTAGTTGAGGTAACTGTACAACATATTCGAATTCATCACTACTTCGATTCCAAGTAAGGCCAAGAATTTTCATTATACTATCTACATTTAACTGTATATTTCCTTTCAAAGCTATATTTTCGTCAGTTAAATGCTTGTTTGAATCTAAACAAGTATCAGCTTCTAATTCCCAAAATCTCTTTAATAACTCATCTTCATTTACATGAGAAATGTGCATACTTATTGGATTTTTTGTCATTGATGAACCTATATTTACAGAGCCAGAAATTATCCAGCCAAGCGAAGTTCGCTGAGCCATAGGTACACCTGGAGGTCCTTTAATTACACCATCTAACAAAATCTGACTGTAAACATCAGCTCCAAGAAGAATGTCGATTTTGTTTGGTTTCCGAAATGATGGATCTGCTAGTTCTATGTTTGAGAACTCCGACCATAAATCTACAATAATTTGCTTTTCAGGAAGGAATGAAGTTACTTTACTCAAAACAAAAGCCTGTACTTTAAATGTAAAGTTGGAATCAAGAAGTGACTGTAGTGTAACCGAAACCATAGACTTAGAGGTCAACGAATGACCTTGATCACTCCCTAATCCTGTAATAATGCTTTTGTGTGGTACCTTCCTTATATTAAGCAATTGTACTGCAGATTCTGTAATAAAACTAGCTTGAGAACCTGGATCTATTAAACACCGAAGTGTGATACCATTACCTGATTTCGACTGTGCGCTTACTAATGCTGTTGCAAGTAATACTTGACAGTTTGAGGTCGAAAAACAGGCTGTGACACTAGTGGCTTCATCTTGAGACGATGATGATGTGGACGCGTGTGCTACGACGTCTTGTTCAACCGATTGATTAGCAATACCTGTAGTGTCGGTTGAATTATGATTGGTAATATTTTTTGGATAACACACAACACCCCTATATGAAAAAAACTTGAGAAAGAATTTCAACAGGGATGTTTACAGTACCGGATTTATCTTCCGCAAAGCGAGTAGCTAAGAAACAGAATTGGAACACTCAATTACCAAAACATGATTCTGAAGCGTATGACGATAATAATCCTCACGAGGAGGAGGAGAGTACGGAGGAGACCACAGAGACGAATCGGGATATGCCTGATATATGGGATCAGCAGATCAGAAAGGAATCCCTCCGGAGGGGCAGCTCGAAGGAGAATACTGATATGGATTCCGACTACCCACACGATTCGGATGACGAGAACAGCATGGATTATTCAGATGAGGGGGCTGTCGCGGCACATCAGGAGAGTGGAGTAATATCCAAAGTAGTAACACAGATGCTAGACAACTCGGGGAAATTTGATCTGAAGCACATTAATGACAGAAAGACAGAGGTGGATTTATCGTTCTTGGAGTCTAATTCTGCAGTTTACAGAGTCAGAGATATATTAGAAGAAGCGATAAAAAAAATACACCTCAATTCCAGCAGTAGTATCTGTGGAGAAAGGCAGGACTCAGAAATCATATGTATTCAATGTAACAAATGAATATTTATCTCCTGCATCAGACTCTTCAAGCCCCGTCGTTACAGATAGGAAATCTCCCCCTGGGAGAAGAGATGTCAGTATGCCTAGTAGTACAATCAATGAAAATCCTCTAATCAAAAGTTTATCATCTGGGATTAAGTTGATTCCCAAATTTTTAGGACTTCCAATGAAAGTGATCAAGCTTGGAGATTTGGATCTGACACTTGAGAGGTTAAATAATCTTCAGAAGAGACATATAGGCTCAACTCCTAATCAGCTTTTAGATCTGGCACTCAAGTCGTCAGGACATTTAACAAAGCTTAAAAATTTATACAGATTTCCTGACTTATAGTCTTATGTAATAAGATATAACACCATCTCTGTGAAAAAAAAAAAAAAAATTACCAATCATAATTCAACCGACACTACAGGTATTGCTAATCAATCGGTTGAACAAGACGTCGTAGCACACGCGTCCACATCATCATCGTCTCAAGATGAAGCCACTAGTGTCACAGCCTGTTTTTCGACCTCAAACTGTCAAGTATTACTTGCAACAGCATTAGTAAGCGCACAGTCGAAATCAGGTAATGGTATCACACTTCGGTGTTTAATAGATCCAGACTAGACTTTGGGTCACTCACAGCATACAAAAAGAAAAACTTAAAATATCGCGTTAATTACGAGTACGAGTTCCGCTGTGGCACCAGTGCTACACGGTGCTAAACGGTTCGAAGTATTAATGATGTGTATGGCAGTGGTCTCGCAAAAGAAAACACGTGCATTTTTAGTTCCAACGTTTTCGTTCTGGAAATTTCGACCTGCAAAGCAATCTCTGTGGGCGGCCGGAATCCAAGATTGATAATGAAGAATTGAAGACTATTGTGGAAGCGGATCCATCGCAAACCCGTCCGAGTTAGCAGCAGGCTGCGGTGTTAGGGGCCGTTCAAGTATTACGAAAGCACTATAGGGG